CTTTTACCATTTAATCTATTAAGTTTCATAAATATATAACATTCACATATAATTTTTTAAAATAATTAAAATACATAATAATAATTATGTATTTAATTTTAGTGGTTGGGTTTTATTGATTAAATTTATTATTATTATTATTATGATTATTATTGACAAAAGCATGTTAGAATCCATGCGAATGGTTTTCAAATAATAGTTAGTTCTAATTATAATAATACTTATAGTTAAACCATGAAGAATTATGCTTGAATTGAGGTGTGAAAAAAAGAGAGAGAGAGAGAGAGAGAAAATGATAAGTATATTTTTATTATAGTGAATATTAATTATTAATATTGATTTAACAATTTTTATTATGGTGAATGAATATGTAATGTAACGGCGAAACCCTCGACCTCTTGACCGTTATAAATTCTTTATAAATATTCACATAATTATATTGATCTTTATATAACAAAAATATAACACTTCATCTGTTATTTAAATTTATTTTTATTTTTCTTCTTTGGTTGTTATTCAAATTTATTCTAGTTTTTTTTTAGTAAAAAAATGTCATTTTTTTATATATAAAAAAAAATTCTATTTTTAAATATTTTTCTTAAAACTCGTGTCCGGTCAAATGAGCACATAATTGGATGGTGGAGGGAATATGAATTACATGTAATGCATCTCAAATTTCTATTTAATTCCTAACTATAAATTACTATTTTTAAATTGATTCCTTATTTAAAAATAAAAAATCTTGAAATGTACTAGCTATTTTATGTTAAGAAATAATAATATGTTTACTGTAAATCGTGTAAACTGAGTAATGTTGAAATATAGTATTTGAAATAATAACCAAACACACCCTTAGTTACCTATCCAAATATCATTACTTTTGAGATTTTTTATCATTCAATAATAATACTAATAATAATAGACAAGAGAGAAAATATATATATATATATATCAAACTTACTGTTATACTCTATTCATCCAACATAATTTGTTCATATTTTCTATTTTTATGATAATGCATTTCAAACTTACTACTCCCTCCGTCCCACAACAAAATATCAATTTTTCCATTTTAGTCCGTCCCATAACAAAGTATTCATTTCATTTTTTTAAGTAATTGTACTATCTACTTAACATTACAAATACCCTTACAACTTATAATATATTACACAAATGTCATTACCTTTATATCACACATACTAATAAAGTTATTTTAGTCATTTCTACTTTATTCCTACTACATACCAATATAATACTAATATTTCTAAAATTACGTATAAAAAGCAAATGAATATTTAGTTTCGGAACGGAAGGAATATTATTTCTCCATCTTTTTTTGGTAATATTTTTATGTCATTTATTGTCAAATTTAGATTTAAATGTATACGAAATATATTTGCAGCATCCTCGTTGTAGTTCGAAACTAAATCAATCAAATAATATGCTAAACGGGTTATAATAATTTTAGAAATAATCAATAATTTAAGTAATGCCATAGCACTAAAAAATGGAATAAATTAGCATAATATTAAAATAAAAATATTTAAAAAAATAACATAAATTAATTAAATAAAAATTCAATATTTTTAAATAATGATAAATTTAAAATATTAAACCATTTGAAATATATCTGCGCACATTCTTAATAATTTAAAATAATAGTAGTAGTTAAAAAGGAAAAAATAAAATAAAATCATCAGGCAGTTTTGATTATATTTGAATTTATATTACTCTCTCCATTTGTTTATCCTATAATAATAGTCTCACTTTCATAAATAACCAAATCACTATAAAATTATCCCTATTTTTTTATTATTATTACATAATTACCACTATTTTTTACACTAACATACTCATAAGGACGAAAAAATTATTCATATGTACATTTTATCCACCACCAATATAATATTAATATTCTTTCGATTCTTTTGGGACAGAGACTATGATTTTTGTTATTAATTTAAAATAACTGGAAAGTACTGAGAATGGGAGTCATTACATTTTATTACTCTCTTTGTTTTGTCGTTTTGTGATGAATCATCACCCCCAAAAGGGAGGCATCAAACAAATAAAATTAAATATAAAAGTTTAAATTGGATACCTTTTCAGAGACAGATAATAATTTATTACTATTACTTATTATTTTTAATATTTAGTGGAGTATTATATAATAATTTCACATTTATGTATTTCCATTGTCCGTATATAACAGCACGTGCGTATGAAAAATAATGTATAGGCGTCTGCTTGTATATTTTCTCTACGGTACCATTTTTTGTTTAATTCTACTGGATTAAATAATTAATAAGTAATTGATAAGTATATTAGTAAAAATAATTATAATTTATAAAAGTAATTATAAATTAAAATTAATATAATTAAATAATTTATTTAAAATTTAAAAAATTATTAATTATAAATTTTAAAATATGATTATATTGTATAATTATATTTTCAGAAAAACTATTAAAAATTCTATTTTCAAAATTTAGTTTTAATTTTGTTATTATAAATTATCTATAAAAATATACTTTTTCTATCTCGATATAGGTTAGTTTGTGTCCGACATATGATTTAAAATATAATAATATTCTATTAAAAATACGTATAAAATAATTGATGAAAGACTAAAATATTTTTATTTTAAAATTATTAAAACAAAAAGATTAAATAGGTTATTGCAAATAAAGGAAATACAAATAATTAATCAAAAATAAAAATTGACAACCCAAAATCATATAGTCTATTTGTTCATTAAAATTAGTTACTTGGGTTCGGCACAAAGTTAAAAAAAACAAATATTTTATTGAAAAATGAATAAAAATAAAAAAGATAATTGAGAATATTTTTGAAAATTTAGTTATAAATTAAAGTAAATAAAGAGAAAATATAATAAACGTAGTGATATTTGTAGTAAATAAGTATTGAATGTTGGGTAATAATTAAATGTTGATTTGTTAATTCTGTCAAAATTAGTAATGTGATAAATTCAACAGACAAAATAAAAAAGAAAGTGAAAATAAATTTAGCAAACGAAAAGAGTATTACTTATTTTTTTAGTTGTCATAAAAAATATTTCCATTTTTTTTTTAAAAAAAAACTATATTATTTTTTTGCATTTTTTTATTATAAATAGCAAAAAGTAACTGTCATTACTTATTTTTATTAAAATTCATTCCTAAATATTTGAGTATACGTAATTGGATGACGGAGGGAGAATTGTTTTTCCTCCAACAATGTGTAAGTAACCAAAGAAACACACAAATCCCACTATTTCATTCATTTTAAAGATGGACAACAGAAATTTAAGTAATGAACATCTCAATCTAATAGCTACTCCTTCCGTCCCATCGGAATTGAACCCTTTGATTAGGAATACGGTATTTAAGGTAAGAATATTTAATTAGTTAATAATAATTAGTTACGATATTATTATATTATTTTTTGTATAATTAATAATATTTATAGTTTTAAAATAAATTTAATATATATGATTAAAAAAATTAAATATATGTTTAAATATTTAAAAATTATATAGCAAATAAAAATTATATGCAATATGAATATCATTTTGTAGAGAATAAAATCTTCTATAATACAAGTAAATAAAAAAAATATTTTTGTTTATTTATAATTAACATAAATTAATTTTATTAAAGATATGTAGTTTTAAATATAAACAAAAATATTTATTTTTTTGAAGAGAAAGAGGTAGAAATAAAGGGGTTTTGAGTGGATCCTACTTCATTTATGATGTTGTATGTTATGTAGTTAATTAAGTTGATTTATATTTGTTAAATATGTTTTGGTTTAATAATTTTTACCAAAAATAGAAATGTGTCAATTATTAGGGGACAAACAAAAATGAAAATAGTATCAATTATGGTAGAACGGAGGGAGTATATTTTTGTGACAAAATTCATCAAATGGAAAGTCTCATCGTAACAAAATCAGCGAAGACAAGCAACAAAATATTTTTAACGAACTAGAAAACCGGCAATGGAAGATCAAAATAAGTGTCATTTGATGCAAACTGTTTACAAAATATTCATTGCAATAAAAGAGATACTTATAGAAGCATTGCCAAAGAATTAAAAGTAAGTAAAAACAATTAAACTAAGGTTAACCAAGAAGAGTAAAACTAGTCGGCTCAAATTCTGTTTCTAAGTATGAGAGATTCTAGAATATTCTAACATTATAAAGTACAAAAACATATTCAATATCGTACATATCGATGAGAAATGATTTAATTTATTTAAATAGAATTATATATACATCTATCATTTGACGAGGTTTAACCATATAAAATATATCAGAAAAAAAAGAAGTTATTATGAATGGTAATTTTTTTTAACCATATCAAACCCTTGCCTATTCATTTTCAATACTCAAATGTGTTATGTTTAAATTTTGGCAAAATTTTTGGATGTGTTTATTTGATAAAATTATTTAAAGAGATATTTTTTATATTTAAAATATAAAAAATTATGTATAAAATATAAAAATAATGACTGTAGTTGATATATTATTTTTTTTAAAAAATGTGTACTAACACATCCTTCAAAATTTGAGGAGTATATATAAAGAAAATTAAGTATTTATTTATACTTGTTATTATTTAATATACTTATGTTTTGTCAATTAAATAAATCTTTTCCTTACAAATTAAATACATGTGTTGATTTTTTTATAATTATTATAATTGATATTTTGCCAAATAAACTAATATATTTTTATTAAAAATTATAAAAATAAATAACACTATTAATTTTGATTTAAAATTATACAAACTTACTCTTATTTTCGAAATAAATAAATGAATAAACCTTACTTTTGACTTAGATTAGTTCTATTTTTGTATCTTCTTAAAAAAAATTTATATAATGGGATGCCACGTGTCAAAAAAAATCAAAATAGGTATGATAATAATTAAACAAAGTAACAAAAAAAATACAAAAAAGGAAGAAAAGTGAAGAGTATATGAGAAGCTCACTGCTTCTCTGATTTTCATGCCCAGAGAGAGAAATATACACACAAGAGAGAGAGAGAGAGAGAGGAGTACTGCGCAAGGTTTTCTCTCTCACACAGACACACACACTCTGAAGAGAAGGGAAAGAGAAAGAGTAGAGATAAAGACAGAAGGAGGAGGAGGAGGAGGAGGAGTAGGAGGGTGAGAAGGGCATCATCCATTTTTCCAGATTTCAGTTCTTTAATTTCTCAGAAACTACCGACGAAGACGAAGGTGGGTTTCCTTTCAATTTCTTCAATTAAGAAACCTATTGATTTATTGCACTGTTCTTCTGCATTTTTTTTTTTTTTAAAAATTTTTTTTACTGTTTTCAATCAATTCCTCATTTCGCCCATTTGCTTGTTCTTCATTTCTCTGATGCATTTCTCAGCAGCTATTCAATTTTGTTTACCCTATCAACAGTTAAATAAAAAAATAAAAAATAAAAGTAGAAGAAAAACCCTCAAGAATGAAATTTCAGGGGTTTCTCTCGAAATCTTCCTTACATGGTTTTTGCCTTTCAGATTCTTGCTCTGAAATCTTCATCAGAAATATATATATATAAAACTACTCTTCATTTTTTATTTTACGAATTTAAATAATCAATCAGTCAATCCCATTTTGAAACTCAATGTAGATTAATGCAAATAAAATCAAATCCCTCAGACATTTGTTTGATTTGTAAAATGTAGGGTTTTGGTGAAGATTCTTACATCCTCTGTTTCCTGTAAGAATGCTGAGGAAGAGAGCTCGATCTTACACCAAGAATCAAAGCCAATCCGGGACAACAATGCCGCCGATTTCCACCTCGGATTCATACTCCCAATCCGATGTTTCGATCCATAATTACAAAGGAACCTCTGTTCTAAAGGTCCCGGGATTGTTTGTAGGGATCCCCGGGAGCTCCGAATTCGACTCGGTTCGAAGCCCGACGTCGACGTTGGATTATCGAACATTTTCGGGGATCGGAATTCCGTTTAGGCTCGCAAGATCGTCCCAAAACGATCGACATTTAAAGCCGTGGGATTGTACTAAAGTGGGCTTAAGCATTGTCGATTCTCTCGACGATGAGGCGAAGGAGTTGGGAAATGTCACTCGATTGTTTCGTGACGGTAAAAATATCGTCTTTGAACGGAAAATGAGCATTAGGAGTCCGGTCGATTTTGTCGAGACGCCTAAGTCTCTTCCGGCGAACTTACCAGCGTTTCGTAATAGTAATCGCGGCGATGTCCGAAAGGGCAATCCCAATGTGGTGTTTGAAATCGGCGGTGGAACGGACGAGCCCGAGAAGTTTCATGCTCGTTCGTTGGATTCGGGAACGTGTGGCTCTCGTTTATCGAATTTTAAAAGAAGTTTTGTGGGTTCGATGCCGACGAGTGAAATTGAGCTTTCCGAGGATTATACTTGTGTTCGAATCCACGGCTCGAATCCGAAGGTCACTCATATCTTCGGCGACTGCATTTTAGAATGTCGCGACGATGAAGTATTCTCGATCGAACGTCGGGATGACGGGATCGGTAATAAGGAATCTGCGGATCGTTTTTTGGATCCCGTCGACGATTTCTTGAAATTTTGCCACTTTTGTCGCAAGAAATTAGACGGAGAGGATATATACATGTATAGGTTAGTTTATTTATATCAAGAATCGTCGCGATACGGTGCTCGACTTTTTCGTTAGACTAAAAATTCGCCGTTTCTTGCAGGGGCGAGAAATCGTTTTGCAGCTACGATTGCCGGTTGCGGGCGATCGAGATGGACGAGGAGATGGAACAGACGGCGAAGCGGGATTGTCCCGAGATTCACGACGACGGGTCGAGTAACGGCAGCAGCAGCTTGTTCATTGCGGGATAGGTACGTCGAGCACAATACCGATGACGGGTGAAGCTCGGGGATTGTCGATTGTCGTCGACGAGACGGGACAGAGAGCTGTGTTGTTTTTATCTGTCATGGTTTTGTAGTGTAATGAAGGGGGGTTTTGGTGTTGTCTAAAGGGTGTCTTGTCTTGTGGTTTTGTTTTTGTTATAGAAGAGTTTTTGATGATATGTACATTGTAGCTCCCCAAACAAGCTTTTATGTTTTTGTGGGGGTTAATGTTATGTATTCCTTGAACTGAATTTCTGAGCCATATATGTATGTAATGGTGAAGAGTATTTGAATGTAATGTTTTATCTGTCTATGTCTTTGTAGACTTTGTTGTTGTCGTTTGATTGATTATTTGGGTCCTCTCCATAGCCCATTTTATTGCATTTGATATAGGAAGAGAACTATAAAGATTGAATTTTTACTAGAGAAACGAACAACTTGGCAGAAAGTATTCTGTGGCGATAATTTGACACATAACCAATAAAAGCACATACATATATATATATATTTCAACATACTTATAATACAACATATATTATATTATAATTCAACATATGTTATTTTATATTGATCACTCATCAATGAACACAGGATCTTCAGCCTCTATCTATCTATCTATCTATCTACATACACATATATATATATTCCAACATATTTATAATACAACGTATATTATATTATAATTCAACATATGCTATTTTATACCGGTCACTCATCACGACTTGACCGATGAACACAGGATCTTCAGCCTATATATATATATATATATTTCAACATACTTATAATACAACATATATAATATTATAACTCAACATATGTTATATTATAACAACGCATATACTAAATATGTATAAACATATACTGTCACTTATCTCCATGCTGACTTGACCGATGAACACAAGATCCGCAGTTTATATATATATTTCAACATATTTATAATACAACATATATTATATTATAACTCAATATATGTTATTTTATAACAACACATATACTAAAAGAGGTCATTTATATCGCATATGTTGACCCAGTCAAATCAGCACCATGCATGCTGACTTGACTGATGAACACAGGATCTGCAGTTAGTTCATGTGATTGTATTTGTGTTATTAATTCATATTTATAAGTGTGCTGAATGACAGTACGCAATGTGCCGAAATCAACTATTGCTTGTGTTGCATAAGACTATAGCATGTGATGTTAATTTATATGTTGTATTTATATTTTATGAATACATACGACATACTGCCTATAGTAACACTGTGTGCTGTGTGATAGCATACCATGTGGTGCCGTGTATTGTCACCGTGGTGCTAGCGGCCGCCATATATAAAACAATCCTTTTGTATCTCAGATTTTACATGACACAATATCTGAAACACAACCATTATTCTTCATACAAAATATTAAGTTTAAAATTTAGGCAGCAATTAGGTGCTCTTATACAACACCATGCTAATGAACCCTAATGAGCATATAAATCATAAACCAACAAAATATAAAGTACATACCGACAACACATATTATCATACTATAGATATAATATATGAACTAATGATAATATTTCACGCAATACATATTTATCTGATCACAAGTCGTAAACTAAAACATCAAATAAGCATATAATAACAATCCACAAGTAAATTCAATTCATGTACTATCAGCTAGTTAGTAAGCACCCTAACTATTCCCAAATTTACGTTTCTACATTCACAAAACTGTATCCTCCAATTTGGGTGAAAGGTATTATACCATGTCAATGTGCCTTAGATGATAAACTCAGCCAAGACACGACGCAAAGGGCAGGGGCGACATCTCTACCACTGCGCTAATAGCCCATCAATATTTGTTACAACAAAAATAAATGATCGAGCACCCTAAAATGACATCTCACTCACATTAATCACACCATTTACGATGACAAGAAGCTATAAAAACACAATAGATCCAACTTATGCTACCTACGATCAAAAGAACCCGAACCACAATTTTTCACACATAGCTCTCATTTGCAACCAATATACTATCAACAATCGCAAGTAGCTATCACATAATTTTTCATAAATATTTTGCAACACAAGCAATCCAACAAAAGCATAATTTTCTAATTAAATGACTTATACTAAGTACGACTATGTGCATCCGCACACGTATAGTGTGCGTGCGCCTTTGTGCTTTCAATCTTATTTTTGTAGTATGCAGTGAATGATAAAATAGCTTCACTCTTGAATAACATCAAATCTTTCATCTATTTTCTATTCAAAATATTAGATCCGATACATTTTTTCTTTTAGCACGTCGCATCTTAAACTTATTTTCTACTTTAATTCAAATTCAAAATGCTCCAAAACATCTGAAACAGGCTCCAAAACACAAACACACTCAGTTTCATCCTTCACTATCTTATCCTAAATCTTTAGTTTTCTTACTAAACATGTAGAGAATTAGATGATTAAGAACATGTGATACTTAGACGGGAAAAAGTTATTAGTCATTCCCTTAAAAAGACATCACATATGATACAAGTTATCTGCACAAGACATTCAATCCAACCACTATTTTTATCATAAAACATCGAAATAAAAAAAAAAAAAACACAATAAAAATGAAAAACATAAAAAGAGCATACTCCAAAGGTTTTTTTACTTGCATTTTAATACTTGCAAACTCCCAATTTATCTACAAAAACATCATATTCAGCACCAATTTTCCGTTCACACTATCATATCCAACCATTACTTCACCAAGAAAATGACAAAGCAAAACAGATAGTAAAACACATGGACACAAACAAGTAAACAAACTCCTCATAGTATAATTGACTTGAAATACAAATCAAATTCTTAATATAACTAAACTACATTCCTAATAGGATAATACTAATGTAGTTGTGACCTTACATATTCATATTTGATGGGCAGCTATTCAGCGCTAATAGGATATTAGTCAGTATGATGCTGACAACATATAAAATATAACTTCACGGCATATGAAGTATAAATAGATAGCACATGTTATACGCTAATATAATATAAATACAACATATAAACTGATTATATAAACTGACAACACATTGTAAGAATCGACACAACACATAATCCATTCATTTAAGCCCTGTGTGGTGACCTATATTTTATGTCCTGACAGTACAATGCTGATTAATTTAAATCAACACCCTAACCAGGCTCTATTAGATGATACATACAACTTACTATATCTAACAATGACCTAAAATTACACTTTTAGTCTTATAAGTAAATCACTTATCATTTTAATCATTTGGCAACTAATTGTAAGATACCAACTACTATTTTGTCATTCAAATCTATAAGCACTTTTATTTTTGGATGTAATAAAAAATATTATAATTTCTCATTTTAATAAAAGATGATGCTAACTTTTGTACTTTTTAACTATAAAGGACAAAAAATACACACCCACATTAAAACTCGTGTGCCCCAAAGTTTGAGCACACATTGGGAGCATTTCAAATGCCTTGAGTTTAGTACTTAGTGATGAAAAGTATTGACATGGACTCATCATGTGCACGCATTTTGCCAATGTAGACATCATTGGAACACCAAAATCAGGCATTTGTAAATAGTTGATGTCCTAATATGAAATATCTTTCATAAAAATGACTAAAATAACAATAGAGCCCACTTACGGAACTAAATATGCAATTTTTGGCCTATATATACAAAATATGACAAATACACACATTCACACATTCCAATTTTTATGTTACTTCAAGTTATCTACCACAACGAAGGTTATCAAATATAGTTGAAAACATTCTTCATATTGCCGACATACCTTTGAGTACAAAAGTCATTTAATGAGAGAATTCAGCAGGGGAAAACACAGCTACATGAAATGACTTCACTTCACCAACACAAACAGCTTAGTACATCCTACCTGTGCATTCTGCAGAACCGCAGAAACATCTTTTTACCTTTATATTTCCATTAGCATCGCGGATCTGATCCACGGAGTAGTTGTAATGGTAGGTTAGCTCCTTCAATGGAGGAATATTTTCCATGGCAAAAAGCATTACATGTGGCATCTTCTTGTCATCGTGATCATAGATCACATTTTGGGCATAAAGGTTTGGGGAGCAGCTGTGATTAATAAACCTTCCGACATTTCCATACTGGGCTGCATCAATGGTATATCCACCTTCCATAAGTTCGACCAGTGCAGCTTTTTCGTGGGGCATGACAGAAGTATCACTGTAATTCTGCCCAATATCAAATAGATATTCATCGTTGCCAATTCTTTCTTCAGCTTCTTTATCCTCAAGAAGCTCTCCTGCATATTCACATATAAAACTTCCTGAAGGTATAGAAGTCAGGGCCCTCACTCCCCAGCCTCTCGACTCAGTCTTGAAAATCTCAAGCTGAAATTTGATGCCACGTTGGGTGACTCTATTATAGCAATTAGGAGGGCATCTGCAATGAGGACCACACTCGTACACAAGTGGTTTGGTTTCAACTATTGCCCCATTATGGTTGTATGGTATTTCACCTCCATTTTTTACTGCACATCGACATTTTTTTGAGCCAGAGCATCGGCCTGTACAATCACAGCCAGCTGGAGGATTTGGTTTGAACCATCCAGGATACATCATTTTACGAACGTATTTGAAAGGGGGAGGTTTCCCATCATCTATTGTGTTCACAGCAAAAATAGGAATTGTCTCTACTCCTCCTGCAATATCATTCACAACCATTCCAGGTCTGCTCTTGAACTTATTCGACTTCTTCAGTTGTTTCCAGGCAAGCTCTGGCTGGCCAGGCTGCCTCCGCAACTCAAACATAAATACCTGCTTACCGTGAGGCCCTTCTTTCTCCCAATAGCGTTTCACGGTGTATAGACCATCATAAACATATGTAGTGACCATTTTAGATTTTGGATCCAGAGGATCCATCACCCTTGCCTCTTTCCATCCCCTAATGACTCGAACTGGAGTCTTTGCAGATATGCTGTTCTTCAGGGCCAAATTGCCCCTTTCCAACTTTTGATCCTCAGGTTGCTTAGATTTTCCAACAACATTTCCTCCTTGTCCACAGTATATTAGTACATCGGCATTCTCCACATCATCATCGTATGCTCCTGAAGAAACAACACTAGTGGCAACTGGAACTCCATCGAGTTTTATCCAATCTATTCCAGCCTGGTACAGGCGGTGAATACCAATAACAGCAAGCTCCACTCTGTACTGAAACTCATCTCCCACTTCAACTCCAGGAACTTGTCCAAGGTACCGCTCTTCGGTGTTGACTTCTTTGCCTATCTCTTTAATCATCTTGGCACTAATCAGATCAATCCTCTTTCCCTTCTTAACGGTTAATTTCTCTTCAACCCCAAGCTGTGAGTTGGATTCTTCCTGTTGCAACAGCTTTCTACAGAAAGCATTAAACATCCGGAGAGTTTCTCTTACCCTGTTTCGCGCATCACCATTACCGGAACTCTTGGGGCCGAAAGGAGGCAAGCTAACTTCTATATCCATTACTTTATGCTTTCCATGAGACTTGGTAAGGAACTTGTCATCATCATGATCATAAGCTTCACCCTCTTTAAGTGCAAGGGCAGTGCTCTTATCTATATCATTGTGCCGCTTAGATGATGACCCTGCAAATTTTGATTTAGGTGTACTTTTTCTGGCAACAGCCTTTCCTTTCCGTCTCCAAGTTACTTCATGTTTTCCTTTTCTCACACTGCTCATTTTTTCACCAGGGTTGCATGGAACTCTTCGGCCTTTCGCTGATGGATGGTCAGATGTGGCATTGGAACCAATCAACTCCACATCTCTTGAGCCGGAAACACAATGTGGGTGCCTCATTTCATCACTTTTTCCGGGTGAATAAACAACAATTTCCTTCCCAGTAGGGACATCGGTATGGTCAATCACACCAGGGGTCATAGAAATAGGAGTGATTAAAGGTGCAGATTCATTAGAAGAATCGATATATTCCTCATCCATATAGGTACATGAACCAGGACTTCCATCTGGATAATAGGAACCATCAACTACATCTTTCTTCACAGATTGTCCCTGAGAAGGTTCTGCTTCATGATTACTTGTTGGATAAACAGCTTTGGATTTCTTCAGCCGAGACAGATTCTGCTTTCGACCCTTAGCTCCACTTCTCCCACTATCTGAATTATTTGGAGCTCCTCTTTTTTTTCTCTTTGGGCAATTTGATGCAGACATCAAGCCATGTGCAATCTCCCTACATGAGCCATCCCCTGTGCTAAAACTGCTTCGTGGGCTCCATACCTCATCATTTGTACCAGGTGTGCAAGCTACAGTCTCTACATCTGGAGGTTCTTCAGTGTCCTCAATTCCAGGGAGAGCTAGTTTGCTGCACCCTTCAGAATCCATAATCCCACCTTCATCGGTATCCTCTATTGTCCCTTTCAGTGGCCTTCCCCTATCATTCAATGTTTCAGTCACTTCAATTTTAACCAAACATTCTTTTTGAGAGTTCACCTTTATTTCATCCATTCCGACATCCTCTACAACATGCCTTGATATAGTTTCTGAGGATTCTGCTTCAATTTTTACATTCTTATCCACTTGAAAAGGAATATTCCTTCCACAATTTGGAGGGAAGTCGCGAATGGCGGATACTCTTCTTCGGCAGTATTTATCCTTCTGCGCCAACAAAGTTCCCTTCAAAGAATCCCTTTTAGATTCATTCAACTTATTAACACCAGCACATTCGCTCTCCATCATCAATTTCTCACCATCATTTAAGGACCCATCCATAGCTGTTGTCGTCACTTTTCCCACCAATGCATCCAATGATTCAACTCTTTCCACTTCAAGAGGATTGTTCAATACACCCTCTTCATGCAGCTGAATCCCAAGTGGTTGGAAATCCTGTGATTCATTCCGTTGCTGCTCAATCATGAATGCATCATCACTGTTTCTTCCTGCATTAGCACCATTTAGCTCTGGACTCGTATCCACGAGCACATTATCACGCCCACACCTAGGCGGGAAATCCCGGACAGCAGATACCTTTCTAGGCTTATATCTCGCAGCATAGCCATTCTCCAAAGGCAGCTTGTTTTCGTCATCATCGGATATAAAGCCATTAGAAAACATAACCATCAATAATGCCCACAAATCCTCTAAAAGCTACACCAATCCCACAGACAGCTCAGTAAAAACCTGAAAATGCACACCCTAAACAGTGAGAACATTAAAATAACCTGAAACCAAGTAAAAATACAGAAATGAAATCATGGGCATCAAATCATCGCACAGATCTATCCAACAAGTAAAAATAAATCAATAAACGCCAAGAATCATCCATAAAACAAAAAAGATAGATAAACTAAGGCACGATTGGAAACGCCAACAGCAAAAAACGGCAATAACTGTCAAATACAGAGCATATGCAAAATGCAGTCGGCCATATAAGTGTCTCAGCCAACACCAGCACAATATCTAAAAAAAATCAAAGCGGGCTTCACCAACCACATGCATTGACACACGACCCAAGATAGGGAGCTGCTAATCTCATCGAGTTATTGAAAAAAAAAGAAGAAGAAGAAAACGAAAAATAAAAGTATAACGAGGTCCATCACCAGAAAAGCTGACAACGGCCAGGTCACAATTTTTCTAAAATCGAAAGAAGATACAGGCGCAGTTACAGAGACGAAAAAATGCTCAAACTAGAAAACCAAATACAATAGAATTACCAAATTTGGGCACTACGATACCAATCTATAGGTTTCCACAATCATCGGAGCAAATCATACAGATACAAAGATATACATGATTGCATACAGGCATCCAGAAACGCAGCAGCGGTCGGTTATGTGAAATTGCTAACCGAAAAATAAAAATCGCGTACAAATCTGAAGCGAGCTGTGGAATCGTCGATGAACAACCGAAGAAATGAGGGAGAGGAAAGCGAGCGGCGCGATCGGGAGGTGTATTTACTGTTGTACCCCTGTCTCTTAAAGCTCTTGCTCATTATTTTTTTCTTAAATATTACTTCCTCCGTCCCGATAAAATTTTAGGGTTCACACCAGATAAAATATAATTAATAAATAATTAAAAAATATATTAATAAAAATAATTATAAATTATAATTAAAATTAAGATAACTAAATATTTTAATTAAAATTAAAAAATAATTAACAAAATTAAATTTAAATAAAGTGTATAATCATATGTATAAAAAAATAAATATCAAATTATGTGGAACAAATATAAAAAAAAGTGAACAATTTCTGTTAGATAAAAAAATATTATTTACTCCTATTTTCGAAAAAAACATATATGACCTGGTATAAATTGCATACACCAATTGATAACATATTGTTGAATGAAGTGATGAGTAATATCACGTCTAATAACAGTCAAATCAAAGAGAGAGCCACCACGAAGTGTAAGTCGAACTATATAGAGAAGTGGCGTAGAGGCTACTGACAATTTGTGAAACCAACTCGAGAAATAAAATCGAAAACATACTTAGCCTGAGACAGATAGAAAAAATCATAGGGAGAATCAGATACCTCAAGTCCCAAAAAGTAACGAAGGGGACCCGAGCTCTTCATCTCAAAATGCTTCCTAAGATATGTCTGTAAATCAGAAATACTAGACACATCATCTCCCGTGATGATCATATCAGCAATATAAAGTAAGAGGATAACTATTCCTGAAGAAGAGGAACAAAGAAATAATCTGAAATCGTAGGCACATGTGGTAAAACTAAACTCCAAGAGCACATAGCTAAGTGTGGCATACCAGGCCCGAGGGGTTTGTTTCAACCCATATAAAGCGTAGCGTAAGCGACAAACTTTTACAGAAAATGGAAAAACTTGGAAGAAAAGTCATATAAACTTCTTCAAAAAGAATGTAAAGTAAGAATGCATTCTTGACATTTAACTAAAGAAGAGACCAGTGACGAACAACAGTAATGGCAAAAAAGCAACGAACAATATTAAGATGAGCAACGGGAGTAAAAGTCTCTTCGTAGTCAACTTCATATTCCTGAGAATAACTCCTAGCCACCAGACGCGCCTTGTAGCGCTCAACGGAACCATCAGAATTAATCTTGATTACGGGAAGAAATTACGAGGAGAAATTACAGGGAGAAATTTTCAAAGACTATACCTCAAATAGTTGACTCACAACACCAATGACGCTAAAATATGATACTCGAAGTTTTGGCCTTAATGGATATTTACCGGATCAAAAGTCTCTTATAATAACATCAACTTAATAATAATATTTTATTGGTTAGTTAAGGTGTGAAAGATATTTTAACATTTTTGTTTGATTTATACATAAAGTATAATTGTATGTGTAATAATATATTTGTAATTAAAGAGAAAATTAAAAATATTTTGATATTAATATATGATTATTTTTAGTAAAATAGAAAAAATAGTAGTTTTAAGTGAGACAAACAAAATAGTAAAAAGAGTATTGTGAATTGGAACGGATATAAGAGTATTTTCATTATAGTGGACAGTTAAAAAAGTAGTGTAAAGATAATTTTGTTCTTATTTTTTTGTGTAAAGTAATAATGTAATGATAAAGTAAGAGTATTTGTAAAAAAATATAAAGTATTTTTAAATGGTTAGTTTATAATTGAATAACCCAAAATAGAAATATATATACTCTTTGAATAAACGGAGAAGTACAAATATAGGTACAAACATCATGCTCCCTCCGTCCTAATACAATAGTCTTGTCTACTATTTTTGTCCGTTCCAAAACAATAGTCTTATTTCCATAAATAATCATATCACCATCAAGCTACCCCTACTTTTTCATTTTTATTACACAATTGCCACAACTTTTTACACTAATACACTCAAAAGGGCAAAAAAGTCTTTTATTCATATTTTTTACCAACTACCTATATAATATCAATATTCCTTAAATATCATGTCCAATCCAATTAAGACTATAGTTTTAGGACGGAGGGAGTACCATTTAAAGATAGACAAGATACTGTAAAGACTATGACATACTACATATTATATAGTCTCACACAATACATTATATAAAAAATACAACGTACTATGAACCGAGCACATGATAAATATATCAATACAACACATATGCTTTTATTTAACAAGCTATATATTGTGTTGAATTAAAATATATATTATTTGAAAATTTTATATAATTATATGTAGTGAGCACGGTTTGTTCAAAGTTCATATGATTCTTTAAATAAAATTATACTATTTCTTTTTACTGTAATAATTATTTTATTTTGTTTGAGTATAGGACTAGTAAATAAATTTTTTTTTTAATTTTAATTAAATTATTTAATTATCTTAATTTTAATATAATTACATCTAACTCCTTGATCGTATTTAGAATTGTGCTTTGATTAGAAGCAATTAAGAATCATTTCTTAATTGTTTATACAACAAGAAAAAATCGAATCAGTAACTTTTTTATATTATAAATGATCCAATACAAGTTTCATTTCAAAATCATTCCTTAGAAATTAATTTTTTTCCCCTACTTTTAAATTTTATTGGACACAAAAAAAAACTTTTATCATTCAAATCCCGTGGAAATAATCTTTTTCATTGTATTATATTTATTTTATGATTGGTTACAATGAGAATTATTTGGTTAACTATGCAAGTGGTCAAAACATTAAGGGTGTGTTTGTTTGGGGGATCGGATTAAATTTTCACTGTTCATTCTATTTTTTTCTCAAAAAAACATCAAATCAAACACTTATTTTTTATTTTTTATATTATACTTAAAAATTAATTTTACATTCAAAACATCACATAACACCTATTTATATCACATCATACAACTATTCAAATTCAAAATTTTTACTATTTAAATCCCAACTTAAAATTCAGAGCCCCAAACAAACACACCCTAAGAGTGTTTGTTTAATGTTTATAAAGTACGAATCATTATTAAGGTATTTACTTAAAAAAATGATATTTTATACTAATCATGTTCGTGTTATTTATGACACTTTCTGTTGACAAGGAATGATATTTTAATATAAAAGTGATGTATGTAAAAAATAATGCTATTATAAAAAAATTTATTAAGAAGTTAGAAAAATAGTAATAAAATAATAATTATTTGTTAAAGTAAAAATAATAAAACTATCAATGAATAATTTTACTATAAATTGATTTAAAAAAAAGATATTTCTATTTCTCGATCTCAATTTTTCTATACTAAACACGAACACATTCTAAATACAAATTAAAGTAAAAAGAAATTAAATTAATTAGAAATAGTCGGTTTGTTTTGATACATAGGCAAAAAAATTATAATGTTCTAATATTAAAATAAAATATATATAAAAAGTAAAGGAGGGGTATTATAAAAATTTTAAGTCAAGAAAAAAAATTACACTATATCTTATTAAGTATGTATATTATATATATATTGTTAATATATATTATATTTTTTAATAATATTTATGGAAAATGGTACCATAAAAAAGAAAAAAACATGGTCAAACTATATCATATATTGTTGCTCCAAATTATAATTATACAACAAACATTTACAGCCACGGTTACTATGTTGATTGGATCAATAGCCACGGTTACTATGTTGATTGGATCAATAGACGTGATGCTGATATCATATATAATACTATTTTCGTTCGTCTCTGAGGATTACATTTACATTTTACGTCATTGTATTTAACACTAAAACTCTTAGAACTAGACGGAGATAGTATATGTATATAATTGTAAATAAAATGCGGATGCTACAGTACAGAATTTTAAAATTCACCATTGCGCTGACAACACACTGCAGTACATGGTGTGCTGTCTGACAGCACACAGTGTTACTACCGGCAGCACACCATCTGCATTCATATAATATAAATACAACACATGAACTAACATCACATAATCAATACTTGATTTCAGCACACTGTTATACAGTAGCACACTTGTAATTATGAACCAACAACACAAATACAACACATGAACTGACAGCATATACTATAGCCTTGTAGAACACAAATATTAATTGATTTCAGCACACTACATACTGTTATACAACACGCTATAATTATGAAACAACATAATATGTCATTATTATACACAGCATGTATTGTATATAATAAGACCGTGTGCTGTTTGTATATATTACGGGTGCTGATTTGAATGCTATTTTTTCCAATTAAGTAACCTAACCGTCCCCCGTAAACAAAAACAATAACAAAAGTTTCTATAATTTAATTACTGCTATAGGATCCATGCATGCACGCCTAAGATATAGAGTCATATATTATCGTGTTTGACGGGTATTGTAGGACTTACACTCCACACATTTCTGTGCAATTACGTGGTATTTAACTTCCGACTTGCTTCCACAGTCGTTGCAAAGAATCCAAACCTGCCAAATCATATAAAGAGTATCATCTGTGGATTTGAGGACATGTTTATGCAAATTTGGAGAGAGAGATACCGTCTTGTTTTCGAGGGATGGTGGCATCGGCGTGGCTGCGATTTCCAGATCAAACTTCTCCCACACTTTCGACATATCGCATACTGACTTGGAACATATTGGGCAAGAATACCTGTTCGTCAACAATCAATATATTCATTTTCTGATAATAATAATACTAACCGGCTCGCAAAAGATGTTCTTGTGCTCGTACAAAATTAATCAGTAGGTATTGACGCCATATGAATTATAATCTAGTAGCACAAAATATATATGAACTGACAACACATGATATGATAGTAGTTCATATAATATATACTATCACTGAACTCAAAACACATGATATATATAAAAATATAAAGACATAGTTTCAATTAATACAATATGTGCCGTTTTAACTAAAGTCATGTATTGTCTGTCTATTTTGTATGCGCTTATTAGAGCTGGTTAATTATTCCCATAGTTTGGGTACAATAATAAAATATAGTATTTACATTTAGGATATGTTTGGTTGGGGGATTTTTCCCAATTTTCACTATTTATAAAAAAATTTTCTCAAAAAAACATAAATCAAATATATATTTTTTATTTTCTATATTTTACTAAAAATTAATTTTAAATTCAAAATATCACATTAATACCTATCTACAATTATTTCAATTCAAAATTTTTACTATTCAAATATCAACTTAAAATCCAAATCCCAAAACAAACACACCCTTAAAATTACCCCGAAACACTCATCTTACCGATGGTGCTCCTGCATCTCTTCCAAGCACATCTTGTGGATAGTGTGCCCACACGCCAATGCAACAACATCATTTCTTGACTCAAACAGATACTGAACATTGAAACCATTTTGCTTCAGTTTTACATCAGATTCGAATGCATTCCAAATACGGAGGATATTAAGTAGGAAAGTATAATATGTTCTTGATTGTTAGCTATAGATATCTCTTTTGTATTATTAGGCCCGAGCCCACTAGTATTTATACTTTTGCATACTCTTATTTTCGTAATAATACAATTTTCACAATTTTTCCCAAATTGTAACATTGATGAGAGCATAAGAAATGGGATTTTATGTATACCTCAAAGCAAACAGGGCAGTCTTGGTGCATTGCTCTCTCCACACATGGATGGCTGTTTTTCAAGACAGATGAAAAGCAGCATCCTGCATCGAAAAATATAATTTGAGATGTGAGGATGAAAATTGACAGTTGCGAAACTGCGAAGAATGCTACCACATTTGTTGCAGTGAAAGAAATTCTTGGAGCCCCCGATCCTGCAATGGCGGCATATAAGCATAAGTAAACCCCAAAAGCCAAGTGATCTTTCGATGAACTATAACAAAGAGTCGTTCATTATTGAAAGAAAAATGAGAATAGAGGATTAAGTTGTCGAAGTAATCAATGTAACATAGTGTGTTTTCGCTACACATCTGTAATGTTTAGTGACCCAATATTATTTCTCCTAAGAAATTTTGCATTCAACATCTGATTTTTCATTTGAACATCATGTGTATAAAAACTATTTTGATTTTAGAACATTTAATCCAACCTAATTTTCCATTTGAAACATCACATCAAATATTTTTTTTTACTCTAAAAGATTTGGTCGATGACATTGTTGTTTATTGATATTGCTACTCTACCTGCAAATGCCACAACCATTGCAGTGATACTGCTCCTTAGATATCTGCAGAAATGAAATACATAAGAATTCATTCATGGTAACCAAAGAAATAGATCACAGCACAAATGGCGATAATTATCACTTACATCATCATCAAAAAGCTTGCAGACGCCACAGTAGTACTTCCCCATGCATATACCGCAATTGAAGCAGACTTGTCGAACCTGAGAGCAGTGCCAACAGGGAATAACATCTTAGCTCAGAAAGAGAAATATCGAAAACCAACTGAAAAACACAAGGTGTTCTGAAAGACTTCAGATCACCAAAATTTAATACTCTACTGCAGTTTGATGGAAATAACACAATTTGGAGCTTATTCAATAAACTAACAAACCTCTTGTTCAGTGTCACAGAAAGAGCATATAACCTGCAAAATAAATCGAAGAATCGATATATTAGTGATTACCAAGCTAAAGCAGAAAAAGAAAGAAGCCAGGCAAAAGCAGACCTTCTCAATTAAGTGGCGAGGGACATCGTGCCTGAGCTTTTGATCAGTTGAAATATCATTCTATTGATTGAAAGAAAGCAAGTCAAAAAATTTACTGTATGTGGTATCGTCAGGCATTCTCAAGAGAAAACAACAAGACAAGGAAATCCCCCTCCTAACTCTGCTAGTGCTACCGGTCAATAAAATGACTACTCGATGTTTCACTGCTACATGAATCAAATTTTACAATAAAAGCAAGAATAATTGCAAACATCAACATAAAAAACACACCCAAAATAATCTCAGGCATGCAGAAATTCCTTTATCAGAAACACTTACCTTTGCCTCATTATGACAGTGATGGCAATCAAATATCTCTTTGCAACATGGAGCTCTGATTCGGCACCTTCGACGATAATGAGAACACCTGAAAATTCAACTATGAATATGAGCAGAAATCACAAAGTGCAGAATCAAAAAATAAACAACTAAAGATAGAAGACCATACCCATACTCCAGGTAACCTTTATCTAGTGTTTCAGAGCCTGTATGTTTCTCATAACAAAACAATTCTTCTGCTGGAGTATGCTCTTCAATAGAAGGCTGCAATGGTGAATTGACAGTTGTGTTTCCATTTGCTATCTGAATCTCTTCATCGAATATATTTTGTGATATACTTGGCTCAACATTGCTACAGTGACCAACAGCCATAGGGGACAGTAGACTGTATGAAAAAAGGTTTCCACACACCGAGCTGCTTTGGAATGACTATAAAAGACCTGCATTCAGGAAGATAGTAAGGCAAATACCAAATATTCATGCATTTCTAATCTAGCAAATCCCTGATTGGCAGCATTGCTAGATCGAGAATCTTTTCTAACAATTTTGCAGTAACAACCTCCAACACAATATATCCCACTAAGCTTGAACAGCTCCACTCTTAAATCTCAAAGAACAAGACCCATCACACCAAGTGGATCTACAACCAAACCAATCAACAAATACAGAGCTTTGGAGCTATGGAACTTGCAAGCTTCAAGTACATAACAACCATTGCACAAACTTGATCCTAAAAATCTGAACTATTTAAAGAGGACATCAAATGAGATGCCAAACTAGGTCATCAGCAAAAATCAAGCAGGTGACAAAGGTCATCAGCAAATTGTCAAAGCTTGAGGATTGCAAGGATGGGTTCCAAATTCCAATACTTGTCCCAAATTTTGAGATCTACTGTAGTCTCGCATTCTGCATGATTTCTTTATGATCTCAAGATATGGCAGCACCTTCGCAAGAGCAATCAGTAGGAATATTTCTTGAGGAATATTTCATATCGTCACATCCAGTGATCTGCCTCAAGTTAGTTCTTAACATGTATAGAAGTTCATCACTGCTATTCAAACTATCTATCTACCATGAGGCTGGAAAATCAATGCTGCAATTTACACCCAAGTAAAAAAGTAGTAGCTTCTAACCTAAGATACGAGTTAGTATGCTATGTGTTCTGAAGTTTCAGACCAACCTCAATCAGGTGTACAGAATTAGACATGGTAATGCACCGCATGTTTGAGTTGAAGTTCTTTGATAGGAGCTGAATCCAATATATTAATGGAAAGAACACAACATATTCATATAAAACCTAAAACATTTCTAGATAATTGGATGGCAAAGAACATAGTACAGGAAAAATCGGTTTAACCAGATCGTGTGCACAACTTTTAGCTTCAAACTCAGACGGCAAGAATCCAGAGTGAGCTATGACTCATATAACCCAGATTCAATAAAGAAGACAAGACTCTGCAGCATACATATTCGATCACCAGTTCACCATAGTCACACGTACGTGCAGGAAATCTTTCAAACTACCGAAGATGGCAAAGTTAATAAATAAATCAAACAAACATACACATGAAACTAAAAAGACCGGAATCACACATTAAACTCGAAGCCAATAAAGAACGACTCAACAACATTCGAAACAACGAACTTTAAGGCCTTAGCTCGTCGCAGCAATCACTTCCTCCAATTCGTCGCAAACCGCCTCCCCTACCAAATCGGCAACCACGTACACATAAAAACAGAGCAAGAAACGCACAATCACGTCCTAGAATTACACAATGCAGCGAAAAAAGAACTGCTTCGTATAAATAGGAAATTTTCCAACTCTTATAACAACAGTTATGAAGCAAAAGATCGAAATACTTCGTATAAATAGGCAGAACTCGTTGAAAAAACCAAAAGCAAAACAAAAAAACGGAGCTGTAAATTAGATCAACATTCAAAAGTAAAGGTAGTGTTCCGATTTACTTCCATTGTTTTTCAGCCCAAAAGAATGGAAATTTCTGAAACGTGGGGCGACGATCGACGGTTTGAATCTTCGATTACGCGGAAGGCAGCTGGCTCTAGTGTGAATTTACAAGAATGCCCCCAGCACCGCCACAGGGAAAGCCTTTATCAATTTTTTTTTTTATTATTTTCCGCGAACCTCTTTAGAAAAATTCTATGGATTCCATAGCTGACTATATTACGAGCTTTTTAACACTAACTTTACCAAAAGTTTTTATTTTTTATTATCAGAATGATGTATTGTTTATATTTTATTTTTTTTATAAAATATTATATTTCATCCGTCCCAATATTATACTCTCTTCGGTTATCATTTTTTATTTCCCTCTTTCCCAAAATAAAGTTATTATTTTCTAATTTAATTTAGTAATTGTATTATCTATTTAACATAATAAATATTTTTTCAATTGCATAAAAATTATTACTTTTATATTATATCATATTAATATGGTATTTTTGTCTTTTTTTATTATAATTCAATATATTACTAATATTAAAAAATTTACGTGTAAACGCCGCCGGAGAGAGTATTAAATATTATTTATATTAAAAAAATAAAGATGATATTGCAGTACAAACTAATAAATAGAGAATATGAAATAATGCAATTAAATAAGCAATAATAGAGAAGGAGGGTGTAATCTAAGTAGGGAAACTTTCAATCTTTTTTACCTTTTTAAGGGATTTACTGTGCAAGTTTTTTATGACTTTCAATTTAAACACTCTTTTGATTCACTAGTTTTATAATTATTTCTTTCATAATTTACAAAAAGATATAGGTATAAAATTTACAAAAAATAATATATATATAATTAATTTTTATAAAATAAAATAATTATTTTTTATGAGAACTGCCTTATCAATTTGAATTTAAAATTCAATTTCAAATAGGCTCGTATTTTATATTTGAATTCAATTTGAATTTTAAAATAAATTTTAAAATTTGTTTCTTTAGATTAATAAATTTAGTTTGGGGTTTAGGAATTTTGATGGATATTGATTTAATATATTATAGATATATTGATATAAAAATATAATGTAATAAATTGAATTTTTTAAAAAATAATAAAAGAAAAAAAAAAGAAGGAGGTTAATGAAAAAAAATAATTATAAGTATGTTGTAGTGAATTTTTTGAACGGGACAACAACTCTCGACTATTTCTTTGAAGGTGACATTTAAATAACAATAATAAAAATAATAATAAATGATATGATAATAGGGGTGAGCATTCGGTTTGGTTCGAACATAATTGAACTTTGAATTTTGGTTAGTTTTTTATTTGTAAAATTTAAAATTAAAACCGAATCAAAATTTATAAAATTAAACTAAATCAAACTAAACTAATTTGGTTCGATTTAAAATAAATAAATCAAATTTTTTGAAATTTTTATAATGACACTCGAACTCATTAGTTTTTCTATTTTTTTATTTTATAATGATACTCAAACTCATTAGTTCAATTCATTTTTCATCGTCAATACATAATATCTCCAATACATGCTAAAGCAACTTACAAATAAATTAAATAGTGAAATATAAATATTTAAAGATCAAAATTATAATATATATAATATATATTTTATTTTATTTTAAAATTTGATTTTTTTTTATTTAAAATTTGAAAAACATAACAAATCGAAATCTAAATTTATAAATTTGATTTTAAATTGAACCGATCCAATTAATCAAATAGATTTGCCCGAAAAAGAAAAAAAAAAATATTCTTTTGGTTTCAACCGAGCAATGCTCACCTCGGACGATAATAATTAACGGCAAAAAAATTCTAATAAATCTTAAACATTGAAGGAGCAAATCCAAAATAAACAAATTCTAAGCCAGACAATTCTCATCCACACACTCCACATGGCGAGCTTCTGGTGCGGTGGTCCACGGACCCGCGAAATTCTACACCGCCGCGGTAAATTCTCCGATCCACCAGCAACTAAACCCTAAAAAATCTCATCATTCAACGAATCAGAAACTAAAACCCTTTTCTATATACGTACATTCTCACATATACCAATTCATCACCTGAATCATCGCCGCCGCCGCCGCAGCCGCCGCCGTCGTCATGCACACAACGGCGAGCCATTTCCATGGCAGCCGCCGGGGAAGTCTTCTAGCATCTACATTCCTTTTGTTCTTCACTTACTCGACAGCAATTCAGCAAATACAGAAGCCGTACAAGGGTGACACTATCGCAATTCCGCCATGGCTGAATTTCGAAAACCCTAGATTGAAGAACGCCTACATTGCTCTGCAAGCTTGGAAGGCGTCGATGCTCTCCGATCCGGAGAATTTCACCGGAAACTGGATCGGCTCCGACGTCTGTAACTACACCGGAGTTTTCTGCTCGCCGGCGCCGGATAATCCCCTCGAGCGTACAGTCGCCGTCATCGATTTGAACCACGCGAACATCGCCGGAACCCTAGCTCATGAATTGGGGCTTCTCCACGATCTCGCTCTGATTCACCTCAATTCGAATCGATTCTGTGGAGAAATTCCTCAGAGCATCGTCAATATGAAGCTCCTGCACGAATTGGATCTCAGCAACAACCATTTCCCCGGCGAGTTTCCGGCGACTCTGCTAGATCTGCCGGAGCTCAACTACCTCGACATCAGATTTAACGAATTCGAAGGACCGCTGCCGAGGAGACTCTTCGAGAAGGATCTAGATGCAATTTTCATCAATAACAATCAGTTCTCCTCCGCCTTGCCGGATAATATGGGAGATTCGCCGGCGTCGGTGATCGCGGCGGCGTTTAACAAGTTCGAAGGATGTATTCCGGCGAGTGTGGAGAAGATGCAGAATCTGGAGGAGCTGATACTTTCTGGCAACAAATTCTTCTCGTGTCTCCCCGACGAGATCGGGAATTTGAAGAATTTGACGGTGCTTGATGTCAGCCGGAACAAATTCGTCGGACCGTTGCCGGAGACGATCGCTGATATGGAGAATTTGGAGGAGCTGAAGGTGGAGCAGAACATGTTTTCCGGCGACGTCTCCGAGGAGATTTGCAGGCTTCCGAATCTGACGAATTTTCAGTACGATCGCAATTTCTTCTCCGGCGGGTCGCCGGCGTGTTCGCATCTGCCGATTTTCGACGACAGGATGAACTGTATCCGGGGCCGGCGGAAGCAGAGGTCCGCCGATCAGTGTGGGAGGTTTTTTTCGAAGAGAATTCACTGCAGCGCCTTTCGGTGTAATCTTCCTCCTCCTTCTCCTCCGGCTGAACCACAGCCGCCGCCTGCCGCCTGTTCTCCGCCGTCGCCGCCGCCGCCTCCTTGTTCCTCTCCTCCTCCGCCGCCAGTTCACAGACCTCCAAGTCCGCCGATTGCACCTCCTCCGCCGCCGCCGCCGCCACCAATTAACATTTCCCCTACCGCTCCTCCACCATCAAATTCGTCCCCGCCGCCTCCATGTGAATGTATAATTCCGGCGCCGCCGCCTGCCATTCCCTAAATCACCATAACTCGCCCTTCTTCAATCACTGGGATCGATCCATCGTTTTGTCCGTAGGTGATAGGCTTGTTCTTTTTCGGACAGCAGTCGTTCAGGTGTACATTTCCCGCCTTTAAATTTGTTTTATTATTATTTTTAATTCTTCTAAACACAAACAAGGAGGTAATATATATAATTACCTAAGTCCAAATCTCTCCATGGCTTGGCTATATCTCAAATCAACAGTAAGTAATTGTTTTTTTTATTTGGGATATGTTTTTTTATCCTAAATCACACAATTTTTTACTATTTGCTCTTTGTATTTTTGAATCACAAATATCCTATCAAATAGTATTATTTTAATAGCAATTTCGAACCAAATTTCTTTTCAAACAAATCAAAAGAAACACACTGATTTCAAAAAATTTAATTTGAATTTAATATTAAAATAATATTTAATGTAAAAAAAAAATTAAAGAGTAAGATTTTAAAAATTTAAGAAAAAAAATACATTTAATTCACAGATATTTTGAATATAATATATTATAATTTTAAAAAAATATATATCAATACAAAACATTTAAAGTCTTAATTTATTTATTTTTTCATTTAAATTTTTATAGACATAAAACCAAATGATGCTTTTCTTGCATAATATATTACTCCCTCCGTCCCACATACCATGTCTACGTTGATGTTTCTGTCCGTCCCACATACCATGTTATTATTTTTTTTTTTTAAAATGATTAACACTTTAATCTCATGTTAAACTTTTTAATTTTTTTTTAAATTTTAATTAAACTAATTAGTTATCTTAATCTTAATTTATAATTATTTATATTATCGGATAATTATTTTCACTAATAATTCTTAATTATCTACTAATTACATACATCCTAAAATATTATGTCTACAGTGTAATAGAGACGGTAGGTGAGACGGAAATAGTATTAAGAGTTTTCTAAATGGGTTATAAGATTTTTTTAGTCCGTGTTTAAAATTTTTAATATTAATATTATTTCTTCTAGAGAAAATTTTGGATGAATTCAATGTAAATACTTGTGACATATTGATAAATAAATGTAATATTAGTATAAATGGAAGATGATGTAAAAATTATTTGTTATAATTAGGAATTGCATATTTTTGTATTATTTTTTTATAAAATTTTAAATTCAAACATAAATCAAACAATTTTTTTTTTTTTGTTTCTTTAATGCAAATTTCAATATTTCTATTAAAGCATATCATTTTATTAACCAAATATTAATAGAAAATCATGATAAAAACTAGAAAAAAAAAAATGATAGTAATTATAGTGATATGTAGTACAATAAAAGCTCGATGGATCCGACATATATGAGATATTTTTATAAATCTAAAAAATTTAACTTAAAATTGGATTCGAACCTTAACTTAAAAATTTAAAAATATTTTATTCAAAAATATTATAATAAAATTATAATAGACAAATAAATTAAACTAAATATATATATTTTTAATATAACTATATTGTTAGAAAAAAAAAAAACTTAAATAGTATTCATATATTATTAATATATTTATAGAGTCTAATTTGAGTCCGGATTCGGGTAGAATCTACCCCTGACTAGACACTAGACCCAACCGATTAGGATACACAATATCCAACTCCTATTTGATTCGATATTAGAATAATTGAATCCGACTCCAAATAAATAAATTGAATTCGGATTGATTTTAGGTTTATCCAAACTCATTGTCATATTCGACCTGATATTCAAATAATTGAACATGATTCCAAATAAATAGTTTGAATTCGGGTCAGATCTCGGGTCTACCCGAGCCCATTGCCATCTCTAATATTCTCCATCTCCACATATTTTTACAAATTTCGTACATAAACTTTATAATTTCATGTGTGACTTGACACGAATTAATCCTCTCTCGAAGGCCGTTTAGGCCGGTTTTGCCCCGGCCCCAATGCAAATTGAGCGCATTTGAATTTTAAATTTAATGTTTGGAGCATATTATGAGTTTTAAGAATTTAATTTAAAATGATCCAGTTCGAGTTATGGATTTGCTAAAAAACCGATCCTAAACCCGATTAAATAAATAATTTTAAAAGTTACTACCTCCATCCCTTAAATAAAAATAAATATGTTTTTTTACAAGTTGAACTTTGAATATTAATATAATGTTCATACATAATATAAATCAAAAGAAAAAAAAATACTTTTGTTAATATTGTATAATACAAATATAAAAATATTTTAATATTAAGTACAATGACATCAAAAATAAATTGATACATTATTAAAGAAAGTATGGAGTATTATATATTTCTAACCCGGTTAAATGACCCATAAAAAGAATAAAATGTAGGAACATTTTATAAAATAAAACGGGTTTTTGGATTGGCTCCAAATCTAATAGGTTTAAGGTGGGGCAGGTAGGGCGGGTTCTCAAATCTAAGAATGACAATGGATCGGATCTAATTGAATTTGAGATCCGATCCGAAAACACATTGTTTGGCCCCAGATCCAAAGCGAACCTGGCTATACCCGAATCCCATTTTATTATGATATTATTTATTCTCTTTGTTTCAATTCATTAATTTTTTTATTATTTTTGTTTGTCTCATTCAAAAATATTTATTTTATTTTTTAATAAAACTAATCATATACTAATATTAATGTATCATTTAATTTTTACTTAAATTATAAAAGTACCATTATATATACAATTAATTTTTATATAAAATCAAAATCAAAAGACAAAATTGTCAAAATCTATCAGACACTTTCACTAAAAAAAAAAATACAAAATATTATATTTTATAATATACTATAAAACTCTAAATAAATCCTTTTTAAACAAGATGGAAATAGTATTATATTTAAAAAAAAATATGTTGAAATATTATATTAAAATATATTTCCTATTCAAAATATTGTTATTTTCTACCTAATTTCCTATGAAAATAGGGTGTGTTTGGTATTAATTGGAATTTGAATTTTTCATTTAAATTGTAATTTATTTTTATTAAAAATTATACAAATATAATAATATTTATTGGTATAGAGCCAAAACAAACAAACCAAAACTTTATTACTTCCTCCGTTCCATAACAAAGTATCCATTTTTCCATTTTAGTCCGTGTCATAACAAAGTATCCATTTTTTTTAATAACTGTACTTTCTGCCTAACATTACAAATATCCTTACAACTTACAATATATTACACAAATGTCATTACCTTTATATCACACATACTAATAAGGTTATTTTAGTCATTTCTACTTTATTTTTACTATATCTCAATATAATACTAATACTTCTAAAACTATGTGAAAAAAGCAAATTGATACTCAGTTTCGGAACGGAGAGAGTAATATAATTATTTACATGTAAAGGAAGGAATTAAAGCAAGGCATATGCTTTTATTCCCAATAAAATATTTGAAGTTTTATTGGTCAAAGAGTTGACAACTAAAACGTTCTCGATTCTATCCTAATTAGCTTTTATCGTATTGTGTTTTTATTAAATAAACTTTTCTATATACATAAATATCTTTGGATTGAATAAGATATGTTAGAAATTACATATATATTGTTTGTGATTTACATATTTTCTAAAATAAAAATAAGAGTAAAAATTATTTTTGGTATCATTTAATATTGTAATTATCAATTTTTTTTTATCAATTTTGGTCCCACTCAAATAAAAATTTATCAATTTTAGTCCCAAGATAGTTGACTGGGCTTGAACACGACCGTGTTGGAAGACTCAGAAGGAGACTAGGTGTCCCAGGCAACCAACACGGCCGTGTTGGTCTCAACACGGCCGTGTTCATACCCTTGTTCGGTCATGTTCTTGCTAGCCATGTTCTAGGTTATGTTACTGCTCATGTTCTCAACACACCCGTGTTCACGATCATGTTTTCAATATAATCATATTGTAGGTCATATTTATTATTATTTTCACTTTTTAATTAAAGTTATTTGATATAAATATATATATTTATAATTCAACAAAAATATATTTTACAACTATTTCATAATATAAAAAATAATCAATTTTTAATATTTTAAAAATATATAAAAATAATGTTATATTAATATATATTTTTAATAATCATTATATATATATTTAAAAAATTATAGTAAAAATTTTAAAATATTATTTTAAATTAACTATTTTTATAAATTATAAATTAAATTTATTATTCAAAATAATATTTTAAAATAATACTCCCTCCGTCCCATGTTAGATGTCTGGGTCACAATAGATACGATAATTGAATATAAGTATATTTAATAGATAATTAAAAATATATTAGTGAAAATAATTATCATATAATATAAATAATTATAAATTAAGATTAAGATAACTCATTAGTTTAATTAAAATTAAAAAAATAAATTAAATTTAAAAATCATGTGTAATTATTTTCCATAAAGGCAGTGACATGGGATTGTGTGACGGATAGAGGATATGGTAAGTGAGATGGAGGGAGTATTATTAAAAATATATATTAATATAAGTATTATTTTTACATATTTTAAAATATTAAAAATTAATTATTTTTTATATTATGAAATAATTATAAAAAATATTTTTGTTAAATTATAAATATATATATTTATATCAAACAATTTTAACCAAAAAATGAAAATAATGCTAAATATGACATACAATATGATTATATTGAAAATATGGTCGTGAACATGGCTTATAACATGATTGTGTTGAGAATATGGGCATAAACATGGCTTGGAACATAGTTGTGTTGTGTTGAGAACATGGACATGAACATGACTGTGTTCAGAACACCGGCAGGAACACGGCCGAGTTCAGAAGTGCAGAGTAATCAACACGGTAATGTTGAGACTAACACAGCCGTGGTGGCTGTTTGGGACGCCCAGTCACCTTCTGAGTCATCCAACACGGCCGTGTCCAAGCCAACTTGCGTGTTCAGTCCCAGTCAACCATCTTGAGACTAAAATTGATAAATTGTATATGTAACTGTATATTTATAATTTAAGTAAAAATTAAAAATATTTTGATATTAGTATATAGTTAATTTTTTAAAAATAAAAAAATAAATATTTTGAAGTAGGATAAACGAAAATAATAAAAATAATACAATATTTGTAATAAAGACGACCTAAGCACTTACATTTGAATAAATTAGATACAAATAAACTAGTATCCTCCGTACCACATACCATGTCTACTACACTGTAGACACGGTATTTTAGGAGGGGTGTAATTAGTAGATAATTAAGAATATATTAGTGAAAATAATTATTTGATAATATAAATAATTATAAATTAAGATTAAAATAACTAATTAGTTTAATTAAAATTTAAAAATAAAATAAAATTAATAAGTTTAAAATGAGATTAAAGTGTGTAATAGGACGAACAGAAACGACAGCGTGGACATAATATGTGGGACGGAGAGAGTATTATATTATATGCTCTATAGCATAATAAAAGTATGTGTTTTGGTTAATGTATTGATTCCAACAAATGCAACGTAGAGCTGTTTTGAACTTTTGACCCAATCAATATATTTATAATAATAATAGTATATATTAATATAATATTATATTTATAAAATTTACATAGTAAATATTAATACAATATATAATGTAACACATTATTCATGTAACATAACATATAATATATATTTCTATATAACATATGATATTTTATTTGTCTTATAATTAAATATTAATTACTTCAAATTTATAAGTTAACTTGGTCATATTATATATTTTATGATGAAATCTTAATTGCTAAAATATTTGCTTAAAAGAATAGATATTCAAATAATAATTAAATAATATTTTATCTACTCCATTTTAATTGTATTTTTTTTCAGTGGTGAAATTTATTAAATTTAAACCTACTTAATAAATATTAATAAATTTAATTAATTTTATAATATATAATATACTGTATAACTCATTTAAAAAAAATTTATTTATACCTACCTCCTCAATAAATAATTATAAATATTTATATTTAAAACTCCTTATTGTTTATAAAATTCATTTATTTTAGCTATAAATAAATAAATAAATATAATTTTTATTTTGTTTGTATTATTTAAAATTTTATAGTTCACAAAATGATTTTTATATTGCATATATTTTTATTAAGGTATAATAATTTAAATTTATGTAAATTATATATATTAATTTTTATTTTAAAATTATAATAATACTATTAGTATAAAAAATAATACTCCCTCTGTCTTAATACAATAGTCTTGTTTACCATTTTTGTCCGTTCAAAAATAATAGTCTCATTTTCATAAATAAATATATCACCATATAATTATATCTACTTTTTCATTATTATTACACAATTGCCACTATTTTTTACACTAATATGCTCACAAGGGCAAAAAATTTATTTATCGTTACTTTTTACCAACTTAAGTCCGTAGACAACATAATAAGACTATACTTTTGGGATGAAGGGAGTATTTTAGTGTAATATTATTAACTAATTAAATTATATTACTTTAAAGACCGTGCCACCATAAAAAATAGGACGAAGGGGATAGATAATACTGACTTTATCCGGCTCTAAAGTCTCATTTAGTTTTTGTTTATTGATATTTGAATATTAATTATTATATCAAAACCTATTACAAATTTAAAAAAAAATTGTAAAAATAGTTCAGTTACTATTTTATAATACTAATAGGAACATTTGTAAAATAAAAAAATTAATACTTTTAATGTTAAGGTAAATATGACCATAAAAAGCGTAATTCTAATACTCTCACAAACAAACACGTTGTGATAGATACACGCAATAACATACCTACCATGTATAGTTTCAGATGGGATGATTTGCAAATGGAATCAGCATATATATTGAAATTAATTTCTACCTCTAATATGATGGAGAATCTCCTTACATTTACCGGCGACCGCCTCTTCAAATTCCGTCGCCGTCCCTTCGCCAATCCCAGAGCCATATTCTATTTCTCACTCTTTTCACTTCTATAAATTCATTATCATCACTCCTCTCTCTCCTCAATCAAATTCCTTCAACCACAAAAATGGAAGAAACCGCGCCGCCGCCGCCGGCGAGTCGTAGCCGGAGCAGCCCGTTGGCGGCGGTGCAGAAAGCGAAGCAGAATCTGGCGCTCGGGTCCAAATGGGGGGAGCTAAACGGCGCCATGGGGGATCTCGGGACCTACATTCCGATCGTCCTCGCCATAACCCTAGCAAAGAACCTGGACCTCGGGACCACCCTCATATTCACCGGCGTCTACAATTTCGTCACCGGAGCAATCTACGGCGTCCCGATGCCGGTCCAGCCGATGAAGTCGATCGCCGCCGTCGCCATTTCGAACCCGGCCTTCGAGGTCCCGGAGGTCATGGCCGCCGGGATCTGCACCGGCGGGATACTCTTCGTCCTCGGCGCGACGGGGTTGATGCGCCTAGCCTACCGGCTGATTCCGATCGCCGTCGTCCGGGGGATCCAGCTGGCGCAGGGGCTGTCCTTCGCCATGACCGCCGTTAAGTATATTAGAGAACTGCAGAGCTTCGGCAAGTCCAAGGCCGCCGGAGAGCGGCCATGGCTGGGATTGGATGGCCTGATTCTGGCCCTGGTTTGCGCCGGTTTTATTATGATTGTGAACGGCGCCGGCGCCGGCGTCGAAAGCCCCGCCGGAGAGGGTGGGGGTGAGATTGACTGTGAAATGGACGGCGGGGATCGGACGGATGAGGCGGATAAGTGGGGGAGATGGAGGGCTGCGATTGCATCGCTTCCATCGGCGTTCATTGTGTTCTTGTTAGGTGTGGTATTGGCTTTTGTAAGGGGGCCGGGGGCCGTTAAGGGGTTCCGAATCGGGCCGTCGCCGATATCGGTAGTAAAGATTTCGAAGGATTCATGGAAGGAGGGGTTTATCAAGGGGACAATCCCTCAGCTTCCCCTGTCAATTTTGAACTCTGTTATAGCAGTTTGTAAGCTGTCGACCGATCTTTTTCCCGACAAGGATGTGTCGGCAACATCGGTTTCGATCACCGTGGGGCTGATGAACCTCATAGGGTGTTGGTTCGGGGCAATGCCGAGCTGCCACGGGGCGGGCGGGCTGGCAGGGCAGTACAAGTTTGGGGGGAGGACGGGAGGGTGTGTGGCGATGCTCGGGGTGGCGAAGTTAGTGTTGGGGTTGGTGTTAGGGAGCTCTTTGGTGAGGATATTGGATCAGTTTCCGGTTGGGGTTTTAGGAGTTCTGCTGCTGTTCGCCGGGATTGAGTTGGCGATGTGTTCCCGGGATATGAATTCGAAGGAGGAATCATTTGTGATGTTGATCTGCGCTGCGGTTTCGCTCGTGGGATCGAGCGCGGCGCTCGGGTTTCTATGTGGGATGGTTGTGTATTTGCTGGTGAGGATGAGGAGAGTTGGGAGAGGTCAATCTTGGTCATCTTTGTGGTTTAGTAGCAACACTTAGAGGGTGCAGAGTTTTATCAATTGTATGGTATGTGGCATAAAGAAGCTTTTAGCTTTTTGTTGATGTTAAAAAAACTCTTGTCGTTATAGAGCACAAAAGAGAATGCAAGAAAGAAATACATAAACATATAGAGATATACATACCCTGAATTTGCAATTAACAGCAACTGTTGGCTGTGTATTCATTCTTTCAAGACTTGCAGAGGTTGTTGCAACTGCCAAAGCATCTCTCCAGTCTTGCACCATCTGCAAATGACACAAAAAAAAAAAAACTAGTAAATCGATGATCACCGTCGACAGGAATCAAATTTCATCATATATATGTATGTATATATACACCATTGGCTGCCGGAGCGCAGAGCTCGAGCGAGCATCCAATCCGGCAGTAGTACTGGTAATCTGCAGGCGAGCGGGGGACGCATTTGTTGAGGCACTGGTAATAGCAAGATAACATCTCCGGTCGGGTTTTGTTGCTCCTCAGAAAGCAGTTATTGTAGCATCCTCCCCAGCAGGTGTATCTCTGTGCATTCACAGCCGCACAGTTTGACAGGATGATCGAAGCCACCAGAATCACCGCCACAGCGCCGCTGATCGGCGTCCTCCTCCTCCTCTCCATAGCCACAATGCCCTCTGCATAAATAGGCTTCAGTTATATAACAGATTTTAGATGAAAGGATGTGTAGTAATATCACAACTACTTTTGGGATCATTAATATCATATATTTATTGATTTGGTTAGCAAGTGTAGTAACTTTGTCCTGTGGGAAAGCAGCCTTCATTGCAACTTTCCAAGAGCATGACAGGAAAAACCGTGGTTAGTTTCAGTTTGCAGACACTACATGTAAGAAAGAAGATTGGCAGGATGTCAGCCACACGGCGGTTATTACTATGCTGAATTATAAATTTTAGCAGCCGACAGCACATGATATAAATATAAATAATATATGTTAACATAATACAATACAAATACAGCATATGAACTGATAACATCGTTATATCATTTACCGGAATACAAGAAATATATTCATACAACATACTTACAAATATGAATATCATCAGACCATGCTGAATCCTGCAATCATGGATTTAATCAGGCAGGCCTACAGATCATATCAGTTTTGTCCTGGCTGGTAAAGATTTTTTATGAATGAAACTAAGAAAATAAAACTGCAGGGGAATCAATCAGAGTTCAAATTCATCAATAGAAGACAACATCATAAATTTATGGGACATGATCTAGTTCTAGAAGGTCACAGTTCAATTCTTGTCCTCACTTGGTAGATGAAACATTTAATTCTAAATTGTTAAGATTAATGTACTAGGAAATAAGACTATTGTGAAGTGCGGAAGAGAAGCAGGACCGACAAATAAACAACGAAATAAGAGAGGGAGCAAGGGACATACTGAATTTTGACCTTCTGCAATCCCCTTTGTTGAGCATAGCAAAGGATATAATAAGGCTTAGCCATTAACCGAATGGATTTCCTCCTCGTGATGCCGAAGGATTGGGAGCAGCTGGAAAAGAGTTGGTTCCGGGCTGTTGTTGAAATGGGTTGAATGATGTAAACGCATGTTCTGATCTTCCAAAGTCGGCATTTCCTTGTGGCCTATGAGAAAAGTCTACAAATTTAAGAGCTGAAATAATGTAGAGAAAATACAAATATAGAGTACTCAAATATTCCCCGAAATACAAATATAGAAGTGAAAGATAGAAGAAAACATGATCAATGACAGCAATGCAACAAAAAGTAACCCAGCAAGAGACAAGGCAAGATTGATGTTAGTTTCCTCTTATTCCTGACTAGATTTTAGAGAAGCCGAAATTCAAGTCACCTGTTAGGCGGGATGTTATTGGGCAGCTGCGGCATGTAAGCACCGGGAACTGAATAGTTAGATAAGAGCATAGAAGAAACTATCATTAGCCGATAGAAATTCTGAAAATTGAAGCTGTGAGATATAAATCGAGCTCTTTTTTTCATACTTTGTGCTTTGTTAACTTTTTACCTTGGTGCATTGTCATCCCATATTGGGGTAAATAAGAAGAAAATGCTGTCGGATAAGGAGATGATGACTGAGAACCCAATGCTGTTTGCACATTTGGTAGAGCTCCTTGCAAATATGGCATCGAAGGAAACTGGAAAAATTACTAACAGAAATCAAAATGGGACTTCCAAATTTAAATGGAGTTTTATGAACCATGATTTAGAACTTATTCTTCTGTAGTCCCTAGTGTGTGATCCAAACATCATTTTCTGATCATATCATTTGATTGATATTTGTGTGTGTGTGCGCGTGTGCGCGTGCATCTTGTGAGGCATGCTTACAGTTGTTATCTCAAGGCATCCGTCATTGCTAACATCAAATGGATTTCTTGGTCTTGGGGGATTCACAAAAGCAGCTATAGGCTGTAACCAAAGAAGGAACCAAGTTAGATCGATGCCATTTCTTTGTTCTTCCATTTTCAGATTCATTAAGCAACAAGTTCCATTTTTAATGTTTCATACCATTGCAGGAGGTTGGAATTGCATTCCATATTGCCATCCACCAACTTCCGGAGTGAATGCATTCAGAGGAGACGTGAAAAGGTACTGCAAAACGTAGTACAACTACATGAAATAAAGTTGAGGATATAAATTCGAAGAATTTGGAGTGGTGAACTACCTGTGGAAGTTCATTTCTTCCGCTTGTTGTCGACCTTTCTCTTTCTGGCTCATCTTTGGAACTGAAAGCTTGTGGTGACCGGTCAAGTGGAACCAGTCTTCGATCACTTGATATGGATGAGTTGTTTGTCGACGGCATCTGAAAGAACCGTAAACAAACTAGCAATTTGTAAATGCGTGCAAAAGTTTATTATTTCTAACCACACCCTTTGATCATACTATCTATTTTGTTAGGAATCTTCATAAAAATTGTTGTGTAGAAAGCTTCACAAACTTTCTCACCCGATTGTTTGAAGCTTCAACGGATGTGCCACTTTGTGAAACATTGTGGTTAGCAGTCCCAGAAGAAGACGTAAAAGGCTGATTGCTGGAAGCTTCAACAGATAGATGCTGTCTCTCATTGATTTGAGCCATGGAATTTTCATTACTGCTATGCAACTGCTGCTCATTCTTTGTAACTGTATTAGCTTGAGGGCTATTAGAAGCTTCCAGTGCTTTTTCTGTTCCAATATCAGTAGCCTCCGAACTGTTCTGCTGAGCTGCCATTGCGTTTGCAGGTATTTGAGATGTAGTAACTGAAGATGCAACAGGATCTGACCAGTCCAAAAACAAAGATTCTATGGCAGTCATATATGAAGCATTGGCAGTTGTTTGAGCATTGAAAGGTGCAGCTGAGCTGCTCTCTTCGATATTTGAAGTTGTTACGCCTGATGAAAGTTCTAACTTCTTTGGGGCAGGCTCAGGTGTAGCATCAAAATCTATCGAGCTACCTGGATTAACGACCTTATTTTGCTCCTGTTTCGCACCTGGTGATGCCGAAGGAGCAACATCAGGTGTTTGCTGCAACAAAATTTGAAAAGGGGCATAAATTCTGTGACTTCAACAATAGAATATCATGCTTCAATCTTTGAATACTATCGAATATTTTAATTCATCTACTTCGTTATAATTAACTTTCCCTCTGAAACACTTCAAATGGCTTATGTTAATGAGCTTACCTGACCTCTAGCAGAGACATCAGCATCCTTACCATCACTGGCTTCTGGAGATTCACCAACTTTCAATGCTGGAGATTTATCCCCTAGAAGGTCTTTCATGGGGCGTATGGCAGGAAGGTTTCTTGGTGTGCCCCTAAGAGAACCAGGTGAGCTGCTCCCTGATCTTGATTCTCTACTTGAATGTTGTCTATCGTAGTGCTTCACGCTTCCATCTTCTCGAAACCTGTCATCGACTATCTCAAATCGAACACTACTACGACTCCTGTTGCTACCAGATTTTGGAGTTTCTTGAATGTTCCGGGGACTTCTTTCCTCAAACATATTCTTGATCTCCATTTCCATTTCTCGTCTGGTTAAAACAAATTCCTTTTCCCTGCCACTGCTACTTGTTCTATCAAAAGAAAACCTCTTCAGTAAGTCGCCCCTGGTACTCCTGCTCAACCGTTCATCGTAGTATTCCCTTGAATACTGTAATTGTTCATCATGAAAGTATCATGCTTAACAGAACCAGGTGGATGACTGAAGAGATTGAGGTCAAGCATAACCACATATATATATATATGAATTCATTGTCACGAGAAAGTAGTTCACCTCACTATTACCCATTGATCGACTGCGAAGATTGTTTGCGCCAGTATATCCCCGATCTATGTAGACACTTTTGATAAATTCCCGAAGTCTGAGAAGATTACTGAAACACCAAAGAGCTCATGTCAGAAAAGCTTTTTCCATTGCTAGGCAGCACTGTTAAGGTGCTTCAGGACCATTCACCTGTTTTCAGGGGGTGAATTCTTTTGTGGATCCCAAGCTTTGAAATAGATTTCCCTTGCTCTCTGAAGAAACATAATATATATATATATATATACAAACAGGTGAGGAATGGAGAATTTCGCCTATGTATTCCACACACACATATATACATATGAATTCAAAAGGATTATCATCTTGACCTCATTTCCCCCTGCTTGAAGAGCTGAAATTTCTTCGTCATTAAACTTCGCCATCGACACTGACTTTATGCGATGTGAGAATTCTCGACTGGTATTTAATCAGGGAACAAACAATTTTAGCTGCTTCTATTACTATTTGATTGATATTTACATAACATTAATACAAGAGTTGGTGTGTATTGGCTACGAGATGAACAAACTTACTGCACTCCGCTGCAATTTGTGCACACAAATGTCCAGAATGTCGTGCATACATACTGAGGCCCCTGATAACAGATAGACAATGTATTAACACACAATCTGGGGAATCTGTTACCCTAATTGTTTCAACAAAGTCTTAGAAGCTGTTTATCCATGAAGGGTTACCAATCCAAAGCTGGACTAGAACACATCCCGCCATTTTTCATTAACAATAAGAACAATTAAAAGGTTCGACTGCAAATTATACACGATGTTCTCTATGCAAGTAAATTTCGACATTGCGCTTCTTCCATTTCAGATCGAGAATCATACTAAAAGCATAACTTAATTATACATATCTTACTCAACATGGTAAGGAAGTGCGGAGTTGAAAACCTACCAAGCTGTTGCAGTTGATGCACCTCCGATTCTCCGGCTGCTTCAGAAGACCGCGGAGGATCGTTTCCGTTCTCTGCTCGTCATTAATCTTCCCTCGCGGCATTTTTCTTCCAGAAGAATCTGTTAACACGTCACGCAAAGATCAGATCAGGAAACAAGACATACAATCGCACGAAATCAAACTTCTCGTTCAAATCACATCGTTTCTATGCATACATTCCTTAATGTCTTATTTCAAATTCTGCAAGCGGAACGAAAGTCTCTCCAATGGTTTGCAGAGAGAGAGAGAGAGAAGGAGCGAGAGGCGTGTGAAAGGCTGAAGATTTGGGGATTGGCGGTATTTATAGTGAGGGCGAGGAGCTGAGGTGAGGAGAGATTTTTGGCGGTTTTGACGGTTGCTCTGTCTTTTGATTTATTTCTTTCTCTACTTTTACATTTTCAATAATCAAATGTGGAAATGACCGTTGCACTATTTTTTAGAAATTGGCTTATTAGATAAGTTTTTTTTAAGCTTTCTTTTTTTTTTCTTTTTAATGTGCAAATGTTTAATAAAAAATATAATAATTTTAAATATAAAAATATGACATTCAACTACAATTTCATTTAAAAATTTACAAAATTCTGAACTTGCAAAATATAAAAGGAATATTTATTGTTTTAATGTTTCGGTAAGTGTTATACATATGTAAATAAAATTTTGATGATATATTTATATGAAAAATGACCAGTGTGTTCCTTGATGCTATACTTTCTGAATTTTTAATTGGTATTTTATAAACTCTTACAATTGTATTATTTGAAAACTAACAATAAAATGTAAAACATGAATTTTTAATTGGTACTTTTATAGATTCTTAGATCATCTCCAACCTCCAACCCATGCAGTGGGTTGTACCAAAAATGGGGGGAGGAGCTCCAACTCACCCCCAAATCCCCCCCTCTTATTTTTGCAGGAATCCACAGTGTTACTTCACTCCAAAATGGAGTGGAGTTTTTGTGGTGTTTTTTATAATTTTGGTATTTTTTCTGTATATTATGTAATTTTAATTTTTTAGTAGATCATATATAATTTTATATTTTAAAAAGTTGTATGTAATTTTATTTTTTTTTTGAAAAAATAGTGTATAATTTTATTTTTTAAAAGTGATATAATTTTAATTTTTGGAAAATAATATATAATTTTATTTTTTAAATGTTAATTTTTATATATGTAATTTTTAAATAATTTATAAATTATATGTGTATGGATCTAATGTAAAAATAAATTAAAGTTAAGGTGTAATTTATAAATATAAAAAAATTATATAAAATAATATAAAAGATGAATATATAAAGAATATACCTTTTTAGAGTAAAAATTGAAATTTATGATTGTTGGGGTAAAATTACTGTAACAACTGCAAAAATGAAGTGGAGTGGAGGGTTGGAGATGGGCTTAGAATTGTATTATTTGAAAACTAACAACAAAAGATAAAGCATATTCCTTCCGAAATTTTTTTTTTTTTTAATGACAATCCAAAAATAAATAAATAAATAAACATAAATTTGAAATAATATATAAAAATATAGAGCACAGACATACTACATATTTCTATAAAACATTATCCACATTCAAACCCATATTGGAACCGGGTGAAATCCAATATGAATTTGGGTTCAGACTTGTCCACTCCGGATCCGGGTGTGGCAATTCAACTCCGGACCCAATCCGACCCATTCACGCCCCCAAATCCAAACGCTCAAAATTAAATACCCTCCAGGGCCTCATCCTGCAGTTCCTTGATTTTTATTACACATTAAATGAAAACAACAACAAAGAACTCAAAACACTGAATAATAAGTCCAGAATTATTTGAGCAATTGGCTACTTCAGTATTACCCTCTAGCATTAGCATCATTTCAGCTAACAATTTGACCCAGAACAATCACAAAACCAAAAAAAAAATGGCCTGAAAATTATTTACACACCGTTCCCGATGACGACGACGAAAAATTCGATGATCCGATCCTTGAGAAGATCATCGTCGCCAAGTTCGAATAAAAAGACGAAACATGAAGCTCGGGCGAAAGAGCGACGCCTGATGGTAGATTTGTCGACGAGAGTTGTAGGCCATCTTCTTCGATCGAGCCTTGGCTACTCGACTTTTGCGTTTTTCATTGCCTCCGCTGTCATCAGGGCAACGACGGCTTTGTGGACAGCTAAGTCTGCTCTGTGGAGCAATCTTTGAGCCCTCTCCCTCTTGAGCTTAGCCATGTTACGAGCGTGTCGAGCTGCGCTCGACGCATCGCGCAACCGGAAGTCGTCGAGATGGGAAGGATCCAATTGTGTCAGAATTTTAGGATATGGTCCCCGACGATGATATTGCAATGGTCTCCGAGGGGAGTAATCTGTAGAGCCCATGTTCGAATTCTGTTCGTTGTATATGTTTCCGAGGTTCTTCGACTTTCTCTTGTAGGTGTTCGAGCTAACCTTCCGATCGGAAATATTGGTGCTCCAAAAGAATCGACCCTCCCGTGGAGACAGTATCCTTCCGGTGCCGGCCAGGGGTGAAGATGGAAAAGAAGAGTTGAGAATTCCGGTAGCGTATAGGAATTTGTCATCTCTTAAAGGGTGTTCGATTGCTCGTCTGCTTCCTGCAAAACAGTCGAAGAGTGGTGGATTTAGAAACGTGTGGTAAAGATGGAGATAGTGAGAGGGTGGAGATTGAAAAATACCGAAAGGAAATAGACCGTAACGATCGCGCCGCGAAGCATGGCGATGACCTGAAACTTGGGATTTTTTATGAGACCGCTGTTTCGAGCTTTTGTTCGTGACGTCCATTCGACGGGGTCTTAGGCAGAATGCAAACATGGCCGGCTTTTCGGGTGGAGGGATCTTTTCTTGACTGCTAATGGTCGCGGCGTAACTCCTCTGCGCAACAGCGCGCTCCCACTCCTTCAGCTGCTGTTGATACCTTTGCCATAGAGGAGGCTGTGTAGAACACAGATATATATATATGTCACGCCGGGACAATGATTGCACATACATTGATTTAATGATGACAAAAAGCACAGATATAGCAATGATGAATAATGCATATTTCCAAGTACACAGTTTATACGATACACAATATTGTTCGAAATAAGCTACCAATCAATCGCAGAGTAAAATAAATGACTCAGTAGTATTACGCGACATGAAAATGATATTCCCTTAGACATACTGACAAACAGGTCATACAAAGTAATGTAAGCAAGAGTTCAATTCAGTTTCGATTATCGGCACATCACTATTAATATCATCAGCTTCATTTAGTGCATACAAGTGAGCATATATCCAAACGATTCATTTGCTCGAATCTAAAAAATTACGTATCAGCCAAACAGAAAATGCAGACAAACAGTAGCCTAATGGATACAAGTGAAAGGAAAGTGGCCCTAAGAGGTCTATAAGGCAGGTATGTCACAAGGCATCATATAAAGCATCTCAAATTTCATGGATGAACATCGATAATGGAGTTAATAGCATTTCCTATGGTCATATTATTTAAAACCAAAACAACCGAAGAATATTTAAATACAACAATAAAAGAACAATGCAGTCATCAGTCTCTTAAAAGAAAGAAACGAGTACCTGTAGAGGTCTTATCAATGGCATGCCTTTCTTTTCCCGCTTCAATCGCCAATATTCGTATACAATTTTACCAGCTTCTACCGGCCCTATCCCCTTCACATGTTTTTCGACTTCAGCATTTGTCAGATTGTCACAATGCTGAGTATACGATACTTTTTCAAACATATCCATTGCCCTTTCCAAAAATTCCTCAGATATCTCTTCATACTTATGTTGGTTTGTAATTTTTATTTCCGTCAACCACTGTTCGTCATCACTGTCAATGTCATACGAAATTCTTGAAGGATCCAGTGCCATTTCAGCATCAGTTTGAACCTGCTGGAAATACTTTGCTGGGCGAATAAAGGGCGTATCAGTTCCATATTCATTGCTCTCCTCAACCAGCCGGACCCCAGGAATGGGAATGTTCTTCACAGAAGCCGCACGAATATTCCTATTGTAACACTCCTCGTGCATATCCTTGAAAAGCATCCACTGGCTCCGGTCCGGAAATTCCAGCACCCAGTCCTTCCCTCCCTTCCACATCATAGCATTGGAGTAGCGGTTAGTCGATCCAGGTTGCAAAATATGTTTTACTTTGTATGAATATTTTGAAACCACGCCAAGTTTGACGCTCAACCTCCATTCCTTATGATCGGCAGCTTCCAAGACAATATTAACGCCAGATTCTCTCCATCCTTTGTCCCCATGAGTGACTAGAAGATTTGCAATACAAGTTGACAACTCCAAGTTTTTCTGGCTATTCCCAGAGCCATCCGGCATCTTCTTCACACTAGCTCGCCTAATACGTTTGCAGGGTGGAGAGACCAGGTTCGGCGTTTTTTGTTTCGCATTTGAATCGTAGCTTGAAAGGGGCATCATGTACTGAAAACGAGTGCGTGGCTTCTTTGGTCCATTACTGAATCCAGTGGACATGAAGTTTAACTTCACATTAGACTGTATCTGAGAGTGACGTCCAAGAATAGAAGAGCGTGAGCTGCTTCTACCATGTTTAGATGAACTTCTCGACCCACCAGGGTAGCAGTCGTGAACAGAGACATTCCTGGCATGCTGGTCCACATCAGAAGACAAATTAACATGTCCAAAAGTTGGAATGTCAACATGACTAGAACTTGACGTGGAGTCGCCTTGAATGGACATAGGTGACAATGGTAGATCCTGTTCATACACCTTCTTCTCGGACTCAAAATCCTCAGTTTGCCCATTTCCTTGAGGTGCAATTTTAATAGACTCCTTCAAACAAACAGAGTTGATGTTCCCAGTTGAATTGTTTGCCAAGCTGTCCTTCCTCAAATCTTCTTGGTAGCTTGAAACACCCTTGCACGTAGGAGCTTCCTTGTCGAATTTTCTGATGTTATGCTGAGCAGTGACATCTTCAGTCTCAACCATGCTGGGCTCAACATGAGCACATTCTGCAGCAGATTGACCTCTGTTTTCTAAATTTTCGGAGGAAGGCAATGCATCCTGGTGTTGGTGATTGACTGAAGCAAAGTTGCCTTTAACAAGTAAGTGGAGATGCAGAGTGAAAAAGAAAGTCGGTGCATCTGAAACAGAGAGAGTGACTTCTGGAACTTCTCGAGGGCTTGCAACCAGATTAAAAGAGCAATGGTATGTCCTTGAATTACAGGTTTCTCCGGAAATGCCCCTTGGCATTATATCCTGCACAAACTTCTCCTTGAAACACTAGCAATGGCAAGAGTGAAGATATTAATTTACGTCTAAACAAAAAACACCAAAACTGCTGAATTTACCAACCAGCTATGGCATGTCTTGTTAAAACACAAATTTCTAAAACCATCACCAAATACAAAATACTAGTGATCTCTGGGCATATTCAATTCCATCGACCTTTAAAAGGGAAAGCCAAACATTTAGTTTCTAACTGCATATATATGCCATATTTGTATTGAAAACAATAAATGAAACTCGGGTTCATGAATCTCACATTTTACTCAACATAAATATAAATATAGAGTTGATGGGAGCTATAAAAGCCAAAGGAGAACAGCATATCTTTACTGGGGATCTCAAAATTTACTTTTCAAAGTTCATTTCTAAAGATCAGGGATAAATCTTCAAAACAGTAAGTGTGTAAATAAAATGCTATATAGCTCATTTAATGAGGATTTTAAACCAAAACAAGATTTGCATAGATAATCCAATATTCAATTTCCCTTACATTGTCATACGTGCACTCTGAGGCCGGTATTTGCTTGACAAGACTGCAATGCTGCAGGATCTGCGAGTTCACATAAAGCCACTCTGAACTCTGTAATACGGCAAATTTGTGAACAGTAAATACATGCTTCCTCCGATTTAACAAACTAGAAAGTCTGAACCTCATTGAGGTCACTGGAAATCCCAAGTCACCATTCCAATTTTCGCCTAATTGACTGGACACAGAAAAGAGAAATACTAAGGCCTCTCTAAGAAAGCCTTCAAATAAGAAAACTCTCAACCCAAACTTACTATCAATGAAGAGAATCTCCAGACTTATGGCAGAAGAAGTAGGCACCAACATCCCATGTCGAAGAACAAACATCTCATTAAACATTTTAAAAACCACTGGCGGACGTAAATACTCCCGAAATGATGGTAAAAGTAGTGATATCTTAAATCTGAATTCTTTTGACTCCAGAAAAACATCATTTAATGACCGCGGTTTCGTTTTAGAGTCCACGCAACTGTGAGAAAACTCATCAGCCCATCCACATGCTTTGACATCTCTAGACACAAGGCCACTTCCTTCACATTTCTTGCGATACTTCTTTCTTAAATAAACCATTTGTATGTTACTTCTGGTGCTGCTGGTAGTTCGTGCCAGAGACCTATTAGCCCTTTCATGGACAATTAAATTATCGTCTGTTTGAGAATTACTATTGGGCTTGGTTCTAGTTTTATTTGAGCAGGCCATGTCGTGATTAGACTTGTCAGATTTCTCAGACAACAATAAGGAGGCCAAAGGCAGGTTTTGTTTCGAAATCTTTTGTTTTTTCAAGGATTTAGTCAAATTATTGGCATGTCGAGATTGGTTAGCCAACCATGATGCAATGGACTCAGAATCTTCTCCAACTCGCAGATCTTTGTCCTTGGCCAATCGTTTTCTAGATTTTGCTTTTCCAGGAACCTCACTAGGGAAAAGCAAAAGTTTGAAGTTCTCTTCTTGAAGATCAACCCATTCCTCATCTCGGTCATCATACTTTACATGGTGAAGTTTAGTTTCTGTTTGATAATCATTCACAAGGCCAGAGTACCAGCAGTCATCCAATGGCCAGAAGAGTTTGATTCTCCGGTTTAATACCCAGTGTGGGTCGAAATCTCGGGGAAGAATGTCATAAAAATGCCGGCGTTTTCTTGACACACCCCTAGATTTACCTTCTCTTCGGGGTCTAAGTACTCTGGTCTTATCATCATCAGATGCAGACTCCTCAGCACCCAATGAGTTAGCCGATCTTCTAGAATTCTGGCCAGATGAGACTTGGTGAGAAAATCCATTTTCTATTGGAGATGCTGAAGATTTTCTCTTAGATGAGAAACCAGTACAACTTGGATCAAATCGAGAAGATAGCATTCTTGCAGCATTCTGTTCGAGGTTTTCTTCATCCTCATCATCATCCTCTCGGACTTCATTGTAAGAGATATTGGAGTTTGAACTACCAACAGAAGGCTTGAGTTTTTTCGTAGAGGTACTATCTCCTTCAACTGCTAAACCCTTTTTCCACCTGCTGCTCTGCTGCTTTTTTGACGGCGTATCTCCACTATGTTTAATTAGACTATATTCATTCGCTGCTGATAGACCTTTTCTAGTTTTCTTGACATCATCATTCCTTGCTTTCTGCTTTAATTTTACATCAGAACTACTGAAGCTTGTGATAGATTCAGTGTCTGTTGTCCTTTTCAATTTTGCGTTTGAACCAATACCTTTTCCTGCATGTTTCAAATCTGAAACAGCCTTATTATCGACCGAATCAGTAGCTGACTGAACCATCTGATCATTGTCCCCAACGTCATCATTAAATTTAGTTACTCTCGCTTTAAATGCTTTAGCAGATTTGGAATTTTTCAGCTGCTTCAACGCTTGATCACTTTCCAACTTTTTATGCCCCATCGAGCCACGTGGCCGCTTTGGAACATTAAAAGCACTTTGATCATCTCCCAAATCTACCAAGATTCCATGCAATTCTCTACTCCCACCGGTAGATTTTTTCTTAAAACCTACTTCTGGTTTCGCACGTTTTACATCTTCCTTCCTCTTTTCCTTAGCATCAAACTCCAAAGTGCTCGACGAAACATCCTGCCTCCTCTTCCTCTTCTTCTCTGTCACACCTTCCTGATCATCCTCATCTAAAACTTTGCTCTTGCCCTTTCCCTTTCTAGTGATCCTAGATTCATTAAAGCTATTTACATCCAAAGAACGGTTTCTGCCAGGACTTTCGACACCGCCATACTTCTTTCTCCTAATTTCCATCAATAATTCCTCGTCCAATCACTCCAACACAAATCCCATTACTTTCATGCCCCATCCAGATCTGCCAACACAATTCCACATCAATAGCTCCATATCAATAGCACAATAGCATTAACAATTAAGAAACAAACACACCAAATAACCATCAATTCACAACGCAGACTAAATTGCTACCAAAACAAAATCGGATCAAACATGAACAATCAACACAACCGATAATAAAAACACATCCACACACACAAACAATTCCACATGCAAGTACGAGTCTTGGCCGCATAAACAAACGCACAAACCATACCTGCAGCAAGAATCATCAAGGAGACGTCGTTGAGGAAGTGGAGATCGACCACGAGAAGGCTGCAATCTGAGAGCAAATTTTCGAGAGAGGCAATCGGATCAATTCAGCCTAGATTTGAAGCCCTAATTTGATTCATTTTTCCCCTTTTACTTTCCTATTATTTTTGGAAATTTGTGATTTCAAGGTCGAAGTTTTTTATGCCACGTGCTGATCTTTGCACCGTTGGATCTATTCTCCTTGGACGGTTAGGATGGTTGATGCATCAGCAAAATCAATTTAAAAACAGATTAGTTCGACTTGAATCGGACGGCTACCGTACTTTAGTGGTTACAATGACGGTCAGATTTGAGGGCAATTTTCTGAACTATTCGATTACTAAACAATGGACATTGGATTAGGGTATTTATCTAACTTTTAAATCATGATTTTTTTTTACTTTATTTTTTTCTATTATAGTTGTTTTTTAACAGATTTTTTAATTAATAAAATATAATTGAATGCTCAAGGACGTATTTACTTAAATATCTTTTTAATTATGAAATTCTTATAATTTTAATAAAAATATAAGTTTTTTACAAATCATAATCAAAATATTACTCTATTTTCTATTTTGATTACTTCCATATGATCTGTTCTTTTTTTTTAAAAAAAAATAAGATTATACACTTTAATCATATTTTAAATTTTAAAGGGTGTATTCAATATAGATTTTGTAGAATTTTGTTGAATTTTCAAAATCCGGGTGTATTCCATCCAGACTTTTAAAAGTCTTTTAAAATCTAGAGGTTTTAAAAGTCTTTTAAAATTCCGAAGTATTCAACGTAGACTTTTAAAAGTCTTTTAAAATATTGAGATATTCAACCATTCATAAACTTTGAAACTTTGAAAGTCTATGGATTTTAGTAGATTTTTGTGAAAATTTTGTAAATGAAAGAATCTCTCTTGACTATCACAGATTGGATTCTTAAAATTATGATTATTGTTGTTGTTGTTGCTGTTGTATATGTGATCAATAATATGATAATATTTATTACTATTATTATAATTTTTAATAAAAATAATAATTTAAAACTAAAATATATTAGCAGATTATTATGATTTTTTTTAAAATATATATTTTTATATTATAAATATAATTTTAAAAAATATTATTATCACAATTAATATATATTATTGTCGTCTTTTCTTTTTAATTATCGAATACACTATATTATCATTACGATGAAATAGATATTTAAATATATATTTTTGTTGAACCGTTAATTTATATTTATTTATTTATTATAATATTTTTTTCAAAAATCATAAATTATTTATTTATTTATTTTAATATATCCTTTTTACCTAAAAAGTAAATCCGTATATATTATTTATTAATACTTATATATTATTTATTAGTATTAAATATTATTTTATTAATAATTATTTATTATATTTATAAAATTTGTTATTTGATATAAATTTATATAATTAATATATATTCACAAAAAAAATTATTTTACAATCCTACAAAGTCCATATAAATAATTCAATCAAATCCGTAGAAATCCATCTAAATCAATTATTAAAATCCATCAACGTAGACTCTGTAATTTTCTAAATCCACATAAATTTATAGACTTTTTAAAATCCAAAAAAATCCATTAAAATTCCAATTGAATACACCCCCTAAATTTTATAATTTTTGTAATCTTAATTAATTATTATTATTTTTACTATATAATAATTATTATTACTAATACATTTATTAATTACTTACTAATTATGTTTTAGATAAATTCTCCAATAATAAGGTTATGTTACATCTCATGAAGGGAGTATTAAAATAAAAAATTATAATCCAAAAAACAATCATTAAAGTAACTATATTATAAATGTTGCCAACAACTCTACAGCATTTGTCAAATTGTTTTAAACCCATGATTTTACAATAAGAAATTAATCTGTAATCGTAGTAATTTTTACAAAAATAGTTTCAAAATATTTAAATTCAATAAATACAAACACCATCCTAATTCATCACGAATATGAAATTAAATGCCATATATCCTAATTAACCAAGATAAAATCATATTTACAAAAAAAAATTGTATATTAACTGGCATGGAGTTTTCTAAATGGCAAAATAGCATAAAACCCATGTGTTTGCTGAAAATCCCATCTGATTGTAAAATGTCAAAAAACTTAATTGTGGTTTGTAAAACGTTGCTGAAAAACCCCTTACGTTAGGACTTAACCGAAAGTGTCTCTCACGCACTCCAAATGCAATTTTTGGTCTAGGAAGTGATAAATTTATCTATAAAGTTACTAAAATGATCCTCTGACTTTATTATATGCACTTTCTCTCGTTCTCCTCCTTCTTGCCCTTCCCTCTCTCATTCCTCTTTCTCTCATCTCTTCTTCCCCTTCTTTTATTTTTCCATTTCAGCTCACGTCAATTCACATAATAGAAGAAATTTGAGCAAAAATTTAAATTAAATTTAAAGCACATCACGAGACTCGAACAGTTGCAATCTAAATTCAACTTAAAAATCAAAAACTTCATACACAATAAAAACTTTATTCAGAATCGGGTAATGACATTATGTGTAAAAAAAAAATATAGAGGTGAAAAAGAATGGAGAAGAAGAAAGAAGAAAGAGAGTAGGTGAGCAAATGTGTGTGTTTGTGTATGTATCTATATCTATGTAAATGTGTGTACGTATATATGATAAATAAAATAAAATAAAACTTGGTCAAACTTATAATAAATGGTCAAAAATATCAAAGGATATAACGGTCAAACAATTAAAAAATTAACACCGTTAGTCAAATTTTGAAATAAAGGGCGAATGTGCAATATTTTGGAAATTTTAAGACGAATTTTCAGCAAATTCTGAAAACCACATAGGATTTTTTGCTATTTTGCCTTTTAGACTTAACTTTATGTCTTTTGTATCGGCCACAAATTTCAATAATTTTACATATGTAAGTTAATCCATTTTGTCCCATAAGGGGTGGCATCAGGATCCACCTACCATACATTGTTCACCTAATGTGACTTACCTTGTCGGACCTAATTTGCTCGATATTAAGTTTAACCGAGTGCGCCCTAATTGATTTGAGATTCTTACATTATCAAAATAATAAAATAACAAAATAAAATAAAAGCAAACCCTCAAACACCTCTCTATTTTGCATGACATACATATAGTAGTTTTGAACACTCTATGTATAATTATTTTTTATTTTATTACAAACACTCTTGTTATTCACTAACACAAATAAAACTCACAATAATATATTACCCAATTAGCAATCTAACCAAAACAAATAGCATGAATACCATATTAATATATTACCTATATTATATTTTTATATATTATTTGCTATATTTTCAAATACTATCTATAGTACTATTATATATTCATGGCAATAAGCATATTAGACTAAGAATATGGTAAAAAAATCAAATATGTAATCAAAATCAATATAATAATCCGTTCAGATCGACCATATAAAGGCTGAACTTAGAAGGAAAAAAAAAACAAAAAAACAAAAGGCCCCTATAAACCTAATTACAAACCTAAATCTATCAAGAAACACAACCTTGTTGAAATCTATCAAGAAACACAATCATTCCTCTAACATCCATCCATGTTAAATCCATCAAATTTTCATGAATATAAATGCATATACCTTTGAAAGTAATGCCAAAGCTAGGACTAATTTACAATCGATCACAACTAGTTCCCAGACGAGCAAAATTCATATAAATAAACTAGGGTAAAAAGAACATGCCACTTTAGCAAAAGTCATATAGATCAAAACGATGCTCATGGAAAAAACTGCAATTTTGTCTTCGAATGAAATCCCATAAGAAGAAAAACAGAACAGAGAACACAAGGTTTGATAAGGCTATCTCTCAAGCTCCAATGTTGGAAGCTTTGTTCAGAATAACACCTTCGTATTTAACTTGGAACCACTTCATTGCGTCGTCCTTTGTGACCCTGTGTTGGATTCCAACACGGGACTTGCACCTACGGCGGCGGCCAACACGATATCCAGGGCGCTCCAGAACGACATAAAAGTCCATACCATAGATACCGGTGGATGGGTCGTACCTATAAGATATCATCAAAATGTATATGTCAGAAAATACCATTTAATTGAACACTGTACAATTTGAGCAGTAGGCAATAATACAATGTGAAACCAAGGTGTAAAAACTCCCGGTTTTACTATTCTAACTTATGAGATTTTACTCTTTCATTTTACTATTCTAATTTTACATTCAAAACATCACATCAACACATATTTATATCGCATCAAACAACTATTTCAATTCAAAATTCTACTACTCAAAACCAAAATAAAAAATCATAACCTTACAAGTAAACACACCCTTTATAACTTACATAACAGACTTTTAAGCTGTAACAGGCAATATCCCCAATATAGATTTATTGTCCAAATGATCACAAAATAAAAAATATATACATATATATATTTAAAAAAGGTCTGTGATAGAAGGCAATACGATATACTCACTTTATGCCAAGATCAATGTGCTCCTGAATACCAAAGCCGAAGCACCCAGTATCACTGAAATTCCGCCTCAACAGCTCATATTCCTTGACCTTCAGGCCACTCTCAAGTAGTTGCATTGCCTTCTCGCCTCTCACAGTTACATAGCAAGCAATTTTTTCATTACGCCTGATCCCGAATGAACGAACAGTGTATCTTGCTGTATGCGGAGGTAACCAAATCAACTAGTCTCTACATTTTCATCTTACACAGTTACACTTGTACTAAAAAACTAGGAGATTGATATGTCAATTAAAAACAGCATAATTTGCTAGTACGAACCAGTATATAGGGAACAAAATTACAATGAAGTTTTTCACCACAAGTCTATCATTAAATACATTAACCCAAAATTCTGAAGAAGTATTAGTTTGTGGAAATTCCAAAAGCTAGTAAGGTTCCAACAAGTGCTAGGAATTTTGAACAGCAAACATTGTCAAAAACACATGGAGTAAAATAGAGTTTAGTCAACAAATCAATTCATCAACAAGCAATGCTTCAGCCATCAAGTAATAACTTCAGCTTCACAAATTTACACTATACGCCAGAGTAGCCAGAAAATCACAAAATCTGAATGCATAGAAAACTTTTTAACTGCTAATTTTATTTTATTTTGTTTTTCCCAAAAGACTGGAAGTCACATTCTTAACATTAAAAGCAACCAACTTCAGGATTAAAACTTAATAACTTCTCTTTTTAACAGAATCATACTGCAATTTTTACACATATATGCAAATATATATATATATATCTAACAAATTAGATCCAAAATCTTTACCCTTCGAGAAAACAGGTGTTTGGCCACTGAGTTGCTCCAACACCTAAGAAAACATAAGAAATATTCAATACATTTACATTCACATGAGAAAATAATTCCAACGGAGCGGAGAGTGACGCGGATGCGAAGTACCTTGGCGGCTCTGGTGAGGCGATCTCCACTCTCCCCGACTGAAATATTGAGAACCAGCTTCTGTACTTTGATCTCCCTCATTGGATTCGATAACTTCCTCTCCGCAGCCTGAATTTTCACACAAAATTCAACATCAGAAACAGCATTCCACGCGTGTGGAAATTGTAATGCAGAAACAAACAGACGCAGTAATCCGTGTATCGGAAAGCCATCGGAGGAACACTGACCATTTCGATAAGCGATGGGGTTGGAGACGGCGACGAGACGGCAGGGGTATTCGTAAGAGTGTCCAGCTGCGGCGGAAACCCTAATATAAATAGTCGATCTAGGGCTTTTGGTTCTGCACTCTTAAATGTCAATTTTGCCCCTGATACAATTGAGAAATTGTAAATAAAATTAATTTAGAATTAAAAGAAAATGCACTTTTAATTTAAATATGATTAGTGAAATAGTGATACAGAAAATAGATTTTTCAATTCATAACTCCTAATGGACAAAGAAAATACTCTTTTCAATTTAAACTATTCATTCTATCATTTTTGTTTGTTCACTTTAAAATATATTCAAAAATATTTTTTAATTTTTATTTAAATTAAAAATATATTATTAGACGTATAAATATTTTATGCATAAATAACAAAAATTGCAAAATTTCTTATACTTCTGTTGAGCAAGTACAAATATTTTTTAATATAGTACATTCATTGAAATGATGTGATATCAATTCTATTTAATAAATATATTTTATATATTAAATTAATAATAAAATATGTTATATGAACAATAATCAAATATGTTTTATTTATATTATGTTAAAATAAATAATACTATATTGATTGTTGTAGTATTATGTGTTATTATATAATGTCTTGTCAGCACTATATTGAATATTTTAATTCAGCACACTGAGGGTGTGTTTGTTTGGGAGTTTGAATTTTGAATTAGGATTTGAATAGTAAAAATTTTGAATTTGAATGGTTGTATGATGTGATATAAATACGTGTTGATGTGATGATTTGAATGTAAAATTGATTTTTAGTATAATATAAAAAATGAAAAAATAAGTATTTGATTTGATATTTTTGGGCCCAAACAAACACACCCTAAGTATATTCGTATCGGTTGGGTTAATATGGTAATTAAAATTGTGCTAGTTAACTTAATTTATTAAATTATCATATTAATCAAGGTCTTGATTTAATGGAGAAAAAAAAAGAGTAATTTAACTAAAAATTAATACTCCTATGATTTATATTATTTTAATTTTTAAATTTTCATATGGTTTCTTCTTCTTATTTATTTACTTATTGGTGTTTCTCCTCATGATTCTCTTCAAAATTTTGTTCCAAAAAAATTGATAATGATGACAAATAATGAAATTTATATATATATATATATATATATCTATATACTCCCTCCGTCCCATAACAAAGTATTTATTTTTTTCATTTTAGTCCGTTCCATAATAAAGTTTTCATTTTATTTTTTTTTAGTAAATGTACTATCTACCTAACATTACAAATATCCTTACAACTTACAATATATTACACAAATGTCATTACCTTTATATCACACGTATTAACAAGGTTATTTTAATCATTTCTACTTTATTCCTACTATATCCCAATATAATACTAATATTTCTAAAACTACGTGCAAAAAGCAAATTGATACTTCTTTTTTGGACGGAGGGAGTATTACTTTGCATTATATGTTGTTAATCCTGGTTTATTCCATAAATATTTTGAGTAATGCAATAAATAAGTACATTACTACTTCATTCATCACACGCTGTACATTCAAACGTAAACACAAAAATTTTAGGCTAAGTGTAAATAGTAAGTAATGAAAAAGTGTATTAATAAAAATAATTATTTGTATTATAACATTAATTATAAATTAATATTAAGATAATCAAATGCTATAATTAAGATTGAAAAATTATAGATTATAAAATTTAAAATATGATTAAAATATATAATTGTATTTGCTAAAAAAAACAAAACAAATAAAGTAAGACAAACTAAAATAGAAATAGTGAAAAAAATGATGGGACAGAAAGAATAATATTTAATCAGTAAAGCTAACAAAATAAATCATGCACAAATGTTACAAACTACTCCTTCACATTCATGTACTCCCTCTGTCACATAATAAAAAAGTATCTATTTGTTTTTTGCACATAGTTTTAGAAATATTAGTATTATATTGGGATATAATATGAATAAAGTAGAAATGACTAAAATAATCTTATTAGTACGATATAACATTTGTGTAATATATTGTAAATTGTAAGGGTATTTATAATCTTAGGTAAATAGTTAATTAATAATAAAATGAAAAAATGAATATTTTATTATGAGACGGAGAGAGTATTTCTTATTATCCCCGTATAAATGAGTTCCTAAACAAAGGTTCCAATATCATATTCTAAATGTAGTTATATATAATTATAAAGAATAATGTAAGATGTAATTAAAAAAAAAAGAAAAAAAGACCAACTATTAATGTGATTATCATCTCAATCGCTAAAAGAACAGTTACAATAGAATATATCACGGTGATCGATTCAAACCCCGACATCTCAGGATATTATTAGGTATTAGGTTTGGCTTCAGTGCGTATTTTAATTAACATATTACATATGTTATTAATATTTTTGTCCGTTTCAAAACTTCAAATATACTACACAATTTCCAAATATCGTTACTCTTATATCACAAATATATTTTTATCATTTTTATTATAAATCAATATAATACTAATTACTCAGGGTATGTTTCTCCAAAGGGGTTTGGCGCCCATTTTACTGCGCCAAAACCTCTGTTTTTGTTGTTGTTGTTTTTTTTTAAAAAAATTAAAATTTTATTTAATATTTATTATAATTAAATGAAAAATATATTCGAAAATAAAATTTTCTATAGTACAAATAAATAAAAATTTAAATATATATATTGGGTATAATATAAATCTAATCTCAATCAAACCAAAATACAAAAGAAATAACAAAATTCAAACTCATTCCAAAATTCAAATAAAAACCAAATTTATACCCAACCAGTACTCTCCCGAAGAAACAGATACAAATATACTTCCACACAAAAAGTAAAGAATATTTTGACAAGGAATTAAAAATATAATAAATAAATAAATAATTACTATTAATCATGGGTAGATTTACAGAGGAAGCGTATTAACGCGGAGCGATTTCGATCTTCTCTGAAAACTCTTTCATTGCTTCGCAAATCTAGGGTTTCCTAATTGTCTATTACTTACACGAATTTCAGAACAATTTCCCGGATTTCCTGTTTTCCGATATCTGATTTCTTCCGCAGCCAGGCAAATTTGTTGGTTTATTCCCGTATGTTGTGGCGGTGGTGAGAATTTGATCTGGAAATGTCGGTGAAAGGCGGGAATGCGTCGTTTAGGGATCGAACACAGGAGTTTTTACAAATAGCGGAGAGGATAAGGAAGTCGAATTCCCAGCAGAATGGGCCAAGCAGCAGCGGATCCAGGCGGGAGGAGCCGCCACGCTCGGCGATGGCGAGGCAATCAGAGTTCAATCGAAGGGCGTCGAAAATTGGATTTGGCATTCATCAGACATCGCAGAAGCTAGCCAAGCTTGCGAAACGTGAGTGATTTCATTTTAATTTTTCTTGTGCATTGAATTGCATTTCATTTGGCTGGGATATTTTGGGGTAATGAATTGTTTTGCTTGTTATTGTGCTAAGCGTTTATCATCAAAGAGACTTGATTGATTTGCCTGGGTCGGTTGTTTGACTGGTTCTTGCACCATAGCAGAAATTTAAACAAGGATCTAGGATTTTCCAGGTGTTAAATGAGCCAGCTAACAATAGTATGTTGGTTGAATTTTCAAGAATTGTGTTGTTCCTCAATCAATTGATTTGGGATTTAAGAGTCCTGAGAATTTATTTTTAGGAAAATGTAGACTCTTTGTTATTGGTAACATGAAGATGGTGCTTCAATTGTGAATTACATGTTATGCTATGGTCATCTTGAGTGCTATTTCTTTGGTTCAATAGTTGTATGACAGTTTATATCTCAATGATCATATTTACACTTGAATGTTTTCTTCTGCCTCGACAGTCATTCTCTTCCTGTTGGATAAATTTTAGTTTCAGAAGCTTTATGTTTTGAATTTTGAACTATAAGGATGGCAGAGCTGGTCATATTTTGTTGGTGTTTCTATCTGCTGGTTTTCCTTTTTGTTTATAGAGTTGCATAGTCAATCCATGATTCGATGATTTGTTTTGCAGTGGCGAAGAAGACATCAGTTTTTGAGGACTCCACAATGGAACTCCAGGAACTCACTGCAGTTATTAAGCAAGATATAACGGCTCTTAATTCTGCTGTTGTTGATCTTCAGGTTGTCTGTAATTCCTTTAATGAGAGTGGAAATGTTTCAAGTGACACGAGCAGTCATTCTACTACAGTTGTTGATGATTTGAAGAATCGTCTCATGAGTACTACAAAGGAGTTCAAAGAGGTTTTGACCATGAGAACAGAGGTGAATCCCTAGAGATCGGTGCCCAGTCATACATTTCATATGTACCATGTTTTGTATTTGTATGACTAATACAATAATTTTCTGGTTGTTTCCAACAGAACTTGAAGGTTAATGAGAACAGAAGAAAATTGTTTTCTTCTTCTGCTTCAAAAAATCCTTCTAATCCTTTTACCCGCCAGCGACCTTTGGCTGCAAAATCTTCTTCCGGTAATGCAGCAGCTGCTCCTCCCCTACCATGGGCTAGCAATTCCCTATCATCGCCATCATTCTCAAAGTAAGATGGTTCTCCATATAATCAGTTGCTTTATGGTTTATCCATGTCTTCTAAAAATTGTTCAAACTCTTTTCTTTATCTGCTTTTCCCTCTTAACATGAGCAATAATCTTAGCTTGACATTTGCAAGTTGTGGCTCAAAGAGTTAATTTAACTAGTTTCCGAAATGATTGCAATGCATTTTTATTTTTTATTTTTATAAATACAGTATAAAACATTTTCTGAGTCCACCTACTTCAATGATCGCAAATGTGATGATGTATTCAATATCAATTTTAATATTACGTATTGATGTAACCTAAGCGACAGGAACCAGGCAGATGGCGAGTCTCAGCCGTTGCTTCAGCAGCAAACAGATCAACAGCAGCAGCAATTAGTTCCAATGCAGGACAGCTATATGCAGAGTAGAGCCGAAGCACTTCAAAATGTGGAATCAACAATTCACGAGCTTAGCAACATCTTCAATCAGCTTGCTACATTGGTTTCCCAGCAAGGAGAGATTGCTATCAGGTTTGCATTCGTTTACTTATTTGTTACACCTTATTGTGAACATTATGGCAATCCAACTAGAATGGATTTTGTTTGATGGCCAATTAACTTGAAGGTAGATATTGTTAGAAAAATGAAATATTACTAATTAAAAAAATGATTCATTTTCCTATTAACTTAAGCTTCAAGTGTGTTGATCGTTTACAAAATATACATTGGATTATCCATTGCAGTGAATGTGGCCCGGATGAAGCATTGCTTTAAAATTTAAACCAATGCATCTCACAGTAATACAGAATGCAATAATTTGTCCCCGTTTTTTACCATCAACTTATCTATTATGTTTAAACCAATGCGGTGCTTCTGCTGTCCGATGGGCCTAAGGTCATAGGTGTTGTTTGGTTGTTTGTTTATTTTTTTTTGGAAAAACTTCATCCAATTTGGCTCTGTTTGCCTGTGAGGTTTGAGTTTTGGGTTTTGAATAGTTAGTTTTGAATTGAAATAAATTGTTTGATGTGATATAAATGGGTAATTAAATTTTACTGTAATATTAAAAAATAGGTATTTGATTTTGATATTTTGGTGGAATTTTTTTTTTTTTTTTTTAGTATTAATAATCGGGTGAAAAACCTACAAGCAAACACAGTAATGCCTCACCATTATCTATTCAACTCCCTATATGTTTATTTTGATCGGTTACAATATAAAGACTAGTTAATAGATTGAAGGAAAGGATCGGACTAGTTATCCAATCATGTAGTTGAAGCAGCTTGAAGGAAACTTGTATTACATTTGTATCCATTGAACAGTACCACAAATCTCGAACTGTGATCACTGTAGCAATACCTAAAATTTTATGAAATCCTGATTTTTCTACACGGAAATGATTCGTTTTGTGGACAGGATCGATGAGAACATGGATGATACGGTCGCAAATGTGGAGGGAGCTCAAGCGGCGCTGCTCAAGTACCTCAACAGCATCTCATCGAACCGGTGGCTGATGATCAAGATATTCTTTGTATTGGTTTTCTTTCTCATGATATTCCTCTTCTTTGTGGCCTAGTGAGAGAGCCTCGACAAATTTCATTCCGGATGATCGATGGAAAAAAAAGGGTAAAATTCGGAATTTGGTACTTGATGGAGGGCTTCTTTATACTCTCAAATTTTCCAGAATTTTGTTGTCTCACATATTGTACATTTGCAGGTTGTGGTTTATGTCATGAAATAAGGGGATGTTAATTTCAGTTTACATGAAGAATGTTATAGAAAAATGATCATTTTGGCTTCAGAGTTGGAATATTATTTATTTTCAAGCATATTTTATAATAAATGGTCGTTGGATAAAATTACATCAATAATTAATTAAACATTATTATAGTGAAATAATTATATTATTTATTAAAAATATAATATTGAATAGCATTGTATGATAATACTAATAGCTTGTATTGTATTAAGGGATGTTAATAATATCATTCAACACCCTAATAACAACCTTATAAATATGAGTTTGTTTGATTGTGTTTTATTTTGTTTTATTTTATCATGTCTATTTTTGTTATTAATTATTAATTTTATAATTATTTCCTGATTGCACCTCTCAAACCATTAAATCACATATTTAATTTTTGAAGGGGGATTAGATGTTGATCCAATTAAATCTATTTGATTGTATAACAAATCACATACTATCTTCGTCATATAATTTTTAGTACAAATGAATTTCTATTAGTCTTATAAGATACAAGTATAATTATAATTTTTTCTTAATTTGTATTCCATTTTAATATAATAATTAATATTTAAAATTAACCAAAAAAAAAAGAATAAAAAATAAATAAAATTTTTAAAGTCAAACCTAGATAGTATAGCATATAATTATATTTTTTTTAAAAAAAAATGACGTTATTGACGAAAATAGAAAAAGTAATATTTAGTTATAATATTTTGTGAAAAAAAATATTTTTATTAAAAAATTGTGATAATTTGTGTTTGAAACACAAAAAAAATACATTCATATCAAAGAGTAATTATTTCTATACCATCAAATAATTATTTAAAATTAAAAAAACTCAAACAACACACCCAAACAAACACACCCTATATTTGGACATTCTCCTAAATTAGTATAATTAGGAATTAATTTCTTAATATTATTATAGTAATAATATTATAAAAATCCCCACTGCAAAAACGCTCCCTGTCTCTCTACGTATTAAATGGATGCATCCCTCCGCTGTTGCCATACACAATAGATAACCACATCTTCGACCTCGCATCGTCAAACCCTAATTGGGACCGCCCATCTTCCTTCCGATTTTCCCCCCTTAATCACTTCCCTTTCTTCAATTGAGTTGTCAGAGGGTGAGGTTTTATTGGGAACGTCGTGTCATCGTTGGCGATTGGAGATCCTCAGCGAACTCGGGATTTACTGGATTAAAAATTAGGGTTTTCAGTTCAAGTTTCGATCGACTTGGGGTTTTGAATTCGGAGTCCTATCTATCAGTTTTGAGCTTGAAGTAACAGCGATTTGTTGTACCTGGGCTTCGTATCTGAAAAAAATTCCGTTATCTCTTGTTGTTTTCCATAGATTTATCGATTTAACGACGGAAAATGGTCGGAGGAGCGAACAGGCGGGACGAGGGATCTTTTACGGTGGGCAGCACCAATGTTTTTGCAGCTTTGGATAGTTTGAGGAAGAAGAAGAAGAGTGACAAAGAGAAGGGGTCTAAAGCTGCGTCAGCGGCTAAATCTAAAGAGGCTGAGGAGAAGCAGGTGTATTGGGCTCCCGCGCCATTGACAACAAAGTCATGGGCTGATATCGATGACGAGGACGACGATGATTACTACGCCACCACTGCGCCACCCCAGGCCTTGTGGAGTGGTTCTCGTTTGGATAGAGCTGAAGAAGCTCAAGCCGTGGAGGTATAAATTAATAAAGCACGTTCATTGTGGTATGATTAGTAGTATTCTATTATGTAGATGACTGAGGAATTTGTGGTTATTGATTGTCAGTTGCAATGATGCTCTTTTCACCATTGATTTGTGTGGTTTTGCTGATTAATGAGTTTATATCTTGAAGTTCTTTGTTTTTGTTTGTTGTAAAACCAGTTTTTCGGATTGTTAGTGATTCTAGTATTCGATAGGCATTGCTGTCATATTTTTCAACCTAATACTATCTTTCAGTTGTTCATTCTATGCTTTTATAGCCCTTTCTGAAAATATGATCAATACTTATCAAAATTATGAATTTGTGACATCTTGAGTTCTTTTGGATTTGTTTCGTCACATTTGTGGTGCAACACTTGTGTTTTATAGTCTAAAGTTCTTATGATATGTAAGCCGTTTGCACCACATTTGCCAGTTTTTCTAAGTTTATTGAGGGTAGGTTTGTTCGTGGGTTTGGATTTTGGATTGGGATTTGAATAGTAAAAAGTTTGAATTAGAATAGTTGTATAATGTGATGTTTTGAATGTTAAATTGATTTTTAGTATAATAAAAAATAAAAAATAGGTGCTTTGACTTGATGTTTTTGGCGGAAAATTTTTGTGGGAATATTACAAATCACCCCAAAATTCTTCAAACAAACACAACCTGAAAGATCTTTTGTTAAACAATGGGTGAGTTAATATTAATCTTTTGTTATCTACAAAAGTGAAAAGATAAATCTCATACGGGCATGACAGTCGAGGAACCCACAGTATAAGAACTAGCTTCGCGATACATAGCACTATACCAGTTTCATTAGCCAGGGTACACTTACCCAAAGTACCTTTAAAAATTTCTAGTTGCTTTTTTGTTATACGCTAGTGAATCATATACTTTGGTGAGTTTTTGGAGTGTACAGTTTTGTAGCATGCTCTAGGCAACTGTTAATTTTGCATTATTTTTAAGATAAATTTTTTTTAATCACCTGATCAGACTGCTCTGGAGTTTTGTCATACACTATTAGACTTCTTTTATGGACATTTCGAAAGAGTTCATGGATCATTTTCAGTAAATGCTCTTTGATGTTCAGACATTGGATAATGAATTTACTGCTACATATGTTTAATTTGGGTGCTTGTATGCACGAGTGATTTGTTTTCTCTGATTTTGTTAGTCTGATATCGTCCATTCTGCTGTCATTGCACAATATAATGATTGATACATTAATGGATGCCGTAATATTAGAGAAATCCGAAACAGATGACAATTATGCTCCATCAAAACTTCAGTTGCCAACTTGCCATCACTTGCTTGTTCGGTTTCTGATTGCATCATATGTTATATATATATATATTTCCTTTCCTCCCCTACTTTTATTAGCACTGATCGTAAGACTAATACGTCATTGCTTGAATCTTGTGGCCATCCATCCTATTGGTAGGAGAGTGAAAGCGAAGATGATCTTCTTGATGAAGGTGATGATGGTGATGATGATGATGGGGACGAACTTGATCATGAAACCGAGCCCCAAGAACAGCCCGAGGCAGAGCTGGAAAAGCTTGCAGAAGTTTCCCCGGCACCTAAAGAAACAGAAAGACAACTCTCCAAGAAGGAGAGAAGGAAAAAAGAGCTCGCTGATCTGGAAGCAATGTTAGCTGATTTCGGACTTAACCCCAAATCTGAAGGTGACCCTTTGGGCAATCTGCTTCTAAATAAATCTTTTCACAGGAATTTTCTTTTTGTGTTAATTTTTCACAACCTGCCTGTAACTTTATAGAAGAAATCCATCTTTTGACTGGCTTTATTGGCTCGATTCGCCTGCAGGTTCTTCCAAAGACAAGAAAGAGGCACAACCGAATGGAAAAAACCCAGAGAACGACGACAGTGCCCCCACAGAACCGAAAAGCGCCAAAAAGAAGAAAAAGAAAGACAAGGCTTCGAAAGAAGCAAAGGAGTCACAAGATCAAACAGGCGGATCCGAACCTGCAGAGGAAGATACAGCAGCTGTCGATGTCAAAGAAAGGCTCAAAAAGCTGGCTTCGACCAAGAAAAAGAAATCCAACAAAGAAATGGACAGCTCCGCGAGAGCTGCTGCCGTGGAGGCCGCAACTAGGAGCGCCAAACTAGCTACGGCAAAAAAGAAAGAGAAGAATCATTACAACCAGCAGCCGATCCGGTGAGACATAACTACCTTGGTATCTTCTTTGTGTAATTGTGTTCTTGGTCCACAATAAATCCCGAGCTTCTTCTCCGGCTTATTTTCGACAAGGATTTTGATTTTGCTTATTTTAACATGGTGGTTGCATTTTCAACCCTTCTAGACTTTTTGTTGTTAGATCAGTGGTAACATATGATATCGGTACTCTCTGCCTTTGTATCAGTACATTTTGAACTCTTTTTAGACTTGTTGAGACACTGACACACCATTGTATATACATACATATATATGTGTATGTATGCTTTGGCCTGAGCTTTTATTTCAGCAGCAGACAATAGAGATGGACTGTTGATGCATAAATTTTCTTCCGTACAGAAGCTTCTTTTAAATATCATAATCAAAATAATTTTAAATTAAAATTAGAATATAATTTTTTTAGTATTATTAAAATTTTAAAAAAATTATAGTGAAATTAAAGTGTATAATATTTTGTGGAAAGAAGAGAGTATTAATTAAATAATATTTTTATTGATTTAAATTTTAAATTTTATTATTTTGAAATATATCAATTTTTTTGTTATTTTAAATATTATAATAAAAAATTATTTTTTATACAAAATATGATAATTGTTATTTTTTTTATAATAAAAAAATATATAAAAAACAAATGTCTTTTTCTTTCAAGAAAAAGATCATATATTATGAGGAAAGGAATATAAAATATATTTAAATATTTATTTTATTTAAAAAATACTCGTATATTTAGAATAAAATACTTTGAACTAAAATAAATTTTAATATAGTAATTTCTAATTTAAAAATGGAATACCTGTTCAAACAAAAATAATTTTTAATATAGTATTTTCTAATTTAAAAATGGAATACCTGTTCAAACCTACGAACAAACATATCCAAATATTTTTATTCCCTAATAATGTTCTTACTTCATACAAGTGAATTCCAGCAATATTCTTGACGGCTCTCCTTAATTTTGAGGCTGTAATCGTCACTGCGCACCAATCCTCCCCTTGCACTTCACTCAGTTCGATAGAAAGCGATCCATCTTCGTTGGCAATCAAACGGAAGCAAGTAGCGTTCGACAAGCAATCCCTCGCATCTTTCTTTCCTCGCAGCTCGGTCGCTATTTCTTCGCTGGATGCTGTATACGTTAAAAGCGTACAGGTTCGGACTCCTCCTTTTTCTTCTTCTTCTTCTTCTTCTTCTCACAGGTTTGGTGTTCAGACTTTGAGAACGAGCGGTTAATTTATGACCTATGCTTTCAGGGAGTATTTTTTGTGAAGTCCAGCATGGTTGGGATTAATTTAAATTGTACGAAGAATTTTAGGATTTGATTTCATGGGAAGTGCAAAATTGTTCCTACGTGAAGCTTAAGCTGGGGGTTTGAGTGTAGAATAGAATTGTAACGGCTCTGTTTGTGTTGAAATTGACGGAGGCTTTACACTATCAGAGATTCTTAATTAATTTTCAATTTGATTTTTCAGGTTTGAATTGCTGTTTTGGTGGCGTTTAATTGTAATTATTCCTTAAGAGTTTGGATTGGGCATGGGGACTGAGGGCTTGCTCTTGGTCCCCTGCAATTGAATTCCAAAGAATTTTGAGTTTCTTAGTTTGAGACAATGAGCATTGGACTTCATAACCCATTTCTTGGGGTTCCTCTTAAGTTCACTGATTTAGGAGTAAGAGATAAGGGAGGGTCCATTTACACTAGAGGAGTAAAGCTGAAATCCTCAAAAAGGGGTTCAAAATTTCTCTCATGTAAATGTGGTAAGAGACATGAATGGATCTCACATGGTAACAAACTTGTGCATTATTGTGGGGAAGGTGCTCAGCTTCTGTTGAAGAAGCTGGAATTGAAGAGGGGTTTGGTGATCAATTCTGTGAGCAAGTCCATTGTCCAAAGCAGAAGTTTGGTTAAGTTTGTTAACCCAATATGGGAAGAAGGGCTATTTCTATTCAGGTGTACTGTATTTTTCTCTGTGATATCTGGAGTGTGTTTATTGGTGTGGTATGGCAAGTCGAAAGCAAAGATTTATATTGAAACAAATGTATTGCCTTCTGTTTGTTGTCTACTGAGTGAGCGCATTCAGAGAGAACTTGATTTTGGCAAAGTTCAGAGAATTTCGCCTTTAAGCATTACTTTGGAGTCATGCTCATTTGGACCGCACAGTGAAGAATTTTCTTGTGGGGAGGCACCGGTTATCAAACTGCAGATTCGTCCATTTGCAAGTCTGAGAAGGGGAAAACTTGTAGTTGATGCTGTCTTGTCTAATCCTAAGTTATTGGTGGTTCAAAAGAAGGATTTCACTTGGTTGGGTATACCATACTCCGAAGGCATGGTCCCGAGGCACTTGTCTGCAGAAGAAGGAATTGATGTTCGTACTAGAACTAGGAGAATTGCAAGAGAGGAGGCTGCCAAGCGCTGGGAGAGGGAAAGAGATGAAGCGGCTGGAGTATCTGCAGAAAGGGGTTATGTCACTTCGGAGTGCAGTCGTGTTTCACCTGAAGAGGATAATTTGAAGAAGAGTGTGAGTCTGCCCCCAAGGTTAGGGGCTCGTGAACCATACCTATTTATGGACGATAAAATGAGGTGGAGAGATCATCATTGCATGGATGCTGGAGCAGAGTATGATTTGAAGCATGCTGATTTAGAGAGATCATTTGGTGAAAAAATTTCATCTCAGGGGACTAGCTTCTGGTCGAGAGTTATGCCAGCAGCTATGAGGCGCAAGTTAAAAAGGAAGGCTAATGGAAAAGATTTATCAATGTTAGATATTGCTTGTAAAAGAAGACTTCTAGAGCGAAGTTCATCTGCAGCTCGTTTATATTTCCAAGGACAATCACAAGGGATGTCCAGAAACTCTTCTATGGGATCAGCAGGTCATGAAGTTCTAAATATGGATATTTCTCCAACAGTAACTAATGCTGAAGCAGCTGCCTCAGATTCTACCATGGCTAATCCTGAAGGTACGGGATATAAATCTCTGGATCTGAAGGATGAGCATAATGTTGATAATAGAGTTGAAGTGATCAATGTCAATAATGAAAATCTGAGAATACAATCTGGAAACCATATGGATAATTCAGGCGATTCCATTTCTTGTCCTCTGGATGTGGTTAATAGATCTTCAAATTCAAATGAGAAAACATCATCAGTCAACAGTGTCAAAGAAATGACAGGCACTGACAGTTTGACAACTAAGAAGCATCTGGAAGGTGATGCTGGCATGAATATGGCTGTGAGAAAAGGAGTTCACAGGTTGGATATGGATTTCAAAGGTGATCAGGATATTTTAGATCATCAAGCCTCTTGTAGTTCCAGCCCTATAGAGGTTGAGCCTTCAAGCTCAGTGAACCATTTCGATCGCTCTTTTTATTGGAAGTCTCTATCTGGTTTATCCTTATTTAAAAATTTTAACGATACATGGTCCCATTCATTTGTCAATCCTTTGCAAAGGCTGAAGTCTGTAGTTGGTGTTGGAGTTGAGGATATATCCTCAGAACTAATTGATGAGATTGGTGAAGAAACTACTTCAAGTTTAGAGAAAATGGTTCCTGTTGTCCTTGATTCGGTACAATTTAAAGGTGGTACACTAATGCTGCTTGCATATGGTGATGCAGATCCTAGGTATTATCACTTATGCTATCGACAAATTCAAAATAAATCTTGTTATGCCAATTATTTCTTGTCTTAGATTCCAGGAGTTTCCTCACATGCTTTCCAAGTGCTTAATCTACTAGATTGTAATTTATATATAAGATGCTCTAACCGTCTAACAAATTATGTCAATATTTTTTTTTGGTTGGCTGCTAAACTTACGCAGCACAGTCTATTTATAGTAAAATATTTTATTTACCCACAATTTTATTAGCCTTACTTTAACAAATAATAATAAAAAAAATTAACTACTTCTTCTATTTATCCACAATTTGTTTTCTTTTTTCAATTCATTAATAAATTTTCAATAATACTCCAATTTTATTTTTTACTTACTCTACTATAAAGTATTAAAATACTATTATTTATTAGTCTGTGTCCAACTAAACCTACATAATTTTTTCGGACGGAGGGAGTATATTTTTCTCGGTTAATTTTGGTACTTTATTGAAGGTAACATAATCTTTTCTGGAATCTGTACTCTGTACTCTTTGGAAATTTTTGTGTGAAGTGGAAGCTTTCAATAATTTCAAGTTTATTTTGCATTTGTTCCTGAACTTGTATTATTTTTATTACTAATATTATTTAAAGAAGGGAATTCTAGCAATTTTGTATGTTATTTATTTATTTTTCTTTGCTCTGCTGTGATACCTATTGTTTGAATTCTCTCACCGATGCGGGATGCCTCTGCCTCACTTCTGTAGACAAATGGAAATTGCTAGTGGACATGTTAAGTTTCAAAACAACTATGGACGTGTGTATGTTCAACTTAGTGGGAACTGCAAGATGTGGAGATCTGATTTTAGCTCTGAGGATGGAGGGTGGTTGTCTACCGACGTTTATGTTGATGTTGTTGAGCAACAGTGGCATGCAAACTTGAAAATAGCTAATCTCTTTGTTCCGGTAAAGTACATGAGAGTGTCACCTTGTTGCATTACTCGAAAGTAAAGCCTTATATCCTGCATGTAGCTTAATTTGTATGAACTAAGTCCTCCCTCTTCTTGTGTAGCTATTTGAAAGGATTTTAGAGCTTCCAATTACATGGTCTAAAGGCCGAGCAAGTGGCGAGGTGCATCTTTGACTCTGTAATTCTTTTAGCAAATATATTCCCTTTTCATGATGTGGTGGTTCCCACCAGTGCACTTAGCGTATTGTGACTTTGCAAGTTGAAATTGATTTGATTCTGCTTTTACCCAATTGCCAATCCTTGAAGAATTGCCATGATTTAAATGTGTTTGTAGTTGTGTAAGATTCCTGTATATATATATATTTTTTTTTATTCAAATCCCTTATCAAGAAATTTGTGCCATACTGTGATGTTGGTTGATAACATTTTGATAGTTCTTCAAAGTGGCAAGACTTCAATGAGGGTAGTTCTAATTTTATGCCTTTATTTGTTAAATATTATAGGATCAGGACTAAGTGATTCTAGTGATTTTTCCATTTTAAGTACAATGTACTTAACCCTGGAAGTTGTTGGATGTGGTTTTTTATGTAAAGCTGGTTAAATTAACACACACACAATGCACTAATAATTTCAGATGCTCATCTAATTATAGGTTAAAATTTGGTTGAACTAAAGAAATTCGACACACAGCAGAACTCCAGTCACAGTGCAAAAAATTATTCTTCAACTGCACAAGCTTTTACTGAGAAAGGAGTTTCTAGAATTGTAGAGACTGCCTAAAAAGTGATGGTATTGATGCATAAAAGTAAGGATAACTATTTGCATCTGTAGCGCTTTTTATGAATTTGGAGTATTATGGCATAACCAAAGTTGATCTATTTAAGATTTTACCTTTATAAGGTGCTTGAATTGTTTTGCAGTAGTTTGAAAATACATTTTAACAATGGAATAGTAAATTTTATAGAATAATTATCTGGTTTAAAGTTGTGATGGTTGTTTGACAACAGTGTGGAGGTATTAACCCTCATTCTCCATTTTACACTTACTGTGCAAAAAGAAATGCCTTCTTTAGTTTTTTTAGCATGCGCTGAACATTTTTATTTCCTTTTTCTAGTATTCTTGGCCAAGTTGTGTAGGCAAGTTTTACAGTTACTTAGACGTCCATAATACATCCATTATTCTCTTTTTCTGGATGGACCTATAATGTTTATAACATGAGGATGTTAAGAACCCCTCAGCCCTCTGTCCTTTGTGGAAAAGTGCACAGAGTAGTTTCCGCCAGCTTATTCTAAACTTCATCTAAAAATCTGTTGGTTCACACTGTTTTCGCTGTGTTATGATCATTATTTTCTGTTATTCAACATTTACAGGATGCTGAATGTTCAATTTGTGCAGCTCTTCTTTAGTTTCCTTTTTCATTTCTTCTGATTGGCAATTAATCCTTTTCCCGAACAGCAAAGGATTCCCACCACATGTCTTTATGAAATTCAATGAATCATAATTATCATGAAATGCTTCTGGTAACAGGTTCACATATGTATGTCCAAAGGAGAAACGTTTCCAAATCTTCATGGGCAACTAGATGTAACAGGGCTGGCCTTTCACATATATGATGCTCCATCATGGTTTTCTGTATGTCTTTTGAACCATTATTAAATAATTATGGAAAGAACATACAATGCCCTCTGACCACATATGTTCAACCTCTTTTGCATGCAGGATATGTCTGGAACTCTGTTTCTTCGTGCCCAGCGAATATTTCTGCACAATGCCAGGGGATTTTTTGGTGATGTTCCTGTAGAAGCATCTGGAGATTTTGGCATCCATCCAGTGGAAGGAGAATATCACCTTATGTGTCAGGTGCCACCACAAGCACCATTCTCTGTGATGCATTTCCATCTGAAACCTAGGGCATTGTTACTTCTATTTTCGTTTTTCATATTATTAATATTCTATCTGCAGTGAGTTTCCATTCCTGAAAAAAGATGTTATCCAACACTTATTTACAGTTCTGATCATCACATCCAATATCCATTTTCACTTCAAACATTTCAAAACCCAAAACAAGAAAACAAAATCAAAATACTAGCAAACAAACCCCTGTTGTTATCTCTGAAGTTAATATCTTGATTATGAACATGGCAAGTGATTATTCTAGACCAACATTGTCCTTTCCTGCTGAGATCTCTATTGTTGCAGTGGGATTCCCCCTGAGACATTTGTATATAAATGGCATATTCTTGCGAACATGTAAATGTGTAGCAACTCTTTCCTATACATATGAATAGGCCATTTTTCTGTCAACTTTGCCAGACACTTATTGATCGTAGTTAGTGTAGGTTACAACTTTTCTACTATCTGAATATGGGGTCATTTCTAACAAAGAATATATATATATATATATTTATATATTTTCATATATCATGTTGTTTATTTTAAATATATCTCGAGCTTATAGTTAACTTCATTGTGTTTTACTTTCTAATGGATTGGATAAATCTGCTTTCCTCCCTGTCTATTCTTTATAAAGTTGCTAATATCCTAATGTTGGATTCGTTAGGTACCATCGGTGGAAGTTAATGCTTTGATGAAAACATTCAAAATGAAGCCTTTGTTGTTTCCGGTATGTGTATCCGTTTTTCTTTTATTCAATTGCATTTGAAGATTTATTTTATCTTTCTTCATTATGTATATTGGCATAAATTTTGCACAAAACGTAAATTATTCACTTCCTCCAATCGCTTTGTATTCCACAGAGTGTAACTAAGATGAGATTATTTGCATATGTAGCTGATTTTGTGATTTGCTTTACTGACTTTTAGTAATTGGGTCCTTACCTTGGACCAACCTTCTCTTATAAACTAATACTAATAATTATATTATTAAATAATATTAATTAAGAATTATAAATAATGCAATAACACTAGAATTATTAAAATAGATAGTTATAACTGGGCAAGGCAGGTCTGGTTGTGGGCCCACTGAGTGCTTGCAGCTGGGTTCTGTCTGGGGTCACACCCACCCTGTTGACATCCTATTAAGACTATGTATGCGCTTTCATGTTCTGTTAGTTTCCTGTGTTCTTGAATACCTTATCTCTTGATTGTGTTAGGTTACTTTTCCAATTTTATTTAAATTTATATTTTATAGATTTTGATGCAAAGCAGACATTTCCTGAATTTTTGTTTTTGTTTTTACTGTTATCACTTTCATGAGGTTGGCCTTTTTGTTCTTCACCTCAAACTGATGCGTATTTGTCATTCACTTCAGTTGGCAGGATCAATAACATCTGTCTTCAATTGTCAAGGTCCTTTAGATGCTCCTGTTTTTGTTGGTAGTGCATTGCTCTCAAGGAAACTCGTACATTTGCCTCCTGATAGTCCTCAATCTGCTGCATATGAGGCCATGATGAGCAGTAAAGAAGCTGGTGCGGTTGCAGCCATTGATCATGTTCCACTTTCATATGTTTCTGCGAACTTTACTTTTAACACTGATAATTGTGTGAGTAAATTTTGTAGAATAATTATAATTCACCATTACATGTGTTTTCATCCCATTTTCTTGTCCATTGCTCATTTTGCTCATGGCAGGTAGCTGATTTGTACGGAATTAGAGTTACACCTGTTGATGGTGGCGAAATTCGTGGAGCTGGCAATGCTTGGATTTGTCCTGAGGTTTAGCTTGGAAATCATTTAATTAACTCTGCATTCAAATATTCTGCATGAGTAATTCAATTGTTTCCTGCACGTTATTGAACTCTGGTTCCCGATTTTAATTGGTGATTTAGTTTTTTAATTTTAATTTTGTTTCTTTCATAAATTTATTGAGGGGCGGGGGTGGCCGTGTGGGGAACACTTAAAATGATTATATTTTATTCGTTAAACACAAATCCTTTCTTATTTAAAGCTAAATCTACATGTTCACATGCTACATGTAAAGAACAATGCTGAGTGCTACCGTTGAGTCTATTAAAGTTTTCGGGGAAAACTTGTTCTCAAAATGGATTTAGCTTTACATGAAGCGCATGAATTTTGAGTGGATAGATCTCTTTCTGTCAAAAGCGTCCACTCTGGGATTCTTTTTTCTACTACAACCTGACATTATTATTGATTATTGTAGGGGGAGGTTGATGAAACAGCTATGGATATTAACTTTTCTGGAAACTTATGCTTCGATAAAATTATGCATCGCTATATACCTGGTTATCTGCAAACAGTCCCATATCAATTTGGTGATCTGAATGGAGAAACAAAAGTTTCTGGCTCTTTGTTAAAGCCGTAAGATTTCTGTCTTTATGGATGTTGGTGGATCAGTGTTCTTCTTCACTTAATTGAGAATATTGTTCATGTGTTTCATCATGGGAATTTGAGTAGCAAATTTTGTGTAGGAGATTTGATATCAAATGGACTGCACCAAAAGCTGAGGGATCACTTTCTGATGCGCGTGGAGATGTCATAATTGCACATGATCACATGTCCATCAATTCCTCATCTGCTGCATTTGACTTGTACACAAAAATTTTAACGACTTATCATGATGGAAACTGGTTAGACTGGAAAGAGACTGGTAAAGTGGTAACCATGCCTTTCTCAGTGGAGGGAGTTGAATTGGATTTACGAATGCGCAACTTTGAATTTTTCAACGTTGTTTCTTCCTATGCATTTGATTCTCCAAGGCCTGTAAATTTGAAAGCAACGGGCAAAATTAAGTTTCAAGGGAAGGTTAACAAAAAGTCCTCCAGCATGGATGATCGAACTTTACAATCAGATGAGAATTTAGAATGCCCAGTGGAAGTAATTGAAGACGAAAAGTGTATATCCGGTGATATTTCCATCTCAGGTCTGAAACTCAATCAATTGATGCTGGCTCCTAACTTAGCTGGAGCATTGAGCATGACATCTAAGAGTATCAAGGTCGGTCTCTCTGCCCCTATCTCAATAACTAGTTGTATTGTGCTAAGAAAATGTGATATTTATTTGAACCGGTGGCTCATGTCCGAAATGTCATAGGCATCTAGGTATCGTTTATGTTCTCTATAATCAAGTTGCTTCAGGAAGCTAAAGTTTACATTCAAAATACCAATCAATTTTTTTGAAGTTTTTTTTTTTATTTTTTATAGAAGGCTGTATGTTCAGTACAAAACATCTAGAATGCTTTCAATCACTAGCATAATTGTCAAACAATATTATTAAAATAATAACTGTATTTTTGCTAAGCAAGCTGTTGAACACTTCTTTTTCTGATGATGCTGAAAATACCAGTATATTGTTCAAGCATCTCATTTGTTATATCTGGTGACATAGTTGCATGCTACTGGCCGGCCAGACGAAAGTCTTGAAATAGAATTTGTTGGACCGTTGCAATCAACTTCAGAAGAAAATCTATCTGGCAAATTACTGTCATTTGCCTTGCAGAAAGGTCACCTGAAAGCTAATGCAAGTTATCGACCACTACATTCAGCAAACTTGGAGGTATTTTTCACCTTTTCTTTGTTATTAATTTTTCTTGTTTACTTTCAGTTCATTCTTATAGTCATTAATCCTGCTATTAGTTGGTATTGATGCAAACTATGTTCTTTTATATGCAATCAGGTACGCCATTTGCCACTTGATGAACTCGAGCTAGCTTCACTACGTGGGGCAATTTCAAGGGTAATCAATCTTCTTATTAGACTAGTCAACCTCATTGTTGATACTCTTGGTTTGAGATTATTTTATTTTATTTTATGTTTTTGAATCCGAGATTCACTAAAGATTTCTTTTATTTTTATTTTTTATTTTATTTTTTAAAGTGGTTGTCACTTTGTTTCATTGTACTCTTCAATGTCCTAGTATCATGATTAGTGATTCGTCTATTTAGCTTGTTGTCTTGACTATTATATCTTAAAAGGTTAATAAATAACTAATCAAATGTAAGTAATGAGCATTAGATAGATGATTAGCTGTCTGCATGTTTGAGTGATTTAACCCATTATATTAATCTCACATTTGAGTTGTAAACAGCTGGTGAAAACTAATGCTTGTAACTGGGAGGTGTACTTGTCTTTGGAGAACATAATAAGTGTTAAAAAAAAGTACCTCAGTAATCAGTATTTTAATCAACTATCTTTGTCCACTTCGAAGAAAGGTGGTTTTATTCTGTTTTCATTTTTCAACTTTTGCAGGCAGAACTTCAGTTAAACTTTCAAAAAAGAAGGGGTCATGGTGTTCTATCTGTGCTCCGACCAAAATTTAGTGGTGTTTTGGGTGAAGCTCTAGATTTAGCTGCCAGATGGAGTGGGGATGTGGTGAGCACCTTTAATATGAACTAATATTCTATTAAGCTTAGGCGGTATTGGTCTTTTTATGAGGTTTGTTTTGATTAAGATAGGGAGTTTATGTAAATATTGAGGGTTTTGGTGCATTTATTGCATGTCCTATTTTAATATATACACACATATATTTACTTCCATTAAGAAATTTACTCAGCAGGATTTTATTTATATGGAACAGGACTCTGCTACATTTAATGAAGTTGATATATACTGACGTTGAGCTAGTGTTAAGCTCTAGTTCAATTATGTTGCATTTGGCTTACTTTGTCTCTCTATTGTAGTGTAGTTGAGTTCGGGTATTTCTTTATCCTATTAACATGAAATATGATCCTTAATGTTTCGACAATTTTCATTTCTTGTGGTTGACTTCCATGCCTAACGTTTTTGAAGTATTATGATCATGTTTGTTTTGGGTCCTTTAAATGAGATCAGTGGAAAATTGAAAACTACTCTTAAATGCAAAATAAATCATTGTTGTGCTGCTATCTTATAAACATTTAAACTATAATATAGGGAATAAGGCTTGCCAGTTAGAAATTATACTTTAGATAATTGCTTATGTTTATTACTGCTTAATCCTACTGCTTAAAAATCCTCTTCTATAGATCACGGTTGAAAGAGCAGTCTTGGAACAAAGCAATAGTAAATATGAATTGCAAGGGGAATATGTCTTACCGGGCTCCCGTGATCGAAGCACTATTGAAAAGGAAAAAGGCAGCTTATTTCAGAAAGTAATGACCGGTCATCTTGGGAGCATGATTTCTTCGATGGGTAGATGGAGAATGAGACTAGAGGTGCCTAATGCTGAGATTGCGGAGATGCTTCCACTTGCTAGGCTGCTTTCTCGAAGTTCTGATCCTGCTGTTCAATCAAGATCAAAGGTTGTTATCTGATTTATGAAATATTTGATATCTCCTCAATCGAAATAGTGTGCTATGATGTGTTGTCAGGAGCTTTGCTCCTTTTGTTTTGTGATAATAACATAGTTTTACTTTGCACGGAAGCCTTTGCATATGCACAAGCTTGTCCGACAGTTTTTTGCAACTGTCTATCACTTGAAATTATCATCCTAGGTTGAGTCTCCTTTAGTCTCTTTAGGGGCATAAGTGGGGTTTACTTGAATATCGATATTAAAAAAGCAGCATGCCACCATCCAAGGAACACAATCTTGCAGAGGTGTTTTTTTTTTTTTTTTTCTAAATCTCATCAAGGGCCTAAATTTAAGGCTGTTGCTTGCTCTAATGGTGTTTTAGTGAGCTTCAATTTTTTGAAATCGAAATTTCCTTGTTTGTATGGGTTTCACATAATTTGTCCTCATTGATTCTATGTATATATTCCTCTCTGGTACTGTCATAAAATTGATCTGGAGAATTCATGAATTGTCTAATTGCTTGCACATGCAACAAGTTTGTGTTTTCGTTCTGATTCATATAGTTTCTTTACTGACACGCAGGATCTTTTTGTGAGAAGTTTGCAGTCAGTTGGATTGTGTGCTGAAAACATCCAAAAACTTCTCGAGGTATGTTTCTATTGCGGAGATTTAAAAATGTCACAAAGTGGGATGTAGAGCCTTAAGGTGGACTCACTTGGCATCATATTCCCTCCCAATATTTAATTGTGTGAAATCTTGTAGGAAATTCGAGGCCATTGTCCCACATCAGAAGAAGTCGTTCTTGATGATTTTGATCTTCCAGGTTTGGCAGAACTTAAAGGTCATTGGCGTGGCTCTTTAGATGCAAGTGGAGGCGGCAATGGTGATACTACGGTAGACATCTTACCACACCTTATACAGCATTTTTTAACCAAGTTTTTCTTAACTGATACAATATTGTTTCTGGTTTGAATTTTAGCTGGTATTTAGTAAATGTTTACACAATTATTTTTATCAATGCTTTTTTGAGAATCTTAATCGCATCTATGATGATTCTGTGCGAAATTTCTTTGTTTTCTTTGACCTTTCTCTTTTTTTTGGCTTCAGTCGGTAATATCCTAATGCATTGATCCACAGAATAGAACTTATATCCTGTTGACCTCAGATGGAGAACTTCTATAGAACCTGTTGTATAATAAAAGAATTTCACATGAAATTATGACCAAATCGACTATCTTTTAAGTTAAATCCATTTAGCATGGCGGTCTTATTGGTTTGATTGTCTCGACTTTTGTTCACTGTAGGCAGAGTTCGACTTTCATGGAGAGGAATGGGAGTGGGGAACATATACAACCCAGCGAATTCTAGCAGCTGGTATGTACAGCAACACTGATGGTTTGCGTCTCGAGAAAATGTTCATCCAAAGGGATAATGCCACAATCCATGCAGACGGGACACTGCTAGGTCCAAAGACGAATTTGCATTTTGCTGTTCTAAATTTCCCTGTCAGTTTGGTTCCCACTCTGGTTCAGGTCATCGAAAACTCAGCCACTGAAGCTGTTCATTCTCTTCGGCAATTATTAGCTCCTATTAGAGGCATCCTGCACATGGAAGGCGATCTTAAAGGAAATCTAGCAAAACCAGAATGTGATGTTCAAGTAAGGCTTCTAGATGGCGCAATCGGAGGAATTGAACTTGGGAGGGCCGAAGTTGTTGCTTCTCTAACCCCTAACAGCCGTTTCTTATTTAATGCAAACTTTGAACCGATCGTGCAAAATGGCCATGTACATATTCAAGGAAGCATTCCCCTGATACTTGTACAGAACAGTAACTCGGAGGAAGAAAGCATCGAAAGGGATAGGAATGAATCTACATGGGTTCGGGGTTGGGATACAGAAAGAAATAAAGCATCTGTGGATGAGCATAACGATAAAAAGGGCCCCAGAGAAAAAAATCAAGAGGTTTGGGATACACAAATGGCCGAAAGCCTCAAGGGTTTGAACTGGAACATTTTAGATGCCGGAGATGTTCGAATTGACGCCGATATTAAAGATGGCGGCATGATGTTGCTAACAGCACTATCTCCATACGCTAACTGGCTCCATGGCAATGCCGAAATTCTGCTTCAGGTAGAGATACTCCCATTTAACGTAACTTTTTGTCTTATAATCAAATAATATATCGATAGAAGTTTTGGAAAATTGTGGGAATAGCAAAAAGTTGGGTATTTGATGTAATAGTTTTGTGAGAGAAAAAAGTTATTTGATTTCATATTTTGTGAAAAAATTACCGTTGATTAATAGTGATGGTCATTCTGAATCTGACATAGTATCAGAGCCTAGGCTAGGTTTTGAGTTCGAGTTCCACCACCCCCATTTGTGGGGTATGTGAAACTTGCACATACAAGTGCCCAAATGGGGGCGGTGGAACTCGAATTCGAGACCTAGTATGAGCTTTGTTACCATGTCAGATACAGAATGACTGTCTCACCTAGCCCGTTCAGATTTATGAGAGCCATGTTTTTACTTTTCTCTGAGTTCCATCTTTTGCAGGTAAGGGGTTCTGTTGAACAACCAGTTGTCGACGGATCGGCCCATTTTCACAGGGCAGCCGTGTCCTCGCCTGTACTCAGGACGCCAATAACCAATCTTGGAGGAACTGTTCTTGTAAATTCGAATCGATTGCGCATTGGCTCATTGGAGGGAAGAGTAAGCCGAAAGGGTAAACTATCGGTAAGAGGGAATCTCCCTCTCCGGGCCAGTGAAGCATCTCCCGGCGACAAACTCAACCTGAAATGTGAGGTTCTTGAAGTTCGAGCGAGGAATGTTTTGAGGTACAATTTATTTCCCATTCCAATATATTTATCGCCCCTGAATCTTCTTTTTGTCGAATATTAATGAAACCAACTACGCTTGTCGCAGTGGTCAGGTTGATACTCAATTGCAAATAACGGGATCTATTATGCAACCGAATATCTCCGGAAAAATAAAGATCAGCCAAGGGGAAGCTTACCTGCCTCACGACAAGGGCAGTGGAGCCGTCGCCTTTAATAAGGTGAGGACAGCTGAACAAAGATTGGCAGCTGGTGGTTATGGTCATATGGTTGCGTCGAAGTACGTTTCACGTTTTCTCAACCTTATCCCGGCCTCGTCGAATAGCTCGTTCAGCCAGTCATCCGGTACGTGTTTTGGACATTGCCACGGGTTTTAATTTTGGCATCTTTTTATCGTATTTCTTGAAAATGCAGATTTAGCATATCTTACGTTTCTTTTTACCCGATTGAGTGATTAGGCTCGGTCTAGATAAAAGTTTTGAAAGTTCGAAAAAATTTTAAAATAGTAAAAAAAAAAGGGTATTTACATTTAGACCTACCAATTTGTTGTCGAGTTTGATAGAGCCGTTGAGGCTGTCCGTTGATGCGTTCTTATTACAACTATATATTTCGTTTATGTCGACTGTTTGTTGATCTTGAAGTCGACATCTATTTACAGGTGATCGAAATGAAGCTAAGGAGATGGCGGTGGTAAGTAGTAATCCTCGTTTCGACATTCGCCTGACGGACTTGAGGATTGCACTTGGACCCGAACTCAGAATAGTTTATCCTTTGATACTAAATTTTGCCGTTAGCGGCGAGCTCGAATTGAATGGCCCCGCTCACCCGAAATGGATCAAACCTAAAGGTCTCTTGACGTTTGAAAATGGCGATGTAAATCTTGTCGCTACGCAGGTACCGACCGTTTCTATGACTCAGATTATTTTGCCCCTCGCATCATTCTTGTAATCTTCGATGTGGTTCTAACTCTCTCGACTTTCTACCTATTGCAGGTGAGGCTCAAAAGAGACCATCTTAATATAGCGAAATTTGAGCCCGACCATGGCCTTGATCCGACGTTAGATTTAGCTCTCGTAGGATCGGAGTGGCAATTCCGCATCCAAAGTCGAGCTAGCAAATGGCAGGAGAAATTGGTGGTTACGTCTACACGTTCAGTCGAACAAGACGTCCTTTCCACGACTGAGGTAATGTTTAACATTAAAAGTTATCGCATACCTTATGTGAATCTAGCCGCTACCCGAAAGTGCGCACTTGATAAACTCTCAGCCAAACCTAATACCCTGCAAACTAGGTCTGATAAGATAAGTCATACTACACTAGGCAAACCATATGTGGCAGGTGACCAAGAGACGTCGGGGTTTTGAATCCATGACCTTACGGTCATAAAACCACCCCCATACTACTAGACCATCCCTTACGGGACACCTTATCTTTATCTCTCAGAAGAATTCATCGTGATGTAGCTGATTATGGTTCTTGCAAAAAACAGGCTGCTCGAGTCTTCGAGAGTCAACTAGCCGAATCAATATTGGAAAACGATGGCCAGCTCGCATTCAAGAAGCTTGCCACTGCCACGCTCGAGACATTGATGCCGAGGATTGAAGGGAAGGGGGAATTCGGACAGGCTAGATGGAGGTTAGTCTATGCTCCACAAATCCCGAGCTTGCTCTCCGTAGATCCAACCGTCGATCCTCTCAAATCTCTTGCGAGTAACATATCGTTCGGGACAGAAGTCGAAGTGCAGCTGGGGAAGCGTCTTCAGGTGAAGCAAATCCTCCTATTCCTTACATATCCGCATCTTCGATATAAAAAATGTGCAATCCATTGACGATAACCCCTTTTCAGGCATCGGTTGTAAGGCAGATGAAGGATTCGGAAATGGCGATGCAATGGACATTAATCTACAAGCTGACGAGCCGTCTCCGGGTTCTCCTACAGTCGGCTCCATCGAAACGTCTCTTGTTCGAGTATTCTACCACTTCACAAGACTAGAATCTTTTGAAGTCCCTTCACCAACTGTAAAAAAAATATCAACACATTCACACAGTATGGTTTAGTATTGTTCTTAGGCATGCCTGGCTGGGATGAATAGGTCATTCAATTCTTGTACATAAAAATTTAATTAATTTTGATCCATTGAGGAAAAACCAGTTTGTTTAAAGACTTAAGCGGCACCATATTTCTAAACTTATGATGTTCTTACTAAAGCTTTTTAAATGGATGGCTGAAGAGGATCAAAAAAGTGTTTCAAATATGCAATTTCTTTAGATAAAGTTAGAGCCGTATTCTTGAAATAAGACAGAAAATTCTTGTCACCAAAATCTCCAGGGATCCTTGTAAGGAGGAACATAGTTCTCCGATGGCGGCAGAAGCCGGAACGATGCTGCGGTTTTCTTCAAGAATGGTCCCATCTGTGTAAGGCAACAAATCAACCATAAGAGTAAACAAATGTGGAGTCGGGTTTTGTGTAACAAAAATATCACTATTAGAAAGAAACAAAATCAATCTCCAAAAGACACAAACCTACCTTGAAGTATTCAACAAATTTACATTGTACTTCAATACAACAACTCAAGTTGTGCCAATATTTTATATGGTTCAATGTATTTTGTATTTTATTCGTTATTCAAATGTGTGCTCAAACTTTTGGACACAAATTTTAATGAGAATATTTTTTGTCACTTTTTTTTCTTTTATAATAAGAAAAAAGCAAACCAAAACATTTTCTTTATAACAGTCCAAAAAAAGAAAGTACACGTAAATTTAGATCATTAAGCATATTTTCATCGCTAAACAGTATAATTTTAAATATAAAGTCAGCACATGATCCCAACAAACTTTTCTTTAATTGATAAATAAACCGGTTTGCGGTGAGAAGAAATTGAACTTACTTTGTCCCATTGCTTGCTCAGAGTAGAAGCACTGAGCGTGTACAAATAACCTGCAATGAACAATTTTTCAGTAAGTTCACTCCCGAGAGAAGGATTGCTGAATAAGGGAAAATATAGAAGGCTTGGAAACAGGTAGCCATATTGTAATGAAACAATCATTAGCAGATGAAATGGTTGGGATGCATTTCTCGGACAAATCGCATAATTAGTTCTTTCGATGAGCAGAACATAACGAAGAGGGATTTGTATCAAACATCCATTACGGTATTGATATAATATTTTGAACAGGTTCATGCAGTGTAATAATATCCTACCATCGCGTTCAGCTGTTGATGCAGCAAAATGTCGGTAAAGGTTAGCCCCCAGGGCCTAAATCAATCAGCATGATAAGGGAAATAAGTAATCAATTGTCATTCATCAGGATTATATGCTAAAAAGTAATGAGACTAACAGTTTTGGTTGGTGATTTTCGAACCAAATATTCATAGTACCAATACGGTACACCATCAACCTACACGGGAGATATACAATGAGTCCAATTAGAGTCAAGTAAATTGCATTGGATCACTGTTTAGAGTATTTATTTTGCAATGCAGATCTTTTAAACATAAACAGAACTTACCGAAGAAGAATTTGTGTCAAGAATTGAACTTTCATCCAGACGCTGGCTAGAGGTAACTCGCTGTGAGAGACGGGAATATGCCGTTACAACACTTACATGAGATATCAATTAGACATGCATTACATTTAAGTGCATTGAAACAAGGACAAGCACAACCCTTTGAAGATGCAGAAAAGACCCGAATTGAACTGCCGACTATACTAAGAACAGAGTAGGGATACATGCAGATAAAAGAGATAGCTGTAAAGCCATAACCTATGAACACCGGGAACGGATATGCGCAGTTGGGGAGTGTGAAATCATTCATAATATTGAAACTATCAAACATGAGTTAAATTGTCAGCTTATACACTGAATTTTGCAGTGAAGGAACTACAACTGACACTGAAGCACCATTAATCCAATAGTATGTTTTGTTTATTTATCAGCAATCATTTAAAATGCACTATTGTTCCACAATCTGATCTTCATATCTAAAATCATATATGAGATTATAAAAAATGTTCTATTTTTTCATTATCGATAAGTTTTTGAGGTCAGTAGGAGCTATCTTAAATCATATATTTAATATGCGATGATGTCAGAATGATACTCCGGCATAACTAGAAGATATTTTTTTGTCAGGTGAGGTGATAGGGTAAATCATTTCACAGTGAAGAAATGTGAACTAGTCAAAGAAGTAAGATGAAATGCCAAACAAGAGTCAAGTATAGCAAATTAACACATAGCAAGCAAAGATAAATTTGGTTAAAATCAGAAGGAGAACGAGCCAGAGTCAAGCACAGAGCATTCCTGGAATCGTTATTTATTTCTAGGCAAGATTGGTGGGGTGTTTAGCAAGAATCACTCAGCAAAGGCTCAAGAGGACAGAGAATAAGAGAGGTAAATACCAGAGCAGACTTGTCGGCTAAAACTGAATCAGCAACATTTTTAGCATTCCATGTGCTTTTCTCTTGAGGTTTCAGAAACAGTGAATTTGGTGGACCAATCTGAATAAGAAAAAAATAAAAATATATATATATATATATATAAATCATAATGGTAACTCATGTTTACTGTCAGTCTATTAAAAGACATGGTAGAATCAAATTACCGTTACAGAAATTATAAGGTTATCAAAAAAATCAACCCTCTCAGACACAATACGAAGGCGTGCATCAGCTGTATAGTAGTCAATAAAACCGTGAGTGAGCTCATAGTAAAAAGTAAATAATCATTTAAAAAAGTATAATACAGCTTAATTGCCAATAGAATAACAAAATAATTGGTAAAATTGAAGGTATTCGAAGACATAAACCTTGCTTATTGCCGTCGTTTAAATATATGAATATGGAGAAACTTACGTGACAATGGTGCAGCTGATGAATAACGTTCCGGCTTTCTAGATTCCACCCTTCAAATAGATGAAAAGAGTGAGGTTCCTACAATTTAAGGATACAAGAAAATGAAGCAGACAAAATTGCATCAATTCTAGAAAATCCATATAATTGAATTTGTGAAATACATTAAAGTTAAGATCCATTTTCAAGCCAAGAATGAAATTAAAAAAGACCAAATAAATCCATTATGAAAGTTAGAAAAATGATCATATTTATTGTTTAATTAGTTGAATCTATTGTGACACAACACTCATTTATTGACTTAACAAGCAGGCATCAAACAAGAAGCAATGACCACTCTATCAGGTATTCCTAACAAAGGGCATACTTTTCAACATCATTGGGTTTCAAATTGAATCTATTTCATGGTAAATTACTAAAATGCTAAGAGTGGAATCCTCCAATTCCCAAAATGAGACCAATTTCTTTAACCCGGAATAGTGGATAATGAAAAAAACTCTAGAAGGTTTGTTTACTTATATTATCATTATTTTTGCGCAAAAAAAAAAAAAAAACCCTCCTAAAAGACATCACATTCAACATAGATTTTTCACTATAAATATTACATAAAAAATATATTTTATATTCAAAACACAACATTCAATGGCTATTTACATCACATCAACACATATTTTCTAGTCAAATATTTACTATTCCTAAAACAGCCTGATACATCAAAACACTTCCAAAACACAACTAAACACTGCTGTATTTGGTTTTAACATCCCCTTCCCTTGGCTACATTACTTTTATATATCTTGAAAGACTTAAGAAATATAAGAATAGCATCCAAAATTATAATCACCAATCACCAATAATAAAGTGATAGAAATATGCATTTACCATTTGAAGACAAACTTTTTGGAAGGCAATTCAACCGGATACATATATGAATAAGCGTTTACATCATCTACTTGTAAATCCATTTTCAAATCTTCCTCAGCGCCAGAACCTGTAGGATCAGCAATTTTAACATCCCCAGATAAAAAGAAAAGAAGTGTTTGACCATGTAAAATGCAGCACATACTACATGACCATCAAAATTTCATGCATGAAGAACAAAGCATGCGTAGCATTGAAAGCTGGAAAATCAAATAACAAACTCGAAACACATAAAAACAAAGACCACGGTGAAGATAAACACACAAGATACTGAAACGGTTCTAAATGGGTAGACCATACACATTTAAGCACATACATTTTGTTTTAGATATGCACACAACCGATTTGAGTTCACCAATGAAATGAAGTAATGTTCTAACTAATTAACTGCTCCTAACATAACTAAAATGAAATCCAACAGCCATGGGAGTAATGCAGCTGATATTACTCATTGTAGTTACAAATTCACATCGAAGTAACACAAAATTTGAGTTCAAGAACATTCAGGATCAAAAGGAGGCACAAGAACAACGGCAGCAGCAACAGTAAATCACACAGGAGAGAGAAACAGAATATATCACAATAATTACTACCTAAAGTTGGGAAAATTAGACAGATTGAAGCAGAGAGCCCAATGAACATTAAATCTCTCCTCAAAACTCCATTTCTCGGACCGGTTCTCGAGCAAAAGCTTAAATTCTCAGCTACGTTGATCATTCTTCCACCAATTTCACGCCTCTTGGCGGTTGAAGCACTTTTACTATGAGCATTTGTCCTGCAAAGCAGCACAAAATGAAGCAAAAACAGCGAAAAATATAATTGAAGCAAGGAACGGATTCCAGGCATAGATGAAGCTAAATTATACCTACAGACGGAAAGATTTGGGATGAAAGAACTGTGGAATTTGATCGTTGGAAGCGTTGCCGCCATTTGGAGCACGTCTTCGCTTCACTGTGTCAGCTCATCCACTTCGGCTTCCAAGGATAACTGAAAATTCCTATTTTATTATAAATAAGATAGGGTCGGTCTTGATAATATTTTATTCTTTCGGGGTTAAATTAAAATATTTCGACAATATAAGCGAGGTGTGGTTGATTATCATCTCATTTTTTTTATATTTTATTTTAGATATAAATTGTTTTTGGTTTGAAAATGTCATGAAATAAATAAATAAATAAGATGATTTTTAGATGAGTTTTAAAATTATTATATTTAATTATAATAAAGAAAAAATTTAAAATAAATGTGATAGTGAAAAAGTATACATTTACAAAGTAAATAGTTAAAAATAATATAAAAATAATTTTATTTTTTATTTTTGTGATATAAAAATAATTATATGACAGTGAAATAAGAGTTTGTAAAAAAAAAAAATACTATATTTTTTAAAAAATTACTTTATAATTCGATCACTCAGAATAAAAATATGCATATACTTGTAAATAGACTGTTAATAACAAAAACCCATATTCAATACTTACATTTCAAATCAATTTCAAACTACAATCAAATAATTTTCAATTTAAATATTTATTATTTATATAAATATATATATATATATATAAAAATTATAAATATTTATATATATAAGGCAAGTATTATCATTACACAGATCACATATACTCATGAATTGAATATAAGGTGCAAAACATACACAAACAACAATATAACAAACATAAAAGAATCAAACACATCAAAACCACCTTTTGGTCACACAAACAAATTTACAAACAAACAACCACAGAACTTCCATGGAGATTCACAAGAGGGTGCCATTCCGAAGGCTAGCAGTTGCTTCAGCCAACGAGCTAAACACAGTATCGTCGCCGAGCTCGGCTTTGCAAAGCGGGCACGACCCGCTCATCCGCAGCCATTTATCGACGCAGTCCTTGTGAAAGAAGTGCGCGCACGGCAACTCTCTCAGCTCGTCGTTGTTCATGTACTTGGTCAAGCAGATGCAGCAAACCTGCACGCCGCAAATCTCGATTTATAAAATCCAAAGTTCTGTATATGTAAATATTTTTGAAATTTTCGACAAATGCCTAATTCCCTCTCACAAAATATCACATCAGATATCGAAACTTTTTACTATTTTAATAATTTTTCAAAACTCCACGAATCTCTATCTAAAAACAAAAGTTCGACATTTAAGGAATTAATTGAGGGAAGCTTACTGCATCTTCTCCGGATACTTCGCGTTCCTTGTCTGTTCCGGACGCCACAATACCGCCGTCGACCGCTGCAGACGGGACTTTCTCCTTGTCGTTGTTGTTCTTATTTTTCTTCAGTTTAAATTTATACGTTGGGAGCGTGTTGATTAAATTTTGCGTAGCTCCTTTAGTATGAGGAAGATCTTGTCGCAAGCCCATGACTGAAATAATACAAGGGAAGCAACAGCAGACGGCAGCGCACAGAATAAACGGCAAAGCGTATCCAATGCAGCTTAAGGTAAGAAATACGATACACAGCCTGAAAAAGAAGTGACGGGGAATTAATCGAGCCAGTTGCAAGAAGTACAAAGTCGACATTTTTGTTACCTGTAGATGTTTGGAGCTTCGGACGACGACGCGTGCCCTCCGAAAATCCACACATTGCCTACCACAAACCAAACAGCAAAGAAGCAGTCCAAAGCCATCTTGAAATTTTCAACAAATGCCTTAATTCTGCAATAGTAGAGTTTCTAGTATTCAAATCCCGACAATTGCATGTTATGCCTCAAAATATTCATAGGTTTTCGCCCCTTGGAGGCTCGATCAAGAAGATAAAATACAATTAATTGCTATGTTCGAAAAGTATAACTTTAATCAACTTCTACATTCAGTTGATTCTTTTCTGGTCGATCTTGAACATACAAGACAAAAAAGAACATATTAACATAAAATATATTCATAACATTGATTAATTTTCGAAACTTTGCTTAGTTCAAGAAGTATACGTAGGCTATTATCAAGCAAGGGCATCAAGTCTACCCGAAAGTTTTTCATTTTTTATTTTTGAATCTTCTTTCTTCAATCTACATAGAAAAGTAACACGAATGATTTAATTTCAAGGCAATATTAGTACCTTGGAGTGCTTCTAGTCGCTGCACCGGTCGTCCATCGACCTTCCTCATCTATGAATCTTCCGGTAAGTGGAACAGTGGAGATATTGCTCTGCGACGAATCCTGTTCAGCACTATAGTCGCGATATTTAAACCGCCAATACAAAGCGAGAAGAAATGCTAAACAACCAGATGAATATCCGACGATCCATGCCTTCAAAGGAGCATGAGGCTTCTCATTTCCCGACAAAGACAAAACAACAACAGCAGCAAAAATTTGGCTAGCTGTCAACACTAACTGGAAAGATATCCATAAGCCAGAGTCTAACAGTCTCCTCTGTCGGCCTCGATTGTTTCCTCTTCGTAATAGAGATGCATTCCTAGGGTTGGACACACTGGCTGAAAATTGTTGAGGCTGATAAACAGGACGGCTGGGTGTCCGATCTTCCAAGAATCCAGACAGCCGGTCATAGGATGAACTAGATGAGGAAGAATCACTACTACTTGTAATGTCTATCACATGTTCGTCATCTACGCCACTATTTGCTCTCTCCATTAACAAATGGACTCTGTTAAGCTGCGCTGAGCTTCCTATTAGCGGCAAAGATATACTGGTCCAACAAACGTGCACTCAAAACAGAAAACATGGTCCTGATTGCCGGAAAAGGAAAGGTAATATGATCGAAGATTCCTTAAAGTCCACTAAAAATGGCAGAAATGTGCCTAAATATTGATACCAATAAAACAAGGTGAAGATAACTAAAAAAAGAATCATAGTCAAGAAATCAATCATTCGAATAAACAAAATTAGATATAAAACAACACAAAAGTAATCTCATTAAACGAAATCGGATTCATTCTTACACAGCAGAATTCCTAGGCAATCAATAGGGAAAAATCAAACCCTAACATCAAGGCAACAAAAATCAATTGTTGAAGAACATGATCGTATCTCTTCAAACTTCAACGAAATCAGAGCAAACCCAACGCAATGCCGCAATATAGTAATCAATTTCTAAACAGCTCATCAGAACAAAGCTCAAAATCTTCAATTCCCCTAAATTAAAACGACGCCGTTTCACAAGCAGATAACTAATTTCTCAAACCCCCAAAATTCAATCCTTCGAACTATTTAGATCTAACATCTTCTTCGAAATAAAAACGCCCTAAACAGCACGAAAATTGAAACCAGAAGCTTACTAACCCTAGTGGAAGATGAAAGCTGTGCAAATAGCTAATCTTTTACAAGGAACTCGATCATTCCGCAGAAACGAGAAAGATTAAAAATATATATTAGAATGTTCACTGACCAGTGCACCGAAGCGAACAAAAATCAAGGCGCGATGAAAATGAGAAAGTATCAGAGGAGAATCGTTGCTCCGAAAATGTGATGGATTGATTCCTGGGCTGGATTAATCAATCATTCCGCCCGCTGCCGCTAATGGGTGTCCACTTGGGATGGGATGACGACGATGCTCGTTCTTGATATTTTATTACGGGTGTGTTTCTTACCTATATGATTCCTCTGTGTGATTTTATTATTATTAAAATTTAGGGTTTGTTTGTTTTGTGTTTTCATTTTAAAGAAAAAAAATATATATATTTCCTCCTTCCTATATAAAAAAACAAATAGCATTTCCTTTTTCACGTACATTTTTAATATTAATGTTATATTATATTGGAGTAAGAAAGACGAAAATAATCTTTGTGTAATATAAAGTAGCAGCATTTGTATAATATATGGTAAGTTGTAATGATATTTTTTATTATGTTAGGTAGATAATACAATTACTAAATTACAAAATAGTATTTTTGTTTTGGGACGGACGAAAATGGAAAACGGAGGGAGTATATACATTTACTATCTAGATCATACTTTGTCCGTCACTTATCTATCTATTTGTTTGTTTTTTGCACGGAATTAAAAGAATATTAGTATTATATTGGTTTGTGGTACTAATAAAGTAAAAAGACTAAAATAATATTATTAGTATTGTGTGATATAAAGATAATGACATTTGTGTAATATATTACAAGTTGTAAAAGTATTTTTAATGTTAGTAGAAAATACAGTTTCTAAAAAACGATATTTTGTTATAAGGCAAACCAAAATAGAAAGATAGATAATTGTTAATGATAAAAGAAATATAAAAATAATAAAAATATGTATTATATTAACTTTTTTTTCTTGTAAATATATGGAAAAAATTTTATAAAACAAACACACCTTGACATATTTAGTACTATAAATTTTATCACGCAAGATTATATTTTACATATTTATTGCAAATAATTCATTTAATATAATATTATAGTAAATACTTTAGTTGATATATTTATAAGAAAAAAATTAATTTTGATCTCAATGTTATTAAAATTAATTAATTTTAGTATCAATATAAAAAATTTATTAATTTTGATTATTCTCTCGTCTCTTCTTTTTTTTTTCCGTATCAAATGTCAATTATTTATGTAACAGATAAGATCTGAATCCGTCGAATTTGAACTTATCATACATTGTTCAACATGCATGGTATAGATCTAGAGTTGCCAAACAACATAGAATTTCTTTTTTTGGTTATCCCATAGAAACATTATTTAAAAAATTAATTATACACAATTACTAGAAAGATTGCTTGATCATTTGTTGGGATATATATTTTTTTATGATACTGATTTTTATAAAAAAAAAAAAAAACTTATATATATTACATACGTAACACACACGATGTGCTACGTAAGGTTTTTTGTTGTACTTTTTTTCCTTCACTATGATTTTTTCTCCCACAGAATTTTTTCATAGTAAGGTTTTAATGAGGCATATTCTTCGTATAAAAACATCCAATGGGGAGTATTGTACACGTAACACACACGATGTGCTACGTATCTGCTATGTATGCTTTCAATTACTTCGTTGTGGGGTACTCTCGTATATAAATACTGATGAAAAGAATGAAATCAAAACACATCTCATTTTTACTTTGTCTATATAATTGCTATTCCTCTTCTGCATTTCCTCACCCACTTTACATACATTATATAATATAATATATATATATATATACTAGCATACATATTACATATATATATATTATATTCACACACACACGGCTGCACACATACATCTATATATATACCCATTACATATATATATTATATAATACAAAATATAAAATAGTGGCTATCGGTAAAAGTAATTAATATTTCTATTGGTTAATCCTATAATAATATTAAAACACATTATCAACACGATTATATATTTTATTTTTTGCAATGTGATAATTTATATTTTATCTGTTTATTATGTCTAACCTTGCCAAATAGGAATTTCTCTCTCTCCTCGTTTTTGGCCAAAATTACATGGCATAGGCTCGCGATGTTAAAATGCATCTGACATCAATGGGCTTGGAAAATACCATTGCATGGGATAAAAACTCCCCGAGCCAAGATCTTGCAAAGGCCATGATCTTTTTGTGCCATCACATCGATGAGGCACTGAAAATGCAGTATGTCATGCTGGAATCCCCACTCGAATTGTAGGAGAGATTGAAAGAAAGATATGATCATTTGAGGCTGACATTGTTGCAAAGGGCACGAAGCGAATGGCAAAGCCTACGGCTTCATGAGTTTAAAACAGTCCAAGAATATAATTCTGCAATGTTTAAAATAACATCACAGCTGCGCCACTGTGTAGCGAAAATGTATCTGAACAAAATAACTTGTCTTTTGCTGGCCGAACAAAATAATGAATTGCTATTGAAAAATCACGAATCTCGGCCGACAGGTGCAAATCCATTTCTAGAGGCAAATGCAATACAACCGGCAAATCCGGTGCGTAGCCATGGGCAAGTCAGAAGTCAAAGAATTGATCGCGACCGAAATTAGAATCGCGGACGGGGTCGGGCAAACGCATACAGTCACAATAATTATCAAAACAGACCCCGATATGTGCTAAATCGGCGTTATAATGACAGAAGGCCGCACAGACCTCAATAGAGGTTCAACACCGGGAGAAACATAAATAATGACGAGGAATGCACCCGGTGTGGAATCAAAGGCCATTGGGCTCATGTTTGTCGCACAGACAGTCACTTGGCTGAACTTTATTACGTCTCAAAAGAAAGGCAGGGAAGAGTTGTTGCCGAAACAAACCACGCTGCCCACAATGACACATTTGACGATGTGATGAATGAAAATATCACACACCTGGATGTCGATGATCTGCTTGACATAGCTGATGATGTTAGATGATAAAATATTGTTATATCTCTTTTGTTATTTTGATGCTTTTTGCCCCACTTTTTGTATTACCTCTTATAATATAAATCTATTTTGATTATGTTACTAATACATGTCTTTTATTATTTTTACCTTCTTGCAAAGATATGGATGCCAAATATTTTGGAGCCGATGACAATATATGCCTTATCGACAGTGCTACGACTCACAACATTCTGAAAAACAAATGTTATTTCTCCCACCTTAATATGAGAAATACCACAATTGTTACTATCAGTGGTGTATCGAAAATGATTGAAGGCTCAGGAAAAGCTACTGTATTTATCCCAAAATGGAAAAAAATGGCAATTGAAAATGTCTTGTTCTCGAGCAAAGCTCGAAGGAATTTACTGAGCTTCAGTGATATTCAAAAAAATGGGTATCACGTTGAAACATTGAATGAGACAAAAAATGAGTATCTCTTGATAACTCAGATTGTGAATGGCAAAAGAATTGTGAAAAAAAATTCCATCATTTTCTTCCGGCTTATATTATTAAAAAATCAGTGTCATTGAAACATATCACCTAGTAGACCAACTGACTACTAGCAAATTTAAAACTTGGCACGATCGACTTGGGCATCCTGGCAATGCAATGCTGAGGCGAATTGTTGAAAATTCAAATGGCCACTCATTGAAAAAGAAAAATATTTTGAATCCGAAAGAATTTGCATGTGCTGCCTGTTCCCAAGGGAAGTTAATAATCAGGCCATCTCCAACAAAGGTTGGATTTGAATCCCCAGTTTTTCTAGAAAGAATTCAGGGTGATATTTGTGGACCAATAGATCCACCGTGTGGACCATTCAAGTACTTTATGGTACTAATTGACGCGTCAGCGCGATGGTAACACGTATGTTTGTTATCTACTCGCAATCTAGCTTTTGTTAGACTACTTGCACAAATAATTAAATTGCAAGCACAATTTCTAGATCACCCGATAAAGAAAATACGTCTAGATAATGCTGGAGAGTACTCATCACATACATTTGATGATTACTGCATGTCAACTGGGATTACTGTGGAACATCATGTTCCCCATGTACATACGCAAAATGGTCTGGCTGAATCATTATCAAAAGATTGCAATTAATTGCTAGACCATTATTGATGAGGTCTAAACTTCATGTATCATGTTGGGGACATGCTATATTGCATACAACAACCCTCGTGAAAATAAGACCGACAAGTTATCACTATTATTCCCCTACTCAATTGGTTTCTGAAAAAATACCAAATATATCTCACTGCGAATTTTTGGGTGTGCTGTTTATGTGCCAATTGTGCCACCTCAACGCATGGAAATGAGACCTCAAAGAAGGTTGGGTATATATGTCGGGTATGAATCACCCTCGATTGCAAAATATCTTGAACCAACAACGGGTGATTTATTTACTGCAAGGTTTGCAGACTGTCATTTTGATGAATCTCATTTCCCGACATTAGGGGGAGACAGTAATCAACTGAAAAAAGAAATTTCGTGGAAAACATAACTTGAATTTGATCATCGTACGAAACACAGTAAACTTGAAGTTCAAAAAATTGTGCATTTACAGGAAATTGCAAACCAATTGCTTGATGCTTTCAATGATGTTGCCCGAGTTACAAAATCATATATTGCAGCAGTAAATGCACCGGCTAAAATAAATATCCCAGAAGGGAATGTGCCGAGTGCTAATGAGCATACTGCCCGCGTAAAACGTGGCAGGCCGTTGGGTTCCAAGGATAAGAATCCACGAAGAAGAAAATTGTAAATACTGGTGAAGAGATCAATAATGATCAGATACCTGAAAAGGTCAGTACAACCCCTGAAGAGGTTGATACTAAAAATTCTGACGAAAGTGATGATGAATTTATTGAAACTTCTGTTAATTATACCACCAGTGGAAAATTTGGAACAGAAAGAAAACAAATATTGATAATGCATTTGCATATTCTGTAGCACTTGATATAATGAAAAAGATAACGAGGATTATGAACCAAAATCAGTTGATGAATGTCGGCAAAGAGATGATTGGGCAAAATGGAAAGACGCAATTAAATCTGAATTGGACTCATTGAAAAAACGGCAAGTATTCGGCCCTATTGTCCAAAACCTGTCGGCTACAGGTGGGTGTTTGTGAGAAAAAAAATAAAAATAATGATATCACAAGATATAAAGCAAGACTTGTAGCCCAGGGTTTTTCCTAGAGACCGGGTATTGATTTTGAATAAACATATTCTCCGGTCATAGATGGAATAACATTCAGGTATCTGGTGAGCCTGACAGTACACAATAATCTTGATATGCGATTAATGGATGTGGTTACTGCCTATCTTATAGCTCCTTAGACAGTGATGTCTACATGAAAATCCCATAAGGGTAATATATACCTGAATCATTCAAAGCAAAGCCAAAAGAGTCATTTATTCCATCAAATTACAAAAATCTTTGTACAGGCTCAAGCAATCAGGCCGAATGTGGTACAATCGTCTCAGCGAAAGCCTAACAAAAGAAGGTTACATAAATGACCCTATCTGTCCATGTGTTTTTATAAAGAAAATTGGGTCTGAATTTGTAATCATCGCTGTATATGTCGATGATCTCAATTTGATTGGAACTCCTGATGAAATCCAGAAAGCTATTGAATATCTGAAAAAAGAATTTGAGATCAAAGATTTTGGAACAAGTAAGTTTTGCCTTGGTTTGAAAATTGAGCATTTGGAGAGTGGAACCTTTATCCATCAATTAAATTATACCAAAAGGGTACTAAAACAATTCATGATGTAAGTCACATCTGCTAAGTACCTCAATGATCGTCAGGGCACTCGATCCAATAAAGGATCCATTTAGACCAAAAGAGGAAAATGAAGAAACGCTTGGCCCAAAAGTGCCATATATAAGTGCTATAGGTGCATTGATGTATCTTGCTAACAGCACCCGACCTGATATATCATTTGCTGTAAATTTATTGGCAAGATTCAGCTCATCGCCTACTCGATGACATTGGAATGCAATTAAACACATTTTTCGCTATCTCCAAGGAACAATTGATCTTGGGTTATCTTACTCGAAAGATTCTCGACATAAATTAATTGGATTTGCCGATGCAGGATATTTATCGGATCCTCATAAAGCCAAGTCACAAACTGGCTATATATTTACTTGTGGCGAAACTGTAATATCTTGGAGATCAATGAAACAAACTTTAACTGTCACTTCTTAAAATCATGCTGAAATATTGGCGATACATGAAGTTAGTTGAGAATGTGTTTGGTTGAGGTCAACGACTCAACATATTCTGAAAAATTGCAGGTTAATACATGACGATAAAATTCCCCCAACTATATTGTATGAAGATAATACGACTTGTATAGCCCAATTGAAAGGGGGTTTCATTAAAGGAGATAGAACGAAACATATTTCACCAAAATTCTTTTTTACTCATGATTTTTAGCAAAATGGTGAAATTGATGTGTAGCAAATCCAATCCGATAATAATTTAGTGGATATATTAACCAAGGCATTGTCGACGGCAATATTTGAAAAACTGGTGAAGAAAATTGGGATGCGTCAGTTAAGGGATCTCAAATAATGCTCAGATCAGGGGAGCGAATCAATATAAGAATATTGTACTCTTTTTCCTTCACTATGATTTTTTGTCCCACAGGATTTTTTCCTAGTAAGGTTTTAACGAGACATATTCTTCGTATAAAAGCATCCAATGGGGAGTATTGTACAGTAACACACACGATGTGCTACGTATATGCTATGTATGATTTCAATTACTTCGTTGTGGGGTGCTCTCGTGTATAAATACTGATGGAATGAATGAAATCAAAACACATCTCATTTTTACTTTGTCTATGTAATTGTTTTTTCTCCCCTGCATTTCCTCCCCCACTTTACATACATTATATAATATAATATATATATACGAGTATACATAGTATATATATATATTATATTCACACACACACGGCTACACACATACATCTATATATATACCTATTACATATATATATTATATAATACAAAATATAAAATGGTGGCTAGCAGTATAAGTAATTAATATTTCTATTGGCTAATCGTATAATAATATTACAACAATATGAATGATTGTGATTTTTTGTTTTTTTTAAAGAATATACATAGATATTTAATCGAATAATTCATAATAAAAAATGTGTATAAACTGATTTTTTTTTGGTATTATATGAATCAAGAGTCTTACTCTAAAATTCATATATTTAAATTTATTATATTACACTAAAATTTAATTTTACATTCAAAATATCACATCAATACATATTTATATCACATCAAACAATTATTTTAATCAAAATTTTATTATTTAAAATAAAAACCTAAAATTAAAATCCTACAAAGAACCACACCCTAATAACCAAACATTTATAACAATTTTTTTTTTCTTTTTTGTTTTCTAATCTATACAAGAACCAAAATAAATATTAAAATAATTTATTTAGGGTGTGTTTGTTTGGGGTATTGGATTTTTTTTTTACTATTCATCCAATTTTTTTCCCCAAAAAACATCAAATCAAACACCTATTTTTTATTTTTTATATTATACTAAAAATTAATTTTACATTCAAAAACATCACATCAATACCTATTTATATCACGTCATACAACTATTTAAATTCAAAATTTTTACTATTCAAATCTCAACTCAAAATTCAAACCCCCAAACATACACACCCTTAGAGTACATTGAAAGAGGTCATTAAAAAATTATATATATATATATTGAAGAGATTTTTTTTATTATTTTTTGGACCACATTACATCACAAAAGATGCTGCAACTTTTCACGAATAGAAATAAAAAAAGGAAAAATAGTAGTAGAAATTACTTGCAAATAAAATTGAAAAAGTTGCAATATAATACTCGATCTGTTTCGACTATCGTGTCTCGTAGATACGAGAAGTTAAAAGTGATATAATTAATAAATAATTAAAAAATATTAGTAAAAACAATTGTCGTATAATAAAAATAATTTTAGATTAAAATTAAAATAATTTATTAGTTTAATTAAAATTTAAATAATTATAAATTAAAAAATTTAATACGTGGTTAAAATGTATAATTTTTTTTAAAAAAAGAATATAACAAAATAAGAGGACATACAAAAATAAAAAAGATAAACACGATAAATGAGACAAAAATGAAATACATGTTTTTGCTAGCGACTAAGTACAAAATATTTTATAGTCAAAGGAATTAAATCTCCAATTAGCCCATAAATTAAAAATGACAGCACACAATGTGCTTTTAAAAGATAAATTAAGTATCTATTTGCTTTTTGCAGGTAGTTTTAAAAATATTAGTATTATATTAATATATAGTAGGAATAAAATAGAAATGACTAAAATAACCTTATTAGTATGTGTGATATAAAGGTAATGACATTTGTCGAGTTGTAAAGGTATTTGTAATGTTAGATAGAAAGTATAGTTACTAAAAATAGGAAATAGATACTTTATTATGTGACGGATTAAAGTGAAAAAAATGGATATTTTATTATGAAACGGAGGGAGTAATAAATTAATAATTTTATCTCGTATATGGTAAGTTCAATTTTCCACCGGTAAAATTTACACGAGAGTTATTATTATACTCAGAAAAGCAAGGGCAATAATTATTTGGTTTCGTTCCTTTTGGAATTTAATACCAATAAAATAAATTTCTCAAACTTTAATGTTGATTAAAAAAATATGTTAATCTACACTTTATTAATATCAATTTTATATTTTAAATATATATATTATACTTTTTTCAACATCACATTAATCATTCCAGCAAAAATAAATAAAAAATAAAAAATCACATTAATCACTGATTAAATAATAAAAAATTGAAGTAAAAATTAAACTAAAAGTGGACAGAGATATTTTATTATATATATATAATTTTATTCTAATTTTTGAAGTATGATTTTAAATTTTTTATAATACTTTCAATATAATTATTCACAAAAAAAATACTATATTCTTTATATAGATAATAGAGCCAACACTATTCATTTTAAAAATATCATATTCAAATTAACATTGAAATCCTTTTAAGATCAAAATAGAAAATCACATTTTAGTTTTCTAAAAATATCACAACAAAAAAAAACGTCATTTTATTTCGAAATATTTTACTTAATATTTAAATCTTTTTTATTCTGTTTATGTACATATATATATTTAAATTTCGACAATAGCAATATTTTCAAAAAATATGATTATATTAAATATCTAATTTTTTTATAAATTATTAAATAAAAATACTATTTAAATAAATATTTTATTTTAAATTAATTTTAAACATTAATCTGACAAATTATATTCTAGAATATGGTTATCTATTTATATATACATACATCCTCCCTCTCAACACAATAATTTTATTTTATCATTTTTCAATCGTCACTAATAGTCTTATTTTTATTTTTTTTTAACTACTTTTCTATATTTTTACAAAATTATATCCCATTTTTTACAATAATTACATAAAGTATATTTTGGTTTTTTAAAAAATACTTACATTCAGTATCTATGGATATAAATACTTCATCCGTCCCGATGCAAGGTTATTATTTACTTTTTGTACGTAAATTTTTGAATATTAGTATTACAATGAATTGTAGCGAAGAAAACGAAAATACCCCTATTAGTATTGTGTAATATAAAAGTAATGACATTTGTATAATATAGTATAAATTTGATATTTATTATGTTAGATAATTAGTACATTGCTAAATTAGGAAAGAAAAATAACAACCATTCAAAAGGGAGGGACGGAGCATTATTATTTATTAATTTTCATATTTATCCCAACAGTCTTTATTTTTTTTTCTAAAAAATAATAATACTATTTTTTTTTATTATTTAAAAGATTTTTTATAAGCAAAAAACGGAAAATAAAAATCCAAAAACACAGGCATTTATTACAAAAAATTCTGTTACATTAAATGCTGCCAACGGAGACATCGATGGCCGATTTTCCAGATTTTTGCATTTCTGAGAGATCCGACCTTTCGCTGATTCAGTGCCTCTCTCTCTCTAAAAAGTCTCAGTAGTGTTTCTCTACTCACAGTCTCTTCCTATTTGATTCTCTCTCTCTGCAGTTCAGTCCAGTCCAGTCCAGTCCGTCCGTACGCTCCATTGTTCTTCTTTGGAGCAAGCTCACCGCTCTCAATAAACACATACACAGTCCCTCACACTCACATGTACCACATGATTTTTGCCATTGTTTGTCTGCCTGATTGATATATTGATTTTTCGAATAATGGAGTTTACTGTGTGGTGGGGTTTTCTTTTCCATTTCTGCTTTTTGGCCGAGTAAGGCGGCGTGCTTTGGTGAATCAAAGCCTTTCCTTTCTCCATCTTTACTCATCTTTTCATTTCATTTCTTGCTTGCTGAGAATGAGGAAATCGTTTTGCTTTTGAGCAATGTTGTGCTGCTTCGATTCAGATCCCCAATTTTTTTTAGTTTGATTTTGCATCTCTGGATTGTATTGGATTGGATTGGCTTTTTCATCGCTGCTTTCGATCTTCACTCTGATTGCCTTTAATTCGAAAACCCTAGCTTATACTTTCTCCAATTCCTCTTCGTAATGTGGAAGCAGTTTCTCAGTAAGTTCCCGAAGAAATCTCAGAAATCGGATCAGGATAGGAACCCTAATTTCCGTCCTGTTCTATCCTCGCTCGGTTCGGGCCGGGCCAACGCCATTAGCCCTGCTAAAAGGCGTACTTCGGCTGCAGTGTTCCCAACCTCTGTAATTGCAGGAGTGGAGCCGTTGCTTGCATTCAAGGATGTTTCCAGTTCGGAGAGGATGAATCTCTTCATCAACAAGCTGAATCTCTGCTGCGTGGTGTTTGATTTCACGGATCCTGCGAAGAATGGTCATGAAAAGGAGCTTAAACGAGCCACATTGCTTGAGCTACTTGATTTTGTATCACAGAATCCTTCCCCTAAACTCACTGAGCCTGCCATATCGGCATCGTGCAAAATGTGCTCGATTAACCTGTTCCGAGACTTTCCTCCGAATGCCAATGGAAGTTCCGGCGAAAATGACAGTGATGATGAGCCGACTTTCGACCCGGCATGGTCTCATCTGCAGATAGTGTATGATTTCCTGCTCAAGTTAGTGAGTTCATCTTCATTAGAAGCAAAGGTTGCTAAGAAGTACGTGAACAATTCGTTTATCCTGCGAATAATCGACTTGTTTGATTCGGAGGATCCTAGGGAAAGGGACTGCATAAAGGCGATTCTTCATCGGATATACGGCAAGTTTATGGTGCACCGGCCCTTTATAAGGAATGCTATAAGCAATGTGTTCTATAGATTTGTTTTCGAGACCGAGAAGCACAGTGGAATATTGGAGTTGCTGGAGATGTTTGGGAGTGTGATCACGGGATTTTCGGTGCCTTTGAAAGAGGAGCACAAGATCTTTTTTTCGAGGGTTCTGATTCCTCTACACAAGCCAAAGTCGTTGGGGATTTACTTTCAGCAGCTGTTGTATTGTGTGAGCCAATTTATCGAGAAGGAGCCTAAGCTGGCGAGTGTCGCCATTAAGGGGCTGTTGAAATATTGGCCTTTGACAAATAGCCAGAAGGAGGTGATGTTTTTGGGGGAGCTGGAGGAGATACTGGAAGTAATCAACATGGCTGAGTTCCAAAAAGTGATGGTTCCGTTATTTTGGCGAATCCGAAAGTGTATTAATAGCTACCATTTTCAGGTAACATGTTTTTTCACATTTATTTTGAAAGTGTTATTTAATTCATAGTAGTGACAGATGGATCTGTTTCATGTGCCTAACGGTTGATTGACGAAGTATAATCCGTATTTATGGACTATAATTTAATGAACTGAATCATAATATAGGATGTTTGTACTTTCGATGAGGTTAATTTGCATACTTTCCATTGTAAGAATGCTTAATCAAACACGCTCTATAGTTACCTCATAAGTTCTCTATGTTTCACATGATTACTAGTTTGGATCTGACTATCTAAGTTGTTGACGTGGTTCGTTATTCTCTAATTACTTAAGGAGTTCATTTATGACATATCAACCCATTCGAATTCACTTAAGGAGCTCATTTATTACATATCAATCCATTTGTGACCTTGAAATGAAGATTATGATTCTGTAGATCTGTATATATTATGATGCTAACTCCAATAGAAATTTCTCAATGGATAACAATTTGTATGAAAAGATGATCTTGTGGTGATGCAATAAGAGATGAACTTAGAAAGTTACATTTCCTATTTTTTGGTCATAAGATCCAACTTCATTTGCAGAAGTATGTTTTATTTTATCTTTTCGTCTCCTCATAAAGTGAAATCTTTGTTAGGTCGAATGGGATTGAATGTCCAAATCATAGATGTTTTGTTTGGTTGAAGTCCTGTTTGTGGATTTGGACAAATAGATGTGATCTTTTATATAGTTAAGTTTTGTCTTTGGTAAATTGTAATGAGTTTTTGTTGCGTGTATTATTGTTATTATTTGAATTTTATGATAATTGGATGATTAATGATCCAAAAAAAACATATAGATGCTCTGTTAATTTATATATTGTATATTAAAGTCTATATCTGGCTGCGCCGGTTTGAATGTGTTTGCACCGATGGTAGTATTTCCAATTAGGCTAAGGACATTTGAGCTCTGAATTTTGCTTAGAAACAAGAAAATTATACACTTTGATATGTTGTATGTTTCTGAGTTTCAAAACTGATCTAAAGGTTGATTCGAGAGTGACAAAGCAGCCGCAGGATCGAACAATTTAATGATGTATAGTAGATTTTTCACTCATTGTCATAGGATGTAATGGTCCTTCCCTTCCAATCTGTTTTAGTTCTTAGCAATTGCCATCCTGTGTTGAAAATCGAACATTTGATGTGATCTTATCCCGATTATCCTTAAATTGTGTACGTGTTCTATTTAAAAGGCTTGCTTTTTTACCACATTTATTGCAGGTGGCTGAGAGGGCTCTGTTCATGTGGAATAATGACCGAATTATCAATCTAGTCGTGCACAACCGAACAATTATACTGCCAATAATATTCCCGGCTCTCGAAGCCAATGCCCAAAGCCACTGGAACCATGCCGTCCTCAGCTTAACTTTAGGCATGCGAAAGATGCTCGTGGAAATGGACGACGCCCTCGCCCTGACCTGCATCTCAAATTATCAAAAGGAGCAGGAACTGAAAGACACGGTCGATGAAAAACGAAGACAAGCTTGGAAACACTTGGAAGCCGCTGCTAGTCTCCAACCGATCGCCGAAAACACTCCTGTTCTAGTAAGCCATTGAGGGGTGTCGCCGATCATGTACAATGCTCGTTTTCAAACCCTTATCGTTCATCGTGTTTATCTACCTTGCTTGAACCTGAATCCGCAGCAAAAATATATCGACTAGGATGATGAAAATGTTTATTATCATTCAGTTGTATAATATTTTGTCTTTAATGTTCGTGTAACATCCCCGTAATCGGGTTTTTTTTTTTTTTTAAGCGCTTGCCACATCTTGTTTCGCAGCATTGTAGGTTATCGGAACCAAGAAAAGATCGTTCTTTCTCGGAGCTGCGAGTCCTCGAGCTTCATCCATGTCGATGGCGTCGGGAATCATTCCATCGGGTACTTCCCAGTCGAAATGGTAGAGTAGTTGCGCCAAAAGAAGCTCGACGTTCGCTAGTCCGAAGTTCATGCCCGGGCAAATCCTTCTTCCCGATCCGAATGGTATGTACTCGAAATTGTTCCCTAAGAAATCGATGGAACTGTCGATAAATCTTTCGGGTCGAAAAGCTTCAGGTTCGACCCAATACTCGGGATTCCTTCCGAGCGCCCATAGATTAACTATGATGTTCGATTTGAGCGGGATCGAGTATCCGTTCACCGTGCATTCTTCTCTGCAAGCTCTCGGCAACAACGGGAGCGGCGGGTGCAGTCGAAGAGTTTCTTTGACGACCGATTTCAAATATTTTAGCTCGTGGATGTCGTTATCTCCGATAGCTTTTTTTCCCTTGAATGCCCGTCGTACTTCTGCTTGCGCTTTGATCATTGCACGCCGATTCCTCATCAGTTCGGCCATGGCCCAAACGACCGTCGTCGACGATGTTTCGGTTCCACCGGTGAACATCACCTGTAGCATCAAGCAACGGTAACACGGTCATGTTCAATACGATCGATTAGATTATGTTATAAAATGTGCTTACGAAAATGATCGCTTTGATGTTGTCGTCGGTGATGGGAAGTTCGAGTTTGCCGTTCCGCTGAACCCGGAGAAGAACATCGACAATGTCTTCGTTACCGACTTCGCCTTGCGGCTTCGACTTATGTTCGTTGATGATGCCCTCGAGAATGGCGTCGAGCTTCCGGCGCAGCCGCAGCAGCTTGTACTTGTTCCAGCACAGGATTTTCAGCAACTTCGACGACGGGAAAAGATCGGCGAGCTGGAATCCGAGGGCGTTGCTGTGCGCGATCTTCGTCAACCGAATGAGCTCGTCGTAATCCCGTTGAACTTCACCAAATGCGGCTCTGCAGAAAACGGAAGCTGAAAGCGCAGCGAGCTTCTCCGTCAGGTTGGCGGAGTCTCCCGACGAGGCGCGGAACGATTCAACGAGGCGCGAAACCTCGTCGCGCCTAATGAACCCGAAAGACCGGACACTCCGGTTGCTCAAGAGCTCCAAAATGCATACCCGACGCATCTGTCTCCAATACTCGCCGTAAGGACTAAGGGCAATATCGGTATAATTGTACCACATGATCTCGGCCCCGATGCTCTTCGGTCGGTCCGCGCACGCGAGGTCGTTTGCTTGGAGCACGTCTCGAGCGCCCTCCCGCGACGAAATAACCACCGTCGAAACCTCGCCAAGCTGCAGATGCAAGATCGCACCGTACCGCTCCGCCAATTTCGCGAACATGCGATGCGGCAGCCCACCAAAGACATACTGGTAAACGTGGGTGACGATCGCGAGCGTCGGCGGGGTCGGAGGCAAGTTCGTGTAGCTCCTTCGCGATCGAGATTTTCTCCACGCCTCGATTATGAAGCAGAGGAAAAGAAAAAGAAGAGCTAGAGAAGCGCAGTTAACGAAAGGGAGCTCGATTGTCTCCATTCGACCCGATGAGCTTATTCGAATGAAAACTAAGTGTACTTATAGGCACCCGGCAGCGAGGAAAAGATGACCGTTAGGGGCCGCGCGACGGCGTTTTTCGCGGGGTTTCGGAGGATGTCGGAATCCACGTGGATTGTGAAACACACGTAGGTTGAAAATCGACGGGTGAAATGTATATCTAGAAGGTATTTAGGTTAGGGAATATGTGTAGAGTTGGGAGATGTTCAAAAGTATGTTGTGAATAATGTTAGAAGTCTCGAGTACTATATAGAGTGTCGTAAGGACGTATAACATAGGTTAAGTTGTCGTTGAGCAGCAACGAGAAGTCAAATAAAAGGGGATTTATTTTATTTTATTTTATTTTTTGAAAATTTCGGAAAAATCGGTATAATAATATATATATATATATTGATACTATGTCGAAATTTTAATACAGTATCGATATATCATTTCATACCCACGTACTAAAATTTAAAATAATAATTTTTGTATCAATATATTGAATTATTTATATATACCGAATATTAAAATACCGAAATTATTTTAATATATACTGAAAATATCAAATTATATATTATCTTACAAAAAAAATTCAATATGAAATTAACTCATATAAAAAAGTTTAATATACTGAACCTTTTGTAGGTTTTATAATTAAAAAAAATATAATTTAAAAATTATATGAATAATTGAGAGGTGGGTGGGCACTGTAATGTCATTTAATGTGTGAGTGGAAATTCTTCCGAAATTGTGAATCACGACATGGTCCCGTCAACATTCTTAATATTAATGCATTTCACGCAAATAGGCTAACCGGGGTTAGGGGTAGTAACTAGGGTGGGTTAACAAGTGTTTTTGTTTCCCTCGATCGAACTTAAAACCCTACAAATTAAACCTGATCGAATCTAAATTATTTACAAATTAAACTCGAATCACACTAGACGAATCATGTGTTGCAGATGAATTTAGAGGCATCAAAATTTGAATTCATGACCTTATACTCACAAGATCACCTGCAGAATACCGGACCATCATGGTGTCCCCAATTTTATTTATTTATTTACAGTGTTAGCACTCATTTTTTTAGTCTAAAAAAAGTTTATATATATAATTATGTTAAAACTTCTCCTTAATTATAAGTTTTTCAATCATATACCTTTTTTACATTTTTTTTCTTCTACACCTATTGTTGTTGGACCAAGAAAAATCGAAAAATTCGATGTCGGATCAATGAAAATGAATTGGCATTTAGCCTTTTAGAATTTGGAGGCTGGTTTCGCTACTAGTCTAATGTAATTTACTTTATTTGTGTAATTTATAAGTTATTGCGATTAGTAAAAATTTATTCAATACACTCAAAATAACTATTCAAATTTAAAATTTTTACTATTCAAAATTTAAACTCCAAGCAAACACATTTTCAAATGTTTATAGAGTTTTTTTTTTTTTTTTTTTTTTTTGGGACACAAGAAGAATGATGCCAAAAAAAAAAAAAACCTACTAAAAGTTGCAACAATTAATATTTACATCGTTGCAGAAGATTGCGACAATTACTATTTCATTGTTAAGCAAAGGCAAATATGTGACAATTAACAATTACATTGTTGCAAAAAAATGCGACAATGAATATTTTCATTATTGCAACTTTCAGTAATAATTCATCACAATCTTCTGCGACAGTCATAATAAGCACAAAAAAAATCCAGTATGGAATTACTTCTGCGACAATTCCGTAACAATTTATTAAAAGTGTGTTTGTTTGGGGATTTGGATTTTGAGTTGGGATTTAAATAGTAAAAATTTTGAATTTAAATAGTTGTATGATGTGATATAAATAGATGTTGATGTGATGTTTTGAATGTAAAATTGATTTTTAATATAATATAAAAAATAAAAAATAGGTGTTTGATTTGATGTTTTTGGAAAAAAAAATGAGATGAATACTGGAAATTAAATCCAATCCCCCAAACAAAAATATTGTCGCATAAGTAAATACATTCCCGCAACAATTTCAACATCGACAAGATGACATACATTTTTTCTAATAGTGTCATTTTGATCGAACATTTGACGTACAATATATATCTTTTCAATCATATGAAAAGTAAAATAATCTTATTTACTCGTATCTTCTTCTATTTCTTACTCATCGAAATTATCATTATTCAGTACATAAGAAATCAAATACTTAACTTCTCGAAACCTCATAGACTATGGGAACCAAGAAGAGGCCATTCTTCCTCGAGGCTACAAGTCCCGAAGTCTCGACCATGTCGATATCATCTCCGTCGGGAATCTTCCAGTCGAAATGATAGAGTAATAGCGCGAGTGGAAGCTCGACATTCGCTAATCCGAAATGAATTCCCGGGCAAATCCTTCTTCCCGATCCAAACGGTATGTACTCGAAGCAATTCCCCATGAAATTCACCGAACTCTCGGCAAATCTCTCCGGCAAAAAGGCTTCCGGCCGGTCCCAATAGTCGGGATTTCTTCCGAGGGACCATATATTGATTATAACACTAGTTTTCAGAGGAATTTTGTATCCATTTGCTCTGCATTCATCTCTACATGTTCTTGGAACTAATGGAATTGGTGGATGCAATCTTAGAGTTTCTTTGACCACTAGCTTTAAGTATTTTAGCTCGCCGATGTCATCGTCTTCTACCGTTTTCTTCCCTCGGCAGACTTTTCGTACTTCCGCCTGCGCTTTCGCCATTGCGCCGGGGTTCTTCATCAGCTCTGCCATCGCCCAATCGATCGTCGACGACGAAGTTTCGGTCCCGCCGGTAAACATGTCCTTTGGATTAAGCATTACGATAGGGTTACGGTTACGGTGCTGATTAATTATAATCAAAGAGATATTATTAGCGTACAAAAATAATACTCCCTCCATCTCATAACAAAGTATTCATTTTTTTTATTTAACATTACAAATACCCTTAAAACTTACAATATATTATACAAATGTCATTACTTTTATATCACAAGTACTAATAATATTATTTTAGTTATTTTTACTTTATTCCTATTATATCTTAATATCATACTAATATTTCTAAAACTACGTGGAAAAACACATGAATATTTATTTACGGGACGGAGAAAGTATAATTTTACGCTGAAATCAATTATATCCCTTACTACTATTAGCACGTGTTGATTAAACCTAATACATACCTTATTAATTAACCCTAATTAGCATGTGCGAAAGGAAATGATTTGATACTTACAAAAATGATGGCTTTAATGTTGTCATCTGTAATGGGAACTTTGAGTTCCCCACTTGTCTGAACTCTAAGCAAAGCATCGACTATATCTTCACCCCCAAACTCCCCTACCTGCTTCAGCTTATGCTTTTTTACGATGTCGTCGAGAACGGCGTCGAGCTTCCGTCGCATCCTCCGCAGCCTATACTTATTCCAGCAAAGGAAATTCATCATCTTCGACGACGGGAAAACGTCGGCCAAACTCAATCCAACCGCGTCGCTATGCGCCGCATTCATCAGCGCTATAAGCTCGTCAGAATCCATCCCCGTTTTACCGTATGCCACCCTACAAACGATCGAACCCAGCAGCTCCCGCAGCTTCTCCGAAAGATCGATCGACGCGCCGCGCGGCGAGGATCGAATGCGTTCGATGAGGCACGCGGCCTCGTCTCGCCGAATGTACCCGAACGATTTCACATTCTTGGCGCCTAATAGCTCGGCCGTGCAAATTTTTCGCATCTGTCTCCAGTAGTCGCCGTAAGGACTAAAGGCGATATCCGAGCAATCGTGGCGCATGATCTCGGCGTTGATGTTTGACGGTCGATCGGCGCAAGCTGGGTCGTGAACTTGGAGAACGTCTTTAGCGGCGTCCCGCGACGAGATGACTACCGTCGGAATTTCTCCGAGCTGGAGGTGGAAGACGGCACCGTATTTGTCGGCTAATTTTGCCATTACACGGTGAGGCGGCCCGCGGGCCAAGTGGTGGAGGTGGCCGAGTATCGGCAACGTCGGCGGGCTCGGAGGCGAGTTTTCGGGCGGGCTCGGAGGATTGTGGGCTTTCCTCCGTGGCTTGGTTAAGAGGAAGAGGAAGAAGAAGAAGAGAAAAATGAGAGTGGAGAGGTTAAAATGTTGCAAAATCTCCATTGTTGGATGGAATGGATCTTTTGACAAGCAATCGAACGTATGTTTTATAGTGGTTTTATAGTCTTTTGTCACATTTATTTTTTTATGTATTAGATTTTTTAATATTAATGATTATATGAAAACATAGAATTTAGAAAAAAATGTTAAAAATATTTCTATTAATGTAATATAATACTATTATAATGATATTTCTGCAAAAAATTATACAAATATAAAGATATTTTTAGTATTAAGTATAATGACGCAAAAGGTAAATGAGATCCTTAGAGCCGAACGGAGAAAGTATTTTTTTTTTTTTCAGGGTAAATTATTTTTTAGTCTTGTAACCTTTTTATTAATTTAGAATTTTAAATAGATTATGTTTGAAAATAGTTCCACAAGTAAATTTCTTTTTTGGCTAAAATAGTCATCCAATGTGGCATCGACGTAGCAATGACATGTCAGTCGCGTTTAGCAAAAAAATTCTACATACGAGACTATTTCCAGACATAATCTATTTAAAATCCTAAAATAATAAAATAATAAATAGATAACCTATTTTTCATAAAAGATCTTTTAATATTAATTATTATATCAAAATATAGTACAAATTAAAAAAAAATTGCAAAAATACTTTCATTGTCTTATAATGCTAATAGAAGGACATTTATACAAAAAAAAAAGAAAAAATTTATACAAATATAAAAATATTTTTAATGTTAAATATAATAACATAGAAAATAAATATGACTCTTAAAAATATGCATATAAAATATATATTATTAATTTAAAAAATTAATAAGTTAATACATTTTTATATTTTTTATATTACCGGTATATTTTTTCATACTTAAAAAGCTATTGCACCAAAACACACACAAATGAACACACTTATAATCTTTTTATTTTATACCTCTTCTAATAACTAAATATATTTATATATATTTAAAACTTATTTATAATAATTATATATATTTATTTGTATTATATATTATTATTTTTAAAAAGAGATATTCATATAGAATATATTTATTGAAGTATAATTATTAGAATACTTCGAAATTTAGATTTTATTTTAAATTAAATATATAATAGATTATAATTTAACCATCAATCAAACAATATTTTATTCAAAAAAATTTCCAACCACAATATTTTATACAAATTGCGCGTTTCTAACATGGGAACATTGCTCATTGATATTTAATTATGCAGTAGTACTTTTTGGCTCAATGGCCTATATTTTTGGTGCGACATAATATACTCCATTCTCTATATTTTTTTTTTTTTCGTGATTATATATAATTTTTTTTCTAAGGGTGTCTTTGTTTGAGGGTTTGGATTTTGAGTTGGGATTTGAACAGTAAAAAATTTGAATTTGAATAGTTGTATGATGTGATATAAATAGATGTTAATGTGATGTTTTGAATGTAAAATTGATTTTTAGTATAATATAAAAAATAAAAAATAGGTGTTTGATTTGATATTTTTGAGAGAAAAAAATTGGATGAATAGTGTAAATCTAATCCAATCCCCCAAACAAACACACCCTAGTATTTTGAAAAAATATATATTTGTTACCAAAAAAAATAAAAATAAAAATTAATCAAAGATATCATGTGCTTAGTATGTCAAATTTTTAGAATGATATGTAAGAGCAAATACAACAGCTTGATTATCTATGACAGACTCCCTTGTCATTTTAGTTCCGTAAGTGGAGTCTGTCGCAAACTAGTCCTATAAGTAAAATTTTTTTATTGTTTTAGTCCTCCGGTGCCGGAGACGCCCGCATGGATTTTATTTTATTTTTATTTTTTTATAATTTATTTTTAATTTTATTTTCCTTTTTAAATTTTTTTTTATTTGGTCCAATTTAAAAAAAATGAAAAAAATAAAATAAAATCCACGTGTCCGCCAGGTGTCGCTGACCTGGTGGATACAGTGGCCTCCGGCGAGCCACGCGGGCGTCTCCGGCGCCGGAGGATTAAAACAATAAAAATTTTCTACTTATGAGACTAATTTGTGATAGACTCCATTTACGGGATTTAAATGATAGAGATGTCCATTACGAAATTAAAAAAACAGTTTACCCTAAAATAAATAACGCATAAAAGATGAAAGCATGCTAGATAAATCCAGAATAGATGATAAATTCCATATTAAAAGAGTGTAGGATGCGGATTTAATTGACGGAAAACGTAAAGTTGAATCTCGATTTTAGAGCAGTAGTTAGAATGCTGATTGATCAAATTAGCACCGGATATTATATGATCAAGTAAGCACATTAACTTGAAATAATTAATATTTTTTCACAAGAAAGGTAAAATATTCTATATTATATATACAAATGTGTTTTTATATATTATATTGTGATGAAATCAATATATGTTGTGTTACATGAAACTATAAATATTTTGATTTTGTTAACAAAATGTTATGATTTTTTTTTATATCAAAATTAAAAGATTATCTAATTTGAAATTTTCGATAAATTTCAAAATTAGATATAACTAGAAAATAAATTAAATTCTCTACATTACTATAATTTATGAACCGGCGTGGCATCGCTTCACACCGTCAATAGATTAGAACAATGTAGTAGTTAGTAAAATACTCCCTTCTCCTCGGATATTTTGTCCGGTTAATTTTAAACACGAGAATTTAGGAAGGGTATAATTAGTTAATAATTAAAAATATATTAATGAAAATAATTATTGTATAATATAAATAATTATAAAGTAAGATTAAGATAACTTATCAGTATAATTAAAATTAAAAAAATTATAAATTAAATTTTTTAAAATAAAATTAAAATTTATAATTCTTTTCTAAAAAAAAAGTGACAAAATAAGTGGAACGGACGGAGTACTATTTAAATTTTATAAATAGGTTTGATGTAATCCTATCAAATTTAGATTAGCATCTTACATTATCATTCTACTGAAAATTTTGGTAACAATATTATAAAGGGTAAACTGTTTTTTTAGTCCCGTAACTGGACCCCTTATCATTTTAGTCCCGTAAGTGAAGCCTGTAGCAAACTAGTCTCATAAGTGAAAATTTTTCGCTGTTTTAGTCCTCCGGCGCCGGAGACGCCCGCGTGGCTCGCAGGAGGTGACGTGTCCGCCAGGTGTCGCGACCTGGCGGACACGTGGATTTATTATTATTTTTTTTCAATTTTTTTTAATTTTTTTAAAATTAAATCAAATTAAAAAATTTAAAATATATAAATAAAATTTAAAATAAATTAAAAATAATTTTTTAAAAAAATTTAAAAAATAAAAAATAAATTAAAAAATTCACGTGTCCGCCAGGTCAGCGACATGTGTCGCTGACCTGGCGGACACGTCACCTCCGACGAGCCACGTGGGCGTCTCCGGCGCCGAAGGACTAAAACAGCAAAAAATTTTCACTTATGGGACTAGTTTGCGATAGACTCCACTTACGGGACTAAAATGATAAAAGGGTTCAGTTACGGAACTAAAAAACAGTTTACCCTATTATAAATATATATGTCAGATTAGTTAAAAAGAATTACTTATTTATGAGTTTTTTTGCACGTGCTTATTAATTTATACAAAATTTAAGTTATGCCAAAGTTGTGATTTGACTAGGCATAAGGCACTTGGCCTTGAATCCAATAATTTTTTGGAGAAATAAATAGTGTTTAAAACATTTTTTAAAAGCATAAGTAAACATATATAACTAGTTTTTTTTTTTTTCTAAATTAGATGAAGTATTTATCGTCTCTAATTGGTTGAAAATAGCCGATTGCATTATTTATATTAATATAATATAAATACAATATATAAACTAACAATACATGACATATTTTTGTACAATAACAAACAACATATATCTTCAGAGCATACTCACATTTTCCCTTGACTAATAGTGGGTCCCGTTGTTCCTATATCACTGTATTTTCCGATTCTATATTTCACGTTCTACTGATTTGTCTTGGTCAGCACCTTAATTCATCTATTTTACACGGGATCATACGACTAGTTTGAAGAATTATAAATCATGGGAACTAACAACAAACCTCTTTTCTTCGATGCTACAATCCGTTCTCTCTCAGCATGTCTATGTCTTCTCCGCTCACTCCTCGAGCCATTTTCCAATCAAAGTGATAGAGCAATTGAGCCAACACAATCTCAACATTCGCCATCGCAAAACCAATCCAGAGCAAATCTTTTTTTCTTTTCCGGCCTCAAATGGAAGAAACTCAAAGCAATTCCCCAAGAAATCCATAGCGCTATTCTCAAACCTTTCGGGTAGAAACACTTCCGGTTGTTCCCAATACTCGGGATCCCTTCCCATCGACCAAACGTTGATCAAAACTTTGGATTTTGAAGGAATCGAATATACGACAACCTTTCATTTTTCTCTACAGCATACATTACGGTAAACAGTCGTAAGTACGGCGTCACAAAAAATATATTTTGCACGAAAAATAGGTTGTAGTTACGATTTTTCGGCCATAGTAGAAAACTGTTTTTTTGGTAGTATCTACATGCACAAAGTAGCAATGGGACCGGAGGGTGCAATCTCATGGTTTCCTTGATAACAAATTTTAAGTATTTTATCCCCGAAGATCACTCTCTTTGATCGTTTTTTTTTCCCCCTTGAAGTAGCTTCGCCATCAGCCAGGGTTTCTCATAAGTTCTGCCATCGCCCAATCTATAATTGTCGACGCCGTATTGCTTCCGGCAGCAAACATATTTTACATGTATATCCATTAACTATATTGATTTAAGTACATACTACAAATAAATAAATAAATAAATAAAACATTCATAAACTAAAAATTTTAGAGTGTGTTTGATTTACTTACCTTATGATCTACATATAATTTTTTATTTTTTATTGGAAAAACAGCAAAAAAAACCCTCCGTGGTTTACCAAATTTGCTGAAAATCCCCTGTAGTACTAAAACTCCAAAAAAAACTTACTTGTGGTTTGTAAAATATACTTGTAAGATATGTTTGTTGTTTTGCCTTTTTTATTTTTGTATCTTTTCAATGAATAAATATACTTTATATTTCAATTTTTTTGCTATATTATCTTTAGTTTCAAATGTCCTAAAATTTTGTAATAAGTTTATATAAATGGAGTGCAATTTGTTATTGTTATTATTTTATATTGCTATCATTTAAAGAACGTTTTTTAAAATACATTTAAAATAAAACAGTGTATAAGGATAAAATAGTTTTTTTTATTTAAATAATAATAATAATAATAATAATAAAAACCTTATAAAGTTATATAATATTTTAGATCAAAAGAAGTCCGTGGTTTCATTTTCTTGTCTCCGAGTAGATACAAAAATTTAAATAAATTATAATTAAAAAATAATAAATTACAATTAAGAAATATATTAGTAAAAATAATTATTATATAAAATAAATAATTATATTAAAATTTAGATAATCAATTAATTAAATTATAATTAAAAAAATTATTGATTATGAAATTTAAAATTTAATTAAACTATATAAATTTTTTTTTATAAAAAAAAAATAATAATAATAGTAATAACAATTTAAGTGTACCTACATCAACTTTATGTTCTACACATTATTCAATTAATAAAAATATACAGTCTTTTAAAGGATGCCGGTGCGGGCGAACATCTGATTGAAATTATTGATTCAAATTTATTAGTTTAAATTTTCGATACTTTCATATTTTGTCCGTTACATATGATTCGTTTGGTATAACTTGCCTTATCAGCTATCATTCAATTACAAATTATCACTTAATTAATATATATGATTCAAAATTAATTTCTAACAATTTCTTTTCAAATAAATATGATAAAGATAAGATCATCATATATAATATATATATAAAAGAGATAAGAGAGATGACAGAGATGCTCTTCTCAAGAAATCAATTTCATCTGCACCATATCTACATATAATATATATCATGTCTTTCTTAAGCTATTTTTAATCAATTTTTCTGAGTTTGTTCTTTCTATTCTTTTAATATATTTTTTAAAAAAAAATTAATACACAATATATATTCATTATTTTTATATTTTCTATATAATTTTTAAAAAATATACATAGAAAAGAACAAGATCTTAGAAAGATATTAGTTTTTTCTGCCAATTTTAAAAAAGATTTGGAATTTGATGTTGTAAATATTAGAATGAAACATTAAAAAACAAAAAGAAAAAAAAAGACAAATTAAATAAATAAAATGTATGAAATGAAAAAAAATATAAAATAAAATATAAAATATAAAAAGCAAAAAAAGACAATAGGAATGAATTATTTGTGTTGTGGCGGTGTCCCCTCATCCAAATCCTCCTCTACCTATTTTAAAATTTACAGTGTGTTTGTTTGGAAGTTTGAAGTTTGAGTTGGGATTTGAATAGTAAAAATTTTGAATTTGAATAGTTGTATGACGTGATATAAATAGATGTTGATTTATTGTTTTGAATGTAAAATTGATTTTTAGTATAATATAAAAAATAAAAAATGCGCGTTTGATTTGATGTTTTCGAAGGAAAAAAATTGGATGAATAGTATAAATCCAATCTAATTCCCCAAACAAAACATAAATTTGATTTAATTATTCTTGTGTTTGTTCACCAAATTAAAAATTTTCCATATACATATACATGTCCACTACAGAATTTAATAATTAAATATAAAATATTATTTTTTATATTATCCATATTTTTTTTTATATCTAACATAAATATAAAAAAAAAAAATCTTAAAATACAAACCAAACACACTTGTTTAAAAATAAATAAATAAATAAAAATGAAAACTCCAAATTTTAAAGTGATGCCTTCAAATTTATTTCCATAGTAAATCCATTCATTCGACTTCCTTTAATTCTTCTTTTTCTTATGTGGTTCATTTCAAATACTAGGCACAAAAGATTGATTTATTTCTACAAAAACACAAATATAAAAAAGATTTTTTTTTTTTTTTTTTTTTTAAAAAAAAGACATTAATAGATGCATAAATTGAAATTTAAGAGGACAATCTAATATATTAAAATATTTTGTTTTTTTATACCAAAAAGAACTAAAGATTAGGGGTGGAAAAGTTGGCCCCAAGCCCCTACGTACATCCGGCCCTGATAAGATTGGGGATTTCATCCCATTTTATTAAATTCAAATTTTTCGATACTGTTTTACTTTATTTGTCGAATAAAATTTGTTTAATATAACACGAATTAGTCAAAATGAATTATAAAAAAAATAAATAAATAAGAATTAGAGATGCTAATTACTAAAGAATTAAAGAGTGAAAATATGTTGAAAGACAATAAGGATGACTTATCTGTCAAATTGTTTCATATAATTTTCAAAAACCAAACTTTACCTAACCCAAATTGTAAGAGTACAATTAATCTCTTGATCTTAGATCACTAATAATAATAATAATAATAATAATAATAATAATAATAATAATAATATTTGTTATAATAATATCGATTTCCGGCATCTCCTCATCTAGAGTTGGCGATGGGGTCAATTCATGTCGGGTTTGTGTCGGTGGAATACTTTAAACGAGTTAAGTCACTCAATCGTAACCCAATACATTTATTATCGTGTAAGATTCATATTCACTCGTATACATAATTAAGTCGAAATCTTTCATTCAAATTAAATTATTATTTGTCTTGTGGTTTTATATTAGTTTATATTGTTTTAATTTAAGGTGTACAACAAATTATATTGAATTATTTACAATTTACTTTAATTTAAATTAATATATATAAACTAATTAATTATTAAAGTAGAATTCTTTTACATATATAATAAATATATTAATTAATGTTACGATTTATGGAATAAACTCAATTTTCGTTAAATCACAATTATGGTACAATATTATATTTATACAAGAGATATATTAGGTAGAATATATATATATATATAAATATATAAAATATATATACAATATATATATCAACATCCCCTCAAACTCAAGGTGAAACGGTGGAACCCAACTTGAGTTTGCTCAAAAATGACTGAAAACGCCGGGAAGGTGAGGTTTGGTGAATCCGTCGGCCGTCTGATCAGCAGAGGAAATAGGAGACAAGGAGATGCTTCCATGAGCAACGTGATGACGTACAAGGTGACAGTCGATCTCAATGTGCTTCGTACGCTCGTGGAAGACATCATTCGTCGAAATCTTCATGGCGCTCTGACTGTCGCAATGGATAATAGTGGCTGAGGGCTGAGGCACTCCGAGATCAGCCAGCAGTCAGCGAAGCCATAGAAGCTCGGCAGCGGTATCGGCAAGGGCTCTATATTCGGACTCTGCACTGGACCGGGAGACAACCGTCTGTTTCTTGCTGCGCCATGAAATAAGCGAGTCGCCAAGGAAGAAGCAAAACCCGGTGGTCGAGCGGCGATCAGAGGGATCTCCCGCCCAATCAGCGTCAGAATACCCGGTCAAAACTAAGGAGGAACGAGCGGAATAATGAAGCCCATGAAGAAGGGTACCTTTGACGTACCGGAGAATCCGTAGGACAGCAGAATGATGAGTCGTCCGAGGAACAGACATAAACTGACTGACGATATGGACGGCATAAGCAATATCCGGTCGAGTGACAGTCAGGTAGATCAGACTTCCCACCAGCTGACGATACAAAGTCGGATCATCAAGGAGAACGCCGTCCATCGGAGTAAGACGACAGTCAGAATCAAGAGGTGTAGGAGCAGTCTTGGAGGGAGTCAGTGAGACCGGCACTAGATAGGAGGTCGGAGGCATACTTGGCTTGAGAGAGATAATATCCGTCGGAGGTGTCGGAGATCTCAAGTCCTAGGAAGTACCGAAGAGGCCCTAAACTCTTCATCTCGAAGTGGCGGTGTAGATGAGCCTGCAACTCGGAGATACCTGATGCATCATCTCCCGTAATGATCATGTCATCCACATAAAGCAATAAAACAGTAATTCCAGCTGACCCACGTCGAAGGAAGAGAGCCGAATCATGATCGCTAGAAGTAAAGCTAAGCTGGAGTAGAGCAGAGCTAAATTCCGAAAACCAAGCTCGAGGTGCCTGTTTCAAACCATATAGGGCACGGCGAAGTTTGCATACCTTGGAAGAGGTAGGAAAACCAAGAGGAGGAGACATGTAGATGTCCTCGGATAAATCACCATGCAAGAACGCATTCTTGACATCAAGCTGATGCAGGGGTCACCGACGAGCGGCAGCAATGGCGATAAGACAGCGGACAGAGGTGAGACGAGCAACCGGGGCAAATGTCTCCTTATAGTCGATACCATACTGCTGGGTGTAGCCTTTGGCTATCAAACGCGCCTTGTAGCGCTCGATGGATCCATCAGAGTGAGTTTTGATTCTGAATACCCACTTGCAGCCAATAGGTTTCTTGTCAGGGGGAAGATAAACCATATCCCACGTATGGGTTTTCTCCAAAGCCTGCAACTCCTCAGACATAGCCTGCCGCCACAACGGATCCGCATACGCCTCACGAAAGGACCTTGGCTCATGATGGGACAAGTTAGTAGGAAGGTGACTAACCCGAGTGGAACGACGAGGGCCAGGATCAGGGGCTGAGATTGAAGTCGTGTCAGGCTCTGGTGGTGGTGATGTATCGGAGTCGAGAGTAGGAGTAGGCTCGGGGATGAGCGGCGGTTCAGGAGGCACAACCGAGACAGCGTCAGGAGCGGGAGACAGAGACGGAGCCGTGTCACCGGAGGGGAATAGAGGTGGAGAGGACAAGGCAAAGAACGGAGACGAACGATCAAAGGGGACTCGGAAGTGGGACAAGGAAGAGAATTTGGTATCCTCCCAAAATGTGACATGACGAGAAATACGTAGCCTATTGGAAATGGAATCCCAACAACGATAACCCTTATGCTCTAACCCGTATCCCAGGAAGCAACACAGACGCGCGCGAGGTTCTAATTTAGTGCGCTCATGAGGAGGGAGGAGGACAAAACTGACACAACCGAAAGGGCGGAGAAGACTATAAGGGGTACGATTATATAGTCTTTCAAAAGGACTGACATTACCCAGGACAGAGGAAGGGACACGATTTATAGTGTGGACAGCGGTGAGTGCGGCTTCCCCCCAAAAGCGATCCGGACAAGAGGCAGATAAGAGAAGGGTGCGGACTGTATCGAGGATGTCATAAGGCGTATATCAGAGGTCATATGATTACTGCAAGCAGAATCAAAATACCAAGGAGAGTTACCTGATGTGGTAGACATGGCGGTATTGGAAGATAGAACCTGTTTAAGAAGAGCTTCCAGGTCCTGAATCGTAGGAGGCGCAGGCGCAGGCGTGGCAGAGGCTGTGACAGATGAGGTACCAGACTGAGGTCCACGAGAATGCCGAGGCTTGTAGTTACTACTGCCAGAGCGAGACGGCCTAGTGGGGCAATATTGTATAGTATGACCTAAAACATGACAGTAGTGACACTCCACCTTTGGGCAATGACCAAAGTCATGATCAGAAGACTGACATCTTTTGCAACGATGACTCTGAGTAGGAGTTCGGGCAGTGACCGCAAGAGCAGAATCAAGCTGAGGAGCCTTAACTAGGTGGAGACGAGTTTTCTCAAACAGAATTTCCTGAATAGCTGCATCCAAGGTAGGAAGTGGATGCCGATGTAACAAAGAGGCACGAACTGCCTCATACTCTGGACACAAAGCCATCAAGACCTGAATAAGGCGAAGATGATCAGGACTGATCTCTACTTGATCCAACCGATGCCAAAGGGGTTGCACTTGGGCAAGGAAGTCGTTGATAGATTGTCCTGATTCTTGTTTTAGATCGTGTACAAATTTTTTGATATTGTTTTACTTTATTTGTCGAATAAAATTTGTTTAATATAACACGAATTAGTCAAAAATGAATTATAAAAAATAAATAAATAGAAATAAGAATTAGATATGCTAATTACTAAAGAATTGAACAAGAAGAGAGTGAAAATATGTTAGAAAGACAATAAGGATGCCTTACCTGTCAATTGGTTCATATAATTTTCAAAAACCAAACTTTACCTAACCCAAATTGTAAGAGTACAATTAATCTCTTGATCTTAGATCACTAATAATAATAATAATAATAATAATAATAATAATAATATTTTTTATAATAATATCAATTTTCGGTATCTCCTCATCTAGAGTTGGCAATGGGTCAATTCATGTCGGGTTTGTGTCGGTGGAATACTTTAAACGAGTTAAGTCACTCAATCGTAACCTAATACATTTATTATCGTGTAAGGTTCATATTCACTCGTATACATAATTAAATCGAAATCTTTCATTCAAATTAAATTATTATTTGTCTTGTGGTTTTATATTAGTTTATATTGTTTTAATTTAAGGTGTACAACAAATTATATTGATTATTTACAATTTACTTTAATTTAAATTAATATATATAAACTAATTAATTATTAAAGTAGAATTCTTTTACATATATAATAAATATATTATCGGTTGTTTTGACAGTCTAAACTCTAACTCAATTCGTTTATTATCGTATAGAATTCGTGTCAACTTGCATATAGAATTGGATGAAATTCTCGACCAAAATCCAATTATTTCGTATTAAATAATTTTATATATATGTGCAATAATTCACAGGAATCAATACTCAGATCAATCGATCGATCCTTCCATGGCGACGGAGCTGATCACTCTAAACTACCCCACTCTCCTTCTCCTCCTTTCACCTCTCATCCTCCTCTTCCTAATCATCAATCAACGGCGGCGCTGCCGCCGGAATCCCCAAAATCTACCTCCAGGGCCCCCAAAGCTGCCGGTGATCGGCCACCTGCACCACCTCCTCGGCGGGCTGCCCCACCAGGTTTTCGCCGGATTATCCCGCAAGTACGGCCGCGTCCTGCTTCTGCAGCTCGGACAGATTCCGGCGGTGGTGATTTCCTCGCCTGCGGCCGCCAAGCAGGTCCTCAAGGACCAGGACCCCGCCTGCGCAGACAGGCCCAAAACCATCGGATTCGAGATCATGTGGTACAATTACTCCGATCTCGCCTTCTCCCCTTACAACAACCACTGGCGACAAATGCGGAAAATTTGTGTTCTCGAACTTCTTAGTTCCAAAAACGTTAAATCTTTCGGGTAATATTCTAGAATGTCCTAATTCTAAGTTGTTATGATATTGTTCGCTAATTTGCTTTTAATCTTTTCAAAGAACAAAAATAAAATGTAGAGTTAAATCTTGACTTATGATCAATAATTTTATTTAAGCTGAATTTGTTTATAATTTTCTTATGATTTCGAAATTTCACTTAAATGTCTTGTGTGCTTTAAAAAATTATATGACGTCTTTTTATACTTTAAAAAATATATACTATTTTTTATAATTTTCTTTTTATAAAAATATGATTTTCTACCTATATTTTCGGATGACGAGAGGTTTCTTACAACAATTTTAAAAATATAAAAAGTGTCATTCAATTGTTAAAATATATAAAGAATTTATGCTGAATTTGAAAACTATAGAAAAATTATGAATAATTTTATATTTATTTACTTTTTTAGATACATTACGAAAGACCACTTTAAGGTCAAATTTGTAAATATTTTTTGAAATTTTTCGTTAAATGCTGACGAATGGTTAAGGATTTTTTTTTTTTTTTTTCTCAGCTACATTAGGGAAGATGAAGTTTCGCGTTTGATCTCAACCGTCCAATCCTTTGCGCTATCACAAGAGGCGATCAATCTAACGAAGAATCTTCTTCGATTTACGAGCTCCGTCATTTGTCGGGCGGCGCTCGGAAAGTATCAGGCGGCCGATCGAGATGCTTTGATTGAAATGATGAAGAAGGGGTTGTCGATGGCAACCGGATTCGAGCTCGCCGACCTGTTTCCATCGTCTAAATTGTTGAATTTGTTGTGCTTGAATAAGTATAGGCTGATGTGGATGCGCCGGAAAGTTGATCCCATTCTCGATGATATTGTGGAGGAGCATAAACTCCGGCGGGGCGGCGAATACGGCGGAGAAGATATAGTCGATGCTATGCTGAGGATTAATAGAAGTGACGATGGTCGAGATTCTATTTCCAAGGATACCATCAAGGCCATCATCTTTGTAAGTATCAAGTGTGTTCGGTTGTAGGATTTTATCAAAATCCTCTTATTCATCCAAAATTTTCCCCCCAAAAATATCAAATCAAACATCTATTTTTCATTTTTTATATTATACTAAAAATCAATTTTACATTCAAAACATCACATCAACACCTATTTATATCACATCATACAACTATTCAAATTCAAAATTTTTACTATTCAAATCTCAATCCAAAATTCAAACCCCCAAACAAACACACTATTTGATATAATATTTCATAAAAAAGATAAATATTTGACAGAATATCTAAAAAAATAATTTTTTTTTTATTCAAAGTATTTTTTTACCATTTTCATTTGTCTTACTCCAAAATATATTTTTTTCCTATTTTAGTAATAATAAGTATACACTAATATTAAATTTTCCTTAATATTTTTTTCAAAATTATAAATATATTTTTTACCGTACAATTACTTTACACATAAAATCAAATTACAAAATTGTCAAAACTTCGTACACAATTTCACTAACTTTCAAAACTTCTTACACAATTAAAATTTTCAAATAGCCCATTTGAAGTGGGACGGAATGAATATTAATAAATAGTGTCAAAATGATAAAAGTATCTAAGTAAATAGAACAAAACAATTATTCAACAACTAAAAATAGTTTTTTAATTCATAAAGGACGTGTAATTAAGGATATCAAATGGGGCGGGTTAGCCCCGGACCCACTCTTAATGGGACGGGTTCGGATCTAAATAATATGTTTCGGGGCGGATTGTGGATTTAAAATTTTAAATCCGGCCGGGTTCGGGGCGGGTTACGGGTTTTACTAAAAACCCGTCCCAACCCGGACCCGGACCCGGATATTTTTTAAAATTGTTATAACTAATATATATGTACATTTACGTAATAAAAATATATTATTTATTTACTTAAATAATTTTAAATATAAAATTCAATTAGTAGCATGTTCCAAATAATTTTTTAAAATTATTATATCTAATATATGTATATTTATATAATAAAAATATATTATTTATTTATTTATTTTATTTTTATGGATCAATATTTGATTGTTTTTAGATTTTTTTTTTTTGTATTTTTAATGCTATTTGTTTTAGTATTCGTATTTATTATTATATATTTTTTTAAAAAACCGGGTTTGCCGGGTTGATCCCGAACCCGGAGGATTCGGGGCGGGGCGGGTCTCGAAGCCTAATATTTTCTAGCGGCGCGGGTCTCGGGGCCTGCAGAACCCGTCTCGAACCCGCGTCGTTGACATCCTAGCTATAATGCATTGACATACTTTATTAAATATACATAAAATATTTTATATTTAGTTACTATATAAAAACAGCAATAGTAAAAGCATGAGGTAATATTATGATTTTCACAATATTTGTTTCTATCAGTTTAAATATATAGATACAAGATCTTAAATGATGTATTCTATGCAAACTTTATACTACGAATATCATGTAATTGAGTAATTATTATGTGCATTTTTAATAAAACGACAAGATTATATCATCTATTTACAGGACATGTTCACTGCCGGAACAGAGACAACTTCCACAACGATCGAATGGGCAATGGCAGAGCTAATGAGAAACCCGAGAGTGATGACCAAAGCACAAGCAGAGCTAAGAGAAGGTCTAAAAGGAAAAAAGACAATAAATAGCGGCGACATCGAAGGAATGAAGTATTTAAAACTGTTGATCAAAGAAACCCTACGATTACACCCTCCAGGAACGTTACTACCTAGAGCGTGTAGAGACGAATGCACGGTGGATGGATATTCGATCCCTCTTAAATCGAAGGTTTTGGTAAATGTTTGGGCTATTGGAAGGGATCCCGAGTACTGGGACGAGGCTGAAATGTTTAAACCGGAAAGGTTTGAGGATGGTTCGGAAAGGTTTGAGGATGGTTCGATAGATTTCTTTGGGCAAAACTTCGAATACTTACCATTTGGGACCGGGAAAAGGATGTGTCCCGGTATGAACTTTGGATTGGCAAACGTCGAGTTGCCTTTGGCTCGACTACTTTACCATTTCGACTGGAGAATGCCCGACGGAATGGAGGCGAATGAGATCGATATGGCCGAGAGATTGGGCATCTCGGTGTCCCGAAAGAATGACCTTTTCTTGGTTCCTTTGTTGTGCAATGTTCCATAGTTCACTTTATGCAAGTTATCTACATTATGCACATTTACCTTTTCGAATTTATATTTGAAATTTTAAATATGAATAAATGATGGACTTTTTGAAGTCGCAATAAAATAATTTGAAAATAATAAAAAAGTTATATTATGTGAAATAGAATATGTATTTGATAGAATATTTAATAAATATATTTATTGTTGATGAATTATATTAAAAGCTATAAAACTGTCTGTATAAATAGAACTAAATTTTATATTTTCTTATTTATTTTGCTATTTTAATTTGTCCAAAATTAATTTATCGTTTTTTTTAATTGCAATTCTAACTTAAATAAAAAAATAAAAATACTGCTTTATATATTTTACACAAATAATTGGTATATTCATCTTTTAGTTCCCTAATTAGACTAGTTTATTATTTTACTTCTGAAATTGAAAGTTGTCGTAAAATAATCGCATTACCCTATAACATTTCAATTTTATAAGATTTGAATTTGAATGGAGCTAAAATTATTGAATAGTTCGAACTTGAATATATATATATATATTCTTTTATTACGATTCTAATTTATTTTAAAAATAAAAAATCTAGCAAATTCAAATTTGCTTGCATAATTAGTGAAGTCTGAATATGTTTCTTTACACAATTTTTTTTAAATTTTACTATTTGGACTTTGTATTTTCAGAAAAAAAAATATATTTTTTCTCTCATAAAACATTCCATCAAATATTATTTTAATATCAAATTAAAACCAAATTTTTTCAAACTCAACCAAAAAAACACACTTGTCTCTAAACTTTTTTTAAATTTTGACAACAAAATATATATAAACTATTTAATATAATATTTTTGTAAAAATCAATATCTATACTTTCTCGTATGTATGTATGTGTATGTAAACAAATACTTTCACGTATATACCCAAAGAGCTACATAACAACAATCTAACAATCTACAGTACAAATTCGATTCCAGATCAGATCAAGCTATAGTCTAAAGCTACAACAAAATACCTCTATTTTCATATGACCGTTGCGAGTCAGTTAGTTACCGTTATCTTCAAAAGTTAACTCATTATGCAGCTTCATCGCCATTTCCAGCCTTCCGGCCTTCCGAAAACTATCGATCAGAACTCTGTAAACCGGAGCAAGCGGCGACGATGAACAATCTCTACCCATCTCCTCCATCAACTCGAGACTCGACAAAAATTCCACGCCGAACCCATCGAAAACCTTCCGAGAGTTCGACTTCGCCAACCGACGAGGCCAATGCGTCCGTTTCATCTCCTCGACGAGTCGATACGCGTCATCCAACCGCCCCCCGGTGCAGCAATGATTTATCAAAACCGTATACGTGATGTAATTCGGAGCGCAACCCTTCCCAATCATGTCGTCGAAGAGTTTCAAGCTTCGATCGACTTTCCCGGCTTTCCCTAACCCGTCGATCATCGCCGTATACGTCACGACGTTCGGTTTGCAACCCTTCTCCTCCATCATCACCATCAGCTTCTGCGCCTCGTCAGTTTTCCCGACTTTACACAGCCCGTCGACCATCGCCGTATACGTTACGACGTTAGGCGGGCAAGAGAATTCGAGCATTTTAGCGAGTAGCTCGACGGCGAGATCCATCCGTTTCTCTTTAAAGACCCGATCGATTAAAGTGCTGTAGGTATATACGTTCGGAGCGTATCCGCACTCTGACATTTTAGATAACACTTTTTGGGCGTCGTCGAGTTTCCCCGCCTTGCAAAATCCGTCGATAAGAGCGTCGTAAACGATATGATTTGGCTCGCAGCCCTCGTCGGTCATTGCGTTTAGAAGATCCCGAGCTTCTCTCACTCGATGCTTTTTGCACAATCCGTCGATTAAAGCTCCGTACGTAATCACATTCGGCGCTTCAAGATTTTCGCTCGACGTTTGGAAATACACATCGACGTCGTGTACGTTGGTACTCCCTCTCATTTTTTCATAAATAGCGCAAGCCGTATCCGTGTCCCCGGCTTTGCAAAACCCGTCGATCAGAGCTGAAAAAGTGACAACATTCGGAACGCATCCGTTCGACAGCATAGTCTCGAATATTTCATTCGCGTTCGATATCTTCCCCTCTTTAAGATAAGTGTGGATCATTGACGTGTACGTTACGACGGTAGGCGCGCATTCATTCTCCACCATTTCGTCGAACCAGCGTCGAGCCTGCTGAATCAATCCAACTTTGCAAAACCTATCGATCATAATCGAGTAAGTGAACACATTCGGAATAATACCTTTCCTTTTCATTTCTTGGAACAACGAAAGCGCTTTGTCCACTCTCGATCCATCGAATAGAAAACCGATAACTTGGTTGTACGTACCCGCATCCGCGACGAACCCCATTTTCGTCGTTTCACCGATCACGCTATACGCCTTATCATACTTCCCAAACTCGCAAAGACACCGAGCAAAATTGCTAACATTGACCCTATTCAACAACAATCCAGAATCGACCATTTCGTCGTACGCTTTCTCAGCCAATTCCATAACTTCGCGGCTCGGAGCCTTCTCGCTCCCGCAAACACTTCCGATGAAAATATTATACACAACATAACCGGGATCACACCCGCAATCCGACATTCTTTTAAACAACTTATACGCATACGAATAATCCCCCGACTTGCAATAAGCGTCGACAAGAGAACAAAATATCTTCGGACTCGGATAACAACCTTCTCCGATCATCATCACAAGAATTCTCTTACACCTACCGAGCTTTCCCTTATTCAAGCACCCGCAAAGCAATGCTCGATACGTTTTCACATTCGGGACACACGAATTCGATCTCATTCGATCGAGAAACTCCATGGCCTCGTCAAACAACGAGGCCTCACACAACCCTACAATCATTCTTGTGTAAATTACAGTATCTGGATGAACATTCTCCTTTTCGATCGAATTCAGAGCATCTCTCCATCTCCCAATTTTGCATAAGAAATGTAAGAAAGAACCTAAGACATGTTTATCCATCTTAAAACCTAAATGCAGCATTTCCCTATGAAGCAACAATGCACTGTCCATGTTTCCAGCAGTTAAGAAAGCATGCATCAATGTATTGTACGTTACCCTTGAAGGCTTGTACCCTAGATCCTTCAGCCTTCCCAGCTCCTCCAATGCCGAATTCCAGTTTCCGCCATGGCAGCGCTTTTGAATCAGGAAATTGAGCAGTTTACCCAAAGCTTCGCCGTCGTCGCTCCCTATCTCACGCAGGAATTGATCGTCGATTCTGTCGTCGTTGCCTCTTTCCAACAATTCAACCAACGCATCGTAAACCGCCGTAGAATGAGCATATCCAATCTGCCTTCCTGCCCAAATGAAAAACCTAACCCCTAATTCGACATTCCCCACGCTTCTCAGCACATTGGCCACTAATTCTCCGTCGAGCTTCTCCCGAAACCGCCGAAGGAATCTCTCCGATTTCTCCCCCAATCCGTCGTTGTAGCCTCTGATTGAACTTGCTATCGAAACAGCAAGTGAGGAACATTTGTTCAAATCAAATTCCCCGGGGCCAGAAATCGAATTTCTTATGAACGTCAAGTCTTCGGTTGAAAATTGTTGAGTCGGAGGAGTATCGTTGATTTCCTGGTCGGAAATCAAGCCTTCAAGAGTATCTCCGGTGCTGAGGAACCTCGTGGAGAGTTTGAATGAGCTCAGGCGAGGCGGAGGCGGCGGAAATGCTGCAGACTTGAGTAGACGTTTGCTCATTCTACGGCGGCGGATTTTTCCCTGGATGATCGGAGACGGCGGGTTGCCATTGCCAATACATTGTTGGGCCGAAAGAGTTATTACACTCTTTTGGGCTGGTTGAGTTATTGTTATGATTTTTTATTTTTTATTTTTTTATTGGGAGTTGTTTTTTTTAAAAAAAAAGTTAAATTAAATATATTTTTAAAAAATATTAATATATTAAATATTTTTATTATTTTTATATTTACTAAAAAAAGTTTCATACTTCACATCAAAAAATATTTATTCAAATTATCTCACGAAACAAACACTCGAATTTATTTGAAATTTTTTATACTAAAAATATAAAAATAAATGAAATTTTCTTTTTAGACAAATAAAAAGAAAAAAATAAAAATAACCATATTTTTAGGAGACGAATAGACTATAATTTACCGCTATAGTTCATAAATTTATATTTTTAATAATTTTGATTTTAAAATATATAAAATAATTGCTAATAATGAAAATATATAGTAGAAAAAAATATATATACAGTCAAGATGTATATCTTAAGAATTTGTTTTGATTGTGTTTTGAGTTTTAATTTTTTCTTTAATTAAAATTTTAATTTAATTAGTACTTTACTTTATAGTTTGTAGGAAAAATATTAATATGTTTTTGTTAAAAGTTGTATAAATTGAACTGAAAAATATTTATTTGTGTGTGTGTGTTCTTTCTATTTTTTTTTTCAAATAATTGTCAACGTAAATTGTCATCTTTATATTACTATTAAAAAATTGTGGCGATAGTATAATTAAAATATATTTCAATAAATTGTATTCATTGAGTTTTAAAATAATATTCTCGTTTTTATTTTTTTTAACAAGTTTTTATCTTTTTATAAAATTATTCATACTTTTTTATAATAATTACATAAACTATGAGCATTTTGATCTTTAAAAAATATTTTTATCCCCACTGTCAATGTAATACTATTATTCATAATTATCATCATTAAATCAGTTTAGGATTGAGCCATAAAAAATCAATTAGGGTGTATTTTGGATTTGACTCTTGATAAAAAAATTTATATTGAAATAATTGTACAATATTATTTTAAAATCAAATAAAAAATTTAAATCCAATTTGTTTTAGTTTAATTTATTTGTTTTTCTTATGCAACATTCTTTATAAAAATATATTTCCTTCGTCCCAATACAATAATCTTGTTTATCATTTTTTTTCGTCTCAAAACAATAGTCTCATTTTCATAAATAATCATATCACTATAAAACTATCCTTACTTTTTCATTATTATTACACAATTGTCACTACACTAATACACTTGCAAGGGCAAAAAAGTCTTTTACCCGTACTTTTTACGGAGGGAGGAATATTCACTATGTTCTTTCAATATTATTTTTTAATTATGACTTACTTTGTTGGGTCTACTTTGCATGGTATTAGGTTCGGCCGAGGATTTTCACATTATAAATATATATATAAGATATATATTTTAATTACTACTACCTCTTACTCCAAGGGTCATATTTATTTTTTTGCATTTTTAACTTTGAATATTAATTATTATATCAAAATGTAGTACAAATTAAAATTAAGAAAAATAAAAAAAAAATGCTTCTATTAGTGCCTTTTAATACGTCATTGTATTTAATCTTAAAATATTTTTATATTCGTATATTTTTATTTTTTTTTGTACAAATGTAGACTGAGGGAGTATTATAAATATATATATATAAGATTTGTATACGAGTATATTTTTAAACTTTTCAAATATTTACATCATAAGACGATTGTTACTACTGCAAAGTTAAAGGGTTTGTTTAGGGTGTGTTTGTTTGGGGGATTGGATTAAATTTCTACTATTCATTTCATTTTTTTCCCTCCAAAAATATTAAATCAAACACTTATTTTTTATTTTTTATATTATATTAAAAATTAATTTTACATTCAAAATATCACATCAATACCTATTTATATCACATCATACAACTATTCAAATTCAAACTTTTTACTATTCAAATCCCAACTCAAAATCCAAACCCCAGACAAACACACCCTTAGTTTGTGTTTTATTGGAATTTGGATTGTTTATTTGGATTTAAATTTAAATAATACTTCATCCGTCTCACATATCATGTCCACGTTGCCGTTTCTGTTCGTTCATATTTCATGTCATTTTTTTTTAAATGACTACACATTTTAATCTCATTTTAAATTTTTTAATTTATTTTTTTAATTTTAATTAAACTAATTAATTATTTTAATCTTAATTTATAATTATTTATATTATAGAATAATTATTTTCACTAATACATTCTTAATTATCTACTAATTACATTTCTCCTAAAATACCGTGTTTACAGTGTAACAGACACGGTATATGGGAGGGAGGGAGTAATTTATCTGGAACAACAATGTATTTATTCGAACTATATAGTAGAAAAAAAAATGGTTAGAAATGCAAATCAAACTAATCTTGAGGATTTGTTTTTTTTTTTTTAAGGCAAAATTGTCTATAACTCTCTTGTGGTTTCGAAACAGCATAAATTTCTCATTTACTTTAAAAATTGCATGGAGCCCCCTTATACTTTAAAAAACGTTGTATGAAATCTCTTTATGATTTTGAAACTCAGTGTAAATCTCCAATTTACTTAAAAAAATTTCATGACACCCTCTTATATTTTAAAAAATATTGCATGAAACCCCCGCCGTGCAAAATATATGGATAGAAAATCGTCTTTCCATCACACAACGGAGGTTTCATGGGGGTGGGGTTTCATGCAACGTTTTTGAAAGTACAGAGGAGTATCATGCAATTTTTAAAGTACATAGAGATTTTACGCATAATTTCAAAACCACAGGGAAGTTATGAGCAATTTTACCTTTTTTTTTTTTAAATCGAAACTAATATATTGTTTATTTTGCATAATTTTTAATAAAATACACTGTTTTTTCTTATAAAATATTATATCAAAATATTTTTTAAATAAAAATCTAAATCAATATTCCTTTTAAAATTAATTTAAAACCACAGTGAAACAAAACCTTAATGATAACATTATCATCAGCCCAATAATATTGATTGTTGCAATTATGTGTTGGTTAATAATCATAATCATATCATTATCATCCCACATGCAACGTAATAAATAAATCTTACTATTATTATTGATAATTAAATGTTTTTGCATCACCTTTATGTTACATCAAACAAATTTTATTTCAATATCATGTGCTTAACTTTCTATATATACATCTCTCTTCTCATGCTACGCAATCTCCAAAAATGACAAGCCAATTATTAATAATCCCAGCGTTATCCAATTGGATGCTCATTTGACTTGATTACGAATTTTTTAAAAAAAATAGGTAAAAGTTTTTTAAAAATTACTTTTTTGTAAACAAAAAGTCAAAAAAGTGATACTCCCACCGTTCCATATACTATGTTCACATTGTCATTTCTGTCTGTCCCATATTTTATGTCATTTTCTTTTGGAAAATGATTACACACTTTAATCTTATTTTAAATTTTTTAATTTATTTTTTAAAATTTTAATTAAACTAATTAGTTATCTTAATTTTAATTTATAATTATTTATATTATCAAATAATTATTTTCACTAATACATTCTTAATTATCTACTAATTACACCCCTTCTAAAATACCGTGTCTACAGTGTAACAGACACGGTATATAGGATAGAGGGAGTATTTTTTTACTAAAAATAAAAATAGATTTGGATGACAATAGGACTATAATTTTTAAAAATAATATTAATAGTATTACTGTATTTTTTCAACAAACAAAAAGTAAAATTCAAAGATATGAAAAATATATTTAAACTTGATTAATTAGTGCCTGAGATTAGGAATTTCTAAACACTGTACGATACATAAAGAAATTAACTGGAAAATAAAATGCTGGAAATTTAAAGTGGTGATCCCCAAATCTGACTTTGCTGAAGTTGATTGAAATGCCTTCTCAAGAAAAATCCAAATCCTTAAATACTTCCTGAGAAATTGTACTAGAAACCGTCGTCTGAACGGTTATAACGTCTCATTTTCAACCGTCTGCCAACCCTTCTACTACTGACACGTGTCCTCAGCAGACCACCATTATCACTCTATTCCAGTCTTAACAGCATCCGCCTCTTTGGACCGACCGCAGACCTTGACCTTCCGACCTAAAGACCATCCGACTTACTGGTCTAGTCGCAGACCATCCGACTTACTAGTCTAGTCGCAGACCTCCCGACTTAAAGACCATCCGACTTACTAGTCTAGTCGCAGACCTCCCGACTTAAAGACCATCCGACTTACTGGTCCAGTCGCAGACCTCCCGACCTGAGGACTTTCCGTCCTGACGACTTTCCGTCTTGAGGACCTCCCGACCTAAGGACCTCCCGACCTAAGGACCTTCCGACCTGCGGACCTCCCGACCTGAGGACCTTCCGACCTGCGGACTTTCCGTCCTGAGGACCTCCCGACCTGAGGACCTTCCGACCTGCGGACTTTCCGTCCTGAGGACTTTCCGACCTGAGGACCTCCCGACCTGACCTCCCGACCTGAAGACTTCCCGACTTGAGGATTTTCCGATCTGAAGACTTTCCGACCTGAGGACTTTCCGACCTGAAGACTTTCCGTCCTGCATTGTCCTTAGAAATTAACCTATTTTCCTTGAGTTCCCACAGTGTCCTTCAGCCAGTTCGATCAACTCTATTACCAGGCCCATTTTTTCTTTTACATTGAGCTTTTTAATCTAATTCTAAATTTCATACGTAACAATTACTAATACTTCATTTGTATCACATAACTTATTTATTTTTTCCTATTTGGGTCTATTTCATATTATTTGTCATTTCTTTTATTTAAAATATAATTATACATTCTAATCATATTTTAAAATTCATAATTTATAATTTCATTTTATTTTAATTAAATTATTTAGTCATCGTAATATTAATTTATAATTATTTTCACTATATCATAAATATTTTTATTAAAATATTTTTTAATTAGTTACTAATTACATAATACGTGAAACTTTATGCTCATTTAAAGTGGACAAATTAGTTGAAAGTAGGGGAGTGTTATTTTTGTTCTAATTGAATATATATATATATATTTTTATCATTTTCGTCTGTTTTACCAAAAAAAAATTTTATAAAATTATCAAAAATTATACTTCCTCTGTCCCAAAGTATAGTTTAGATTGTGTTTGACATGAAATTTTAAGAAATATTGATATTACATTGATAGTGGATAAAAAGTACGGATAAAATATTTTTTTGCCATTTTGAGTGTATTAGTATAGAAAGTAGTGGCAATTGTGCAATAATAATAAAAAAGTAAGAATAATTTTATAGTGATATGATTACTTATAAAAATAAGACTATTATTTTAGAACGGACAAAAATAATAAATAGAACTATTATTGAGACGAAAAGAGTATCAGATATTTCTATTAGCCAATAAAATAAATTACGAAAACCATGTGCGATAAGCAACACTTGTAAACGTCTTTTATGTTGTTCTTTGATTTTACTATACAACGTTTTCTTTTATACGGTATTGTTGTTTAAAATTTTGTTAGTGTATACGGATGTATTTGTTTTGCAAGATTTTTTAAAATTTTTTTTTTTAATATAAAAATATGAAAAATTGTATATAAAATATAAAAATAATAAATATGTGTAATGTATTAATTTATTTTTTTAAAAAAGAAATATGTGATTTTTTTTTTTTTTTTTTAAAAACAAAGCCTACGTGTGCGTAAGGTAGCCAACAAAATACTGTACGTATGCTAACATAGGCGCATATAGGCTGCAATAATGGGCCGCTGCACGGCGGCGGTCGTGTCAGACAATCCTCCATGAAGATGACGATCAAATCAATCCAATCCAATCCAATCATCCCTCCATTTCTCTAATTTTTTTGGTTATTGAATTCTGAGGTTAAGCAGCTGCTTCTTCATGATTCAATAATGGCCTTCCACTTCCAGAAAAGCAGCTGCACACTTCTGTCAGTTCAATCTCGCCCTCATCCTTCAACCACTCCATTAATGGCAGTTTCAAGCGCCTGCAGGATTCGTCACTCGTTTCCTTCAATTAATGCTCCCAATTTCGGGAATTTTCGGTCAGTCAACAGTGCTCAACTACTGATCGATTTTTATTTTTTATTTTCCACCCAAATGTCCAAATCCAGCAGCGTAATTTTCAAACCTACCTTTACCCACCGTTTCTTCCTGCCTCCCGCGCGTTTCGTTGGTGGTTGCTTCCTGCTGCCAACCATCTCATCGTTCCAGTACACTACATGTGCCAATTAGGGCACAGAAATTCGGGGAAAACGAAACAAACAAAGTTGGGGGAGGATTGACGAAGAAGCCAATTAATGCGAGCATTCAACAACCCCTCATCGTAGCCTCCAAGGTCGTTGCAGATTGACTCATCAAACGCCACACAAGATGGTTCGTCCTCACACAATAAGAACATGTAGCCTTTTTTTAACCTCTCCACAGGCTACTCCTTTTTATCCTGTGAATCTACTTTTTCCCTCACAATTTTGGTGTTGCCCTAGAGAACTATGTTCCCAAGGAAGGCGTTGAGTAATGGAGCTAGTAATGGCGACGAGGATGAAGAAGAGGGCGTTGTGTTGGCTGCTTTGCAGAAGTCTCCGACCTATGACAGGGCGGGGATGGCGCTTTTCAGGAATGGTGCCGGGGAGCTTTCGTTGGTTGATGTTCGGAGGATCAATGGGATAGAACAGAAGCAGGTCTTGGATAAGTTGGTTGGTTTGATTAACGAGGATATTGAGGGGTTCTTCGGCAGAGTTAGGGAGAGGTTTGATGCGTAAGTCTTTTAAGAATTCTTGGTTTGATTCAGTATGCATTCTCAGTTTCTGATAGATTTGTATTCAGCGTTTTATGTTTCAGTAATTGTGATGATTGCAGTGTTGGCTTGGAATTTCCGAAAGTCGAGGTTCGATTCGAGGATCTTAAGGTGGATGCACTAGTCCATGTTGGGAGCAGAGCTTTGCCGACCATTCCCAATTTTATTTTCGACATGACTGAGGTAGGCCATTAGAGCGCAAACGTTTGCCAGGGATGGTTCTTGAATTGCCCTGGCTGATGATGTCTGTGCAACCTGTGATGAACAACAGGCTTTCTTGAGGCAGCTTGGGATTTTCTCTGGAGGGAAAAAGAATTTTTCTATCCTGAAGAACATAAACGGCATTATCCGCCCTTCGAGGTTGGAGAATGGAGAGTGAACATCAATTCAATGGTGTATTATTACTGCATTCGGCGTGAGTTTTCAAATTTAATGATGACTGTGATTGTATAATGTTAGGCTGACCCTGCTTCTGGGTCCTCCTAGCTCTGGAAAGACGACGTTTCTTTTGGCACTTGCAGGTCGACTTGCATCCAGTTTAAAGGTAGTTGAACTTACTATTTATCAATGCTTCATGTATGGTTCTACTATTAGCACAATTAGTTGTAAGTTTGTTCTCATCTTGTTATAGATAGATTTGTTATTGATTCAGCCTCTTGTATCAAGAGGCACTTAATGTTTAAACTATGGAGAAGTCTAATCCCTTTTGAGATTGACTAGCTCATGGCTTAAATGTAATTAGATTTCTAGTCGGTCGACATTTCGACAAAAATCTGTGATTTAGATAATCTGGTCTTAATGGACGCATTCAGCTTCGCATCTAGATCATGAGCTCATTTTGTTCTTATCAAGTCAGTGAACCAACCTACTTTGAAGATGTCAGGGAAAATTACGTATAATGGTCATAATCTTGAGGAGTTCACTCCTCAGAGGACTTCAGCATATGCCAGCCAGCAGGATTGGCACATTGCTGAGATGACGGTGAGGGAGGTTCTTGAGTTTTCGGGGCGTTGCCAAGGAGCTGGATTCAAGAATGGTAATACTGAACTCTCATTTATTAAATGATGTTAAAGGAAAGGTTTTCTATACCGCTTCTTATTTGTTACCTTTTCCTGTAATCACGATGTGAAGACATGCTCATGGAACTTCTTAAAAGGGAGAAAGCTGCTGGAATAAAACCAGATCATGACCTGGATATCTTTATCAAGGTCTGTCTATCTAATTGGTGCTGCCTGTGATTAATTTGGCATCCTGTATGTAATTCTTTTGTTCACTGTATCACTTGTTTGCTGTACTGAAGTGCTTGTTTTCTCCTAGGCAGTAGTGTTGGGGCAGCAGACAAGTTTTCTTGTGGAGTATATCATGAAGGTGCACCGTAATTTCATACTTATGAGGAGAAAAGTGCTGTGTCGTATAATATACACCCATAACATTTACATGATTATTCAATTCTTTGATTCTGCTGCTTATATAGATATATATATTTTTGTGAAATGTATGTGAAGATTTTAGGGTTGGATATATGTGCTGATACCTTGGTAGGAGATGAAATGCTAAAAGGTATATCTGGTGGCCAAAAGAAGCGACTCACTACTGGTAATTATCCTCACCGAATTGATTGCACTCGAGCTGTTCTGAATATTGCTAAAATTACTAACATGCTAACATTGGCAGCTGAACTGCTTATGGGTGCTTCTAGGGTGCTTTTCTTGGATGAGATATCAACTGGATTGGATAGCTCGACAACACATCAAATTATCAAATATCTCCGGCACGCAACTCATGCTCTTGATTGTACAACACTTGTATCTCTCTTGCAGCCTGACCCTGAGACATATGAGATGTTTGATGATGTGATTCTTTTCAGTGAGGGGAAAATTGTGTATCAGGGGCCTCGTGAAGCAGCTGTAGATTTTTTTGCGTTCATGGGTTTCAGGTGTCCATCTAGAAAAAATGTTGCCGATTTTCTGCAGGAGGTACGCTTTTGGGGTGTGAACTTCAAACTATATTCCCTGATTGTTTCTTTAAATAAACCTGAACCATTCAATGCACATGTTTTTTCTCAGGTAATATCGGAGAAGGATCAAGAGCAGTATTGGTTTCTCAATAGTCAATATGAATATGTGCCCGTGGCAAAATTTGTGGAAGGTTTTCAGACCTTTCAAGTTGGCAATTCATTGGCACAGGAGTTGTCCATCCCATTCGATAAATGCTGTAATCATCCGGCTGCCCTCACATCCAAGACTTACGGTATATCCAGGGCTGAGCTTCTAAGTGTTAGTTTCTTGTGGCAAATGCTGCTAATGAAGCGGAATGGTCCTGTCTTTATTTTCAAGTTCATCCAGGTAAAAACAACTTTCAGTAAATCTTAAAACAATCCTTAGATGTTACTAACTCTTGTGGAGCATTTGGATTGAAATTCATCACAATCAGTACTTTTTTAGCCTAAGAAATGTATTTCATTTGCAGCTGCTCCTGATTATATTGATTATGATGAGTGTGTTCTTCCGGACAACAATGCACCGTAATTCACTTGATGATGGAGGCGTGTACCTTGGTGCTCTTTACTTTGCTATTGTCATGATTCTTTTTAATGGATTTATGGAGGTGCCGATGTTGATAGCTAAGCTACCTGTTATTTACAAGCACCGAGATTTACGTTTCTACCCCTGCTGGGCGTACACTCTTCCCTCTTGGCTCTTGAGTATTCCTCTCTCACTTATAGAATCCTTTTTATGGGTAGCTGTTACTTATTATGCCATTGGCTTTGATCCTCAAATCACTAGGTAGGTTACTGTCAGTTCCAGTCCTTTTCCTAAATTTTTGATAGTTAGCAAATGATATCAAATGACTTGTTCTTTTGCAGATGCCTGCTACAGTTCTTCCTATACTTTGCTTTACACCAGATGTCAATAGGGCTTTTCCGGGTGATGGCATCATTAGGACGAAACATGGTAGTTGCCAACACGTTTGGATCCTTCGCAATGCTGGTTGTCATGGTCCTTGGAGGATTTATTCTTTCTAGAGGTCATAGACAGTGCACTTTAGTTCCTTAATCAATTCTCCATACGACTTGAGCTGATTGCTTGACAATTCCACCTCTGTTTGATTTTCGTTTTAACTTTTTACACCGACAGATAGCATTCCAGTTTGGTGGATTTGGGGTTATTGGTTTTCCCCCATGATGTATGCTCAGAGCGCTGCTTCTGTAAATGAATTTCTCGGCCATTCTTGGGATAAGGTGATCATACCATGTTCTTATTCATACCGTTGACACATTATTCTAACTACTGATGCTTTAGTTCACCGTCTGCTGAAAATGTGTGCACTTGGTTGATAGCTATTTGTTGTCTGGATGACAGAAAGCTGGAGACGGCACTACTGTGTCTTTGGGAGAAATGTTGCTGAAGGTTCGCAATCTATTTCCAGAGGGCTATTGGTATTGGATTGGTGTAGGAGCATTATTTGGATATATGCTATTATTCAACGCCCTATTCACTTTGTTTCTGACGTACCTAAATCGTGAGTTTCGTACTTGAAATATCTTGGTTAGACTAATTTGCATGGAATGATGAAACCTTATATGCAGTACTACAATTTCTCTTCTACTTTTGTGCAGCATTGGGGAGTCAACAGGTTGTTATTCCCGGGGAGGATAATCATCGCATGAAAAACAAGCGGCAAAGGAGTGAATCTGCCATTATTTCTTTTGGAGAGTTTTTGCAACACTCTCACTCCTTCACTGGCTTCCAGAAGAAATCAGGATCATCTGTCATTTCTTTTGGAGAGTTTTTGCAACACTCACACTCATTCACCGGTTTGTTTCTGCTGAACCAATCTTGTCGTTGACTTCCCTTTCCTGGAACCATTGTCTTAAATTGTATATTCACACATGCTGGCAGGAAACAGCATCACGAAACATAAAGGAATGGTGCTTCCATTCCAACCTCTTTCAATGTCCTTTCGAGATATCAGCTATGTTGTCGACATCCCCATTGTATGTCAACTTACTTTATCTTGAGTTAATGATTGGAAAGAAAAGAAAATGGATTGATAATAAGCTATTGTATATTGCAGGAATTGAAAGGGCAGGGCATTCAAGTTGATCGGCTACAGCTACTGGCTAATATAACTGGAGCATTCCGTCCCGGTGTGCTTACAGCATTAATTGGTGTCAGTGGCGCCGGTAAAACCACTCTCATGGATGTTTTGGCTGGAAGAAAAACAGGTGGACATATTGAAGGCAGTATCTACATTTCCGGATATCCCAAGAATCAAGAAACATTCGCAAGGATTTCGGGCTACTGCGAACAGAATGATGTCCATTCTCCTTGCCTAACTGTGCACGAGTCACTCCTTTTTTCCTCTTGGCTCCGACTCTCTTCTCAGTGTGATTTTGCGACGCAAAGAGTAATTTCTCAGTTTCTTATCTGACCCTTTTCTTATTCGATTTTCTCTTGAATTCATGAGTTATCAATTTCAGGCATTTGTGGACGAGGTTATGGAACTAGTCGAGCTAACTCCACTGTCCAGACTGTTGGTCGGGGTTCCAGGGGTGAATGGCTTGTCCGTTGAGCAAAGGAAAAGACTGACAATTGCAGTCGAGCTCGTTGCCAATCCTTCTATTGTGTTCATGGATGAACCAACCTCGGGACTCGATGCCAGGGCCGCTGCAATCGTCATGAGAGCTGTGAGGAACATCGTTGACACTGGTCGGACAATCGTTTGCACCATCCACCAGCCAAGCATCGACATCTTTGAATCTTTCGATGAGGTTTTAACTTAGATAATATATTAGCATGCTTTTTATGCTATGGTTGAGTCAATATTTGATCTTTCATTCTCCCTCTTTGCAGCTGCTACTAATGAAACGAGGTGGACAGCTCATTTATGCAGGTCCGCTGGGGACCAAATCTGTCAAACTTATTCAGTATTTTGAGGTGAGCTCTTCTTTTCCTTCCTACTTTTAACTCGATGCAGAGGATGACATTGTACGTAATTTTCCGTAGGCTATTCCAGGAGTTCAAAGAATAAGGCCGGGATATAACCCTGCAGCGTGGATTCTTGAAGTTACTTCTTCTGCAGAGGAAAATCGTCTCGGTGTGGACTTCGCAGAAATTTATCGCCAATCTGATCTTTTTCGGTTAGTCTTTCATTTGCTTTAAGCGAAAACTGGCGCGTGGAGATTGCACCCTTTGCAAAATACGAATTCTCCCCTTTTGTTTCAGGGAAAATAACGATCTCGTTGAGAGATTAAGCAAACAAGAAAAGGATTCAAATGAGTTGAGCTTTCCGAGCAGATATTCGCTGTCATTTTTTGGGCAGTTTCTCGCGTGCCTTTGGAAGCAAAACTTGTCGTACTGGCGTAATCCACAATATACTGCCGTTCGATTCTTCTACACGGTTATCATCTCGCTTATGTTTGGAACAATATGCTGGAAATTTGGTGCCAAAAGGTGTTTTTTCTTTGCTATAATTCGATTCATACTTGAACCTTTCGCGTACTCGGATTACTAATGTTGATCTGTTCCAATGTCATTAACAGGGAATCACAGCAGGACATATTCAACGCCATGGGGTCGATGTACGCAGCTGTATTATTCATTGGAATCACAAACGCGACATCGGTTCAGCCTGTGGTTTACGTCGAACGATTTGTCTCGTTCAGGGAGAGAGCTGCAGGAATGTACTCCGCATTACCATTCGCCTTCGCCCAGGCATGTCTCGATTCCAAAACACTTGTATCATGATGTACCGCACTATGTTATAGACATATACATCCTGAAATTGAACTCAAAACACGATTTGGCAGGTTGCAGTTGAATTCCCGTATGTCCTCGTGCAGTCGCTCATCTACAGCACCATCTTCTACAGCATGGCATCATTCGAGTGGAACGTTTGGAAGTTCCTTTGGTACGTCTATTTCATGTACTTCACGTTGCTTTACTTCACCTTCTTCGGAATGATGACGACCTCCGTCACCCCCAACCACAACGTCGCTGCTATAGTCGCGGCCCCTTTCTACATGATGTGGAATCTCTTCAGCGGCTTCATGATCTCCCACATGGTAAGCCCTAAACGACTGCCCTCATTTACGATGATATTTCAGAAAAACCATAAAAGATTAGGCTTTGTTTTGAAATGGTTCTATATCTCATTAGTTGACTCGTCGCCCCAGTAGTCTTACGTGCATTATATGATAATTTGGTCGACAATTATTTCAATTTATGTGTTGTATTTATATTATATTAATGTACATAATATCTTGCCGTCAGAATTGTAAATTCAGCGATGATTGTATTTATTTGCAGAGGATTCCGATATGGTGGAGATGGTACTATTGGGCGAACCCGATAGCGTGGAGTCTATATGGGCTTCTAACATCCCAATACGGGGATGTAACCGACACGGTGAAGCTCGCCGATGGAGTTGAGGAAGTGAGAATAAAACAGCTGCTGAAGGATCAGTTCGGGTTCAGACACGACTTCCTCGGAGTCGCCGGAATCGTCGTCGTCGGCTTCTGTGTGCTGTTTGGAGTAACGTTTGCATTTGCCATCAGGTTCTTCAACTTCCAGAGGAGATAAAAATGAATCAAAATCATTCTTGGTTTTTTCTTGTCTTAATTTTTTGCATTTGTATTGATTATATATATATATATATATTCAGCATGGACGTGAGGTTGATTTTTTTTTTTTTTTTTGTATTACTATTATTTTGTGAGGAGGGAATTATTTGTAAGAAGGAATATATATATACTGTCGAAGCATTGGACTACAGTAAAGATGGGAATGTGTAATTAGCGTTTGTTCGTTTGTTCGTTTGAAGAATTTTATTAAAATTTTATTATTCATCCAAAATTTTTTCTTCAAAAATATCAAAAAAACACCTATTTTTTATTTTTTATATTATATTAAAAATTAATTTTATATTTAAAATATCACGTCAATATCTATTTATAGGACGAATTCCAACTCAAAGAGTCAGATTGGCATTTGAGACAGAATATAACCTCGTGATCTTTCAATCGCGCAGTGCGGGTCCCGCCAGCTCATGTAATGTCCATTTTTACTACACCGTACATTTTACTCAAAGATGTTCATGTAATGTAATATGTTATTTTTATATCACACCTAATATTATATTTTAATATAATATTAATATTTTTAAAATTTTATGTAAAAATCAAATAGGTAGCTAAAATATGAAGAAAATTTGAAATTTAAAATAATTATTAAAAAGGTTACTCTTTCTAAATGTATTCATTCCAATCGAAAGTATTTTTTAAAATATTTTTGTTTGTTTTATTTAAAAATATTTATTTTTTATTATAATAAAAATAATTACATATTAATATCAAATGCACTTTAATTTTTACATAAATTAAAAATATATTGTTACAAATACAATTAATTTATACATTTAAGTACAAATGATAAAAATATCAAAATCATTTTATACACTCACACTAATTAATAAAATATCATATTTTTTTTTATGTATTACTCCCTCCATCCCACATAATTTGTCTCTATTTTCTATTTTCGTCCGTCCCACATAACTTATCATTTTCTTTTTTGGAAATATAATTATACACTTTAATTACATTTTAAACTTTATATTTTATAATTTTTTTAATCTAAATTAAAGTATTTAGTTATCTTAATCTTAATCTATAATTATTTTTACTATACAACAATTATTTTTACTAATATATTTTTTAATTACTTACTAATCATACTTTACCTAAATTCTCGTGTCTACATTAACCGCCCAAATTATCTAGGATGAAGGGAGTATAAAAATTCAAAATGCTATTTTAGATTGGGATGAATGAAGTATTTTTAATCTACTAGTACTCCTTCCGTCCCATAATAAGGTATTCATTTACCTTTTGTATCATTGTACTTAACGTTAAAAATATCCTTATATTTGTATAATTTTTTATACAAATATCATTATATTAATATTATAAATATTTTTGCAATTTTTCCTTGATTTGTAATATGTTTTGATATAATAATTAATATCCAAAGATCAACACGCAAAAAGTAAATGAATACTTAGTTATGGGACGGATGAAGTATTATTTTTTAATTTAGAATTTTTTTATGTCTTTTTTGAACTATATTTGGGTAAATATTAAATATATATATATATATATATTTATATATATCTACAAATAATAACACTAGTGAAACCGATTCTAAATTTTATTGAGTTTGGGTTGATGCAAGTTAACTTGTTTGTTAACAATAAAACTAATGTTATGTATTACACCATAAAATATATATATATATATATAAATTGAAATTTAGATAACAGAAAAGAAAAAATAAAAAAATAAAAAAAAGGAAGAAATAAAAATTTAATCCTATAATTTACCCATATTTCGAAATAATAATAGATTCATACGTCCCAATTTTAATAATGTTTATATTTATATACTCCATTCGTATCATATCTATTTATTCATTTATTTTTTATAAGAAGTTTTAAAAATATTAGTATTATATTAAAATATAATATAAATAAAAGTTAAGAAGATTAAATTTAACCTTATTAGTATTGTATGATATAAATGTAATGATATTTGTGTAATATATTGTAAATTAGAAGGGTATTTGTAATGTTAGATAAATAATACAATTACTAAAAAAAATAATAATAATACTTTATCACTTGAGACATATAAAAATGAAAAAATAAATAGATTTTGTAGGAATTGAGAGAGCATGTGATACTCATATATAACTTACAAAAAATTAAATAAAATTTGTTTAATTTTTATTTGAAATTAGAGTGGTGATTTAAATTTTAATTTAAAGAGTATTTTAATGTGATATTTTATAATTAAAAATAATATTTTTTTCCGTCCCAAAACTATAGTCTGAGTTGTGTTTGACACGAATGGGTAAAAAGTAAGGATAAAATACTTTTTTGCCCTTACGAGTGTATTAGTGTAAAAAATAGTCGTAATTGTGTAATAATAATGAAAAAGTAGATGTAGTTTTATAGTGATACGATTATTTATGAAAATTAGACTATTATTTTGGGACGGACAAAAATAGTAAATAAAATTATTGTATTGGGACGGAGGGAGTAACTTTTTAAACACAACCTAAATTATAATCTATAAATTTAGGACTTTTGAAATGCAATCTAAACATAATCTATATAAAATATTAAAAAATAATAAATATCTCCAGATCATTGGAGTAATATATATATATATATATATAATAAATATAATGATTGGTCACAATAACAATGAAGGACCATATGACTTTTTGGATGGGCTAAGGATTTTATTACACTTATATATATATCATTATTGGGATGTCATTACTCATTATTGTTGGCCCCATTCTAAACTTTTTATTCAATGTACAAACATATTTGCATTTTTTGTAATCTATTTATATTTATATATTTATAAATTTTAGTACTATTTGATAATAATATAATTTTTTTAATAAAATATCAAATTAAATATTTATTTTTTTAACAAAATATTATATTATATTTTAGGAAAAAAATCAATTTTGATCTCAATATAATCAAATTTTATCAATTTTGGTCTCAATATAAAAACTCATCAATTTTGGTCTAATTATAAACAGTTTCAATCAATTTTGGTCTCATTATAAATAATTTCAATCAATTTTGGTCCCACCAAGAAAAAACTAACGAAAATTGCTGACCTATAAAGTACACGGCCATGTACAATTATACACAGTCATGTTGTTATACGACCGTGTATATTTCAGTATATAATTATACATTGGCATGTTGTTACACAGTCATATATAATTTTACACGGCCGTGTACATTTATGTTTTAGTCTAAAATTTTATTTTTTTGTTATATTTTTTTTAAAAAAAAAAGTTGAATTAAAATAATTGATATAGTTAAAATTGACAAAATCAATAGTAATCATAACATAATTAAAATTTATCAATTTTAATTCAAGTATAAAAATTTATAAGATATTTTTTTAAAAAAAATTTGTCTAAAATTCTATTATTCATAATAGAAATGTTCTCTTACAAACATTCAATTACACAACTATTTTGTAAATTTGTATATTATAGTAGTATTACAAATTAATTTATTATTTCAATACAATAATTGGATGTTTGTAAGAGAATTTTTTTTTTTTTATGGTAGATAGTAAATTTTTAGACAAAATATTTCAAAAGAACAAACTCGATAAATATTTATATTTGAACTAAAATTGATACATTTTAATTATATTATTATTATTATTATTATTTTCATTTTAACTATATCAACTATCCTAAATTTTAAAAACAAATTAAAAAAATAACAAAAAAATACCGAAACATAAAGGTACAGGACCGTGTAGAATTATACATGGCCGTGTAACAACATAGTCATGTATAATTATACACTGAAATATACATTGTCATGTAACAACTTGGCCGTGTATAATTGTACATGGCTTTGTAATTTCCATGTCAGTTGCCATGTCACTTCCGTTATGTCCACGTCAACAATTTTCGTTAATTTTTTAACGGTAGGACCAAAATTGATTGAAATTGTTTATAATGAGACCAAAATTGATTGAAAATATTTATATTTAGACCAAAATTGATAAATTTTAGTTATATTGAGACAAAAATTGATTTTTCCCTATATTTTATGATGTAAAAGGATAAATTATATTGAAAATTTAATACTCCCTATGTCTACTTCTAAGGATCACATTTACCTTTTGACGCTACTGTACTTAACATTAAAAATATCATTATATTTGTATATTATTTTGTATAAATGTCCTTCTATTAGTATTATAAGACACTGGTGAAAGTATTTATGTAATTTTTCCTTAATTTGTATTATATTTTAACATAATAATTAATATTTAAATATCAACACGCAAAAAGTAAATGAAACATTTAGAGTCGAACCGAAATAGTATATGATATTCAATTGAAAGATTTGCCTAACATTTTAAAATTTATATGATATTTCATAAATGGTACTCTATTTGTTCCCGAACAAAACTGTCTATCCGATTGGATGCGAAATTTAAAGAATAATGATATTATATTAATAGTTGGTAAAAAATATTAGTAAAATTACTTTTGTCCTTGTGAGTATTTTTGCATATAAAATAATGACATTTGTATAATAATAATGAAAAAAATAAATGTAATTTTAAGATAATAAAATTATTAATAAAAATAAAACTATTGTGTTACGATGGACACAAGTAACATAATATGACTATTGAATTGAGACGAATAAAATATATACTTTTTAATTTAATGATTATTTGATGTAATATAAATAGCTATTAATATAATATTTGCATGTAAATATATTTTTTAATATAATATAAAAAATATAAATATTTGATCTGATTATTTTATAAAAATTATAATAAAATAATAAGAAATCTTAAAAAATACAAAAAGAACACAAGCGCTATGGTAAATCTAACGAGTTCACCTGACACCACTGTACCATTACCCTTTATATATATATATATATATATGTAAATATAAATATATATTGTGATGTAATAATGTTGATATATGAATAGTGGATTTGGTCATGTATGAAATGATGACGGTTTACACCAACTATTTTACTCTATCTGTCCTAATACAATAATCATATTTATCATTTTTGTTCGTTCCAAAACAATAGTTTCATTTCTATAAATAATAATATCATTATAAAATTACCTTTATTTTTTCATTATTATTACACAATTGTCACTACTTTTTATACTAATACACTCACATGGGCAAAAAAAATTTTTACCTATACTTTTTATCCACTATCAATACAATATCAATATTCCTTAAATTTCGTTTCAAACACAATCCAAACTATAATTTTGGAACGGAGGAATATTACTCCCTCTGTCCCAAACACCGTGTCTGCTATACTGTAGACACGGTATTTTAGGAGCGGTGTAATTAATAGATAATTAAGAATATATTAGTGAAAATAATTATCCTATAATATAAATAATTATAAATTAAAATTAAGATAACTAATTAGTTTAATTAAAATTAAAAAATAAATTAAAAATTTTAAAATGAAATTAAAATGGGTAATCATTTTCCAGAAAAAGGAAGTGATATGGTATGTGGGACGGACAGAAACGATAACGTGGATATGGTATTTGGGACGGAGGGAGTATAAATAATGATAATAAATTATGGGTACAATTTCTGTATTAGTTATCAATATTTTATGAATAACACAATTATTTATTTATATTTTATTAAGTATATACTATTATCTATTTAACTTTTGCTTATTATCCAATCCATATAAAATTTTAAAAGACATGTAAAAAATATTTAAATGCCTAGGAATTAAAGAGAGTCGTTTTTACTGCTCCCTCCGTTCCACGTAATTTGTTCTTATTTTTTATTTTCGTATGTCCCATGTAATTTGTCCTTTCTTTTTTTGAAAAATTAATTATATATTTTAATCATATTTTAATATTTTAAAATTTAAAATTTAAATTTTTTAATCTTAATTAAATTATTTAGTTATTTTAATTTTAATCTATAATTATTTTTACTAAATAATAATTATTTTTACTGATATATTTCTTAATTATTTACCAATTATACTTTAATTAAATTTTTGTGTCTACAGTAATACACCCATATTACATGGGACGGAAACAGTAATATTGAAAATATAAAGTGAAGTCGACAGGACTATATATGCAATTGAAAAAAACAAAATAAGAGTTAATTTATTTTGTTTCAAATTATTAATGTGCCTTTATTTTGTAAAATTATTGAAAATTAGATTATTTTATGTTAAATATAAAGAATTGCATAGAAACTATAAAAATAATAATGAATGTATTGTATTAATTTTTTTTGAAAAAAATATGTAAAAAATACTAGTATTTATCAATTATATCATTTCCCAAAATACAAAAATCAGTAAATATTAATATATTTGTTAATAAAAGTTAATAAAATTATAATTATATTGGGACGAAGGAAATATAATGCATCCATGTTTAGATTTTGTGTTTGTTTGGAATTTGAATTATTATATTAGATTTTAATAAAATTAATTTAATTTTTTTTAAAAAAATAATTATTTGATTTAATATTTTTTTAAATTTTTTTTATAAATTTATCACTGCAATTTTATATATATATTAATTATATATGTATGCATAATAATAATAAAAGGAGTGGTGAGCAATGGCGTAATGGATGATGGAGGATTGATCGACACTTGAAAGATATTATATATATATATGTATTAAATATTTTAAAATATAAATATATATTTTTAAAAATTAATATTTCCTCTCTCCGAGCTTTTTATGTGTTATGTTGTTAGACAAAAAAAAAAAATTAATGAAAGTTACATTTTATTATATTAGTGAGATATATTAAAAAATAAAATAAATATATTATAAATAATTATTAAAAATAATAAAATATTTTGAGTTAATTGGAAAAAAAATATTCCTACCGTCCTATTAAAATTTTACTATTTTTTATTTTTATTTCAAAATAAAGTTATAATTTTCTAATTTAATTATTATATTACCTAATATAATAAATACAATTCTAATTTATAATATATTATACAAATACTATTATTTTTATATCACACAATACTAATAAAAATATTTTTATTTATTTTTTATTATAATTAAATATAATATTAATATTAAAAAATTTATGAAAAAAAATAAATAGTCATTTTTTAATAGGTGGAAGGGGAGTATACTATATTCACTCTAAAATTAATAATAATGTAGTAACCGAATGGTTGCAGTCAACATATGTACTCATACCCACACACTATGTGAGAGAGAACAAACAATTGCCCACATTTCTCTGGCAGGTCCCGGGATCTCAACTCTCAATAAGTCCAAATTATAATCCCACATCAGCTAACCATTGGGATCATCCAGGACCTCGACTCCTAGTAGCTCGAAATATTCAGATAAATACATACATAGCAAAATCCCCTCCTCACGTGCCACCCCCTCTCTTTTAATATTCAACTTTGTCACCTTTTTTTTTAAAAAAAAATAAAAATAAATAAATAAATAAAACATTCTCGTTAATTGCTTTTCTTTTACACAATCATAGCTCATCCCCATTGCATTATTGAACCCGATCCCATATCATAAGCCCCTCAAATGTTTTTAAATTTTTATTACTCTTTTCGTCTTAATACAATAATTTTATTTATTATTTTTGTTCGTTTTAAAATAATAGTATTATTTTCATAAATGATCATATTATTATAAAATTACCTTTACTCTTTCATCATTATTACACAATTGTCACTACTTTTTACACTAATACACCTACAAGGTCAAAAAGGTTTTTTATTTATATATTTTACCCACTATCAATATAATACCATTATTCCTTAAATCTCATGCCCAACACAAAAGGACTATAGTTCTAGGATAGAGGGAGTATATTTTTTTATAAAATTTTGAAATAATAATACTATCTATCTTTACAATTTACAATATATTATAAATGTCATTACCTTTGTATCACACTAGACTAATAAAATTATTTTAATTATTTTTAGTTTATTTCTATATTTTAATATAATATTAATATTTTTAAAATTTTGTATAAAAAATAAACGGATACATAATTATGAAACGAGGCGAATAAAGTAATTAAAAAAGTGAGTGTTGATTGGAGTGAAGTGAAAAAGCTACTGGCAAGAATATTAAAAAGAAGAAAGCACATTTGCATCTGTATGTATTGTCTTGTGCCTGAAAAAAAATACTTTTTTATTTTATTTATTTATTTAAGTGCCCATCTCTTCTTCCCACATAAAAACCACTACTTTGATTCCCTCTCTCTCTCTCTCTCTCTCTCTCTCTCTTTCTCTCTCTCCTTTTTTTTTTTTTTTTTTAATTTTACTGAAATTCGTGCTAGTTTTGGTCCTTCATTTCAAACCCCTTTTGATTTTTTGAAGCTTCAATTAATCCAATCGGTTCTTCAGTTATATTGGCTACCGCTCTTTGTATTGTTTAATTTTGATGAATTGTTGATTGAAACTCGAATAATTCCTGAATTAATTTTCGAAAAAACTTTTCTGATTAGAACAATCGATGTAAGAATTTCTTACAGCCATGGCGGCGAATGCTCAAAGCGGGAGTAAGATTGAGAAGCCGATTGTCGGTCCGAATGGGGGCGGAGATGGTGAAGGGAAGCCCGCCGCCACTTTCCATGACTTCCTCGGAAATAAAGGCGGCGGCGGCGGCGGCCAGGAGCCTATTCCGCCGCCGCCGGAGGTGTCGCCGTCGGCCACTTCTGATCTGGGCTCTGGTAAGAAGAAAGAACTGCCCCAAAACCATTCCCCTCCCCTTGGAGTTTTTAACCAATTTTTAGGATGATTTTGTTCAATTTTGCTAGCAATTGATGCAGTGGCCTTGATTATTACATCCTCGTTTAGATTTTTTAGTTATTACTATTAGCATTGTTTAGCCCTAATTTGTTGCTGTCCGCCATTGTTGTGAGCTTCTAAATGTGTGTTTGGTAGTTTAAGTTTGGTATTGGGAGTGGTTTCATTTGAGGTCATTTTGGAGTTGTTGCTTTATGCCTTTTTTGGCATTTGCTACCGAAGCTGCTGATTGTTTCGATTTAGTTTCGAATTCGGAGTTTCGGATTTCGGATATCTTGAATATTGATCATTAAGATAGATAGATATGTGTATGCCCAAATGAACCAATGTCTTAATTGAGGATAATGCTGTTGTTTTATCTTAAGGTAAATTATATAACATCCGCATCGTGTTTCAATAAAAATGCATGTGTTATTTATTGCATGAAACTTTCTTGTATTTATTCTAACTTATATTTGGTTGTAAATATGGACTTAAATTATGCAATTTTTACAAAATAAAATAAGTAAAATATATTAAAGTCTTTTTTGATTGAAATAAATACATGAATAATTGATCAATCTTTCGTTTTTATAGTTTTTTAAAATCACATAACAATTTATCTCCAAAAAAACTATAAAATGGAGTACTAATAGATATTTACTTATTTATTATATTAAAAAATGACTTTTATTTGTCATAATTAAGTTCATATTTATAATAAAATATCAATTTTGGACGAATTGGGTGTTCAGTGCAAATTTTACATTAACAGATATGAATTTCATCGCAGTAAATAAAATACAGAGTGTTTTGTACATTTTTACTAATATAAGGTGTTATTAATTTATCATTTTGTCTTTATGACATTTTCTGATGATATGTTAATCGGGTTGAATTCCGTCAGAAAGACTCGCCGGAAATCATTTGGAAGGGATAGCGTGCTACGCGTCGAGAGGCGACATTGCGGGGCGAGAGAGTAGCAATCGTTTCGCTCGAAACAAGAGGAGCAGCTCGGATTCATTTATAGACAAATTCCAGCCAGGACAATTGGATTCGCAAGACGGCGCAATTCTGACAAAGGTTCGATGTTCAGTTGCGACGTAATAATTCCACATATTCTTGCGATGTAATAACATTCGGAGCGTTTTCTTAACTCGTTTCTCAGCTGCTTCGATACTCCGGGGCAGAGCAGCCTAGACGGCTCCCCGACGAGGAACCGTCCTTTGTAATGAATCAAATGAGACCGATTTCGATCTCCACCAGATCCGACGCGAATCCTTCCAAATGGGATCGAACGGCTGCAATAAATCCCGGTCACATTTTGCAATATCCTCCGCGGACAGGACAGGTAATACCGTTGGGCTATCAAGCCGCGCCTAATAGGATTAAAGAGTCGAATGTGGGCCCGGCTCTCGTTGCGCAGACGGCGGCGGACGAAGGATCAAGGACAGGAATTAAAGGGTCCGGAATATTAAGCTCGATAAATGCGAGCGGCAGCGGAGGAGCAGTGGCGGCGAGGCAGCCGGCGGGTGTGCTAATTCGAAGCGGAAAACAGAAGTCCGGTGTCGGGATTTCCGAACCGGAGTCTTCTGCTGCTGCGGCATTCAGGTTAATTTTAATCTTAACCATGATTGAGTAGTCGGCGTCGATGAATTCTCGACGAATTTTAATTGAGCCGAATGAGCTGTGGTTTTTGTAAATTTTTGGTTAATCTTAACCATGATTGAGTAGTTGGCGTCGACGAATTTTAATTGAGTCTAAAGAGCTGTTTTGTTTGTAAATTCTTGGTTAAGATCGGTGTCGACGAATTTTCGACGAATTTTAATCGAGCCTAATGAGCTGTGGTTTTTGTAAATTTTTCGACAGCCACCGCGGAACAGAGTCGGTTGGTCGGCAAATGACCATATTTTACGGCGGCCAAGCTCATGTCTTCGACAATGTTCATCCTAATAAGGTTTGTTTTCTGTTTTATTTTCGACTACTTTGGATTTGTTCTTTTTCGTGTTTTTTTGTTGGTTTTTAGGTGAAATAATAGTTGGATAAGATGTTTTATATGAAAATTTAGGACGTTTTCATTGGGAGCAATGATATTGTATAGTAAAAAATGATGCAAAAAGCTAAAGAAGAATTTAAACTTTTAGGCATCGGAAAAATGCGATTTTTGTCGCGGTTATTGCATCTTAGTATGTGCCGTAACATGTTTTTATGTTAATTCAAATTTGCCGGACTTTGGCCTTGTTTAGGAGATAGTAATATTATTACCGGTGCATAGCTGCGACTAAAACGATATATGTTGCGCGGATTATAACTGGATGCTTTCAATTCATAATATGTACGATGTTGTATTAACATATGATATGTGCGTCATGTGTTATGAATAATGATTAGACAACACATTTCTTCTCTTTTTTGAACAAGATATCGATGAGAATGTTGCGCCTATTCGAAGAAATTGATTGGTTTCGGACATAGCATTCTTGCGGTTAACATCGTATGATCTTTGTCTGCTGTCGGGACAATCTTCGACTAAATATTTCGAAATTCTTTCTTGCTCGACAATAATCCTTAGTTTGTTGTCGAAATCAGGCAGATGTAATAATGGCTTTAGCTGGATTGAACGGCGGGTCTTGGTCGACGACATACAAACCTAATTCGGCGGGGAGGCAGCCGCCGTCTGCCGGAGAAAATCGCAATGCGGACTCCGCCGCCGGAATGTCGGTGCAGGGGAAGCCGTCTGAGAAAGGAGAGTCGCACTGAGGGGATCGAAGGTTTGTTCTAAAGTCGTGTTTTGGGATTGAATGGCTGCAATTTAATGTGATGTTCGATTATTACAAGAATGAATGAATGAATGATGAGAACTTTTGAATTGATGTACTTTTTGCTGTGGTTTTCTTGCCGGCGCGCCGTGCCTTGTCTTGTGGGAGCTATTTTATTTTAATATATATCGGTGGATTGAAGTTAATTTTTTTTTTGAAAATTTTCTTACTGATATCATTATATACTTTTTTTTTTTTTTTTTTTTTTTTTTTTGTGTTCAAACTAATTTGTCAAATTTAATCTAGGCACAGTCTTTAAGTTATTATATAATTATGAAATAATTAATAAATATATTAGTAAAAATAATTATGATTTAATAAAAATTATTATAAATTAAGATTAAAATAATTATATAGTTTAATTAAAATGAAAAAAAAATATAAATTATGAATTTTAAAATATAATTAAAATATAAAAAAAAATAACAAAATATGTCAAATGGACAAAATAGAAAAAATGTACAAATTAAGTGCACAGATAAAGTATAAAATATTATAGATTAACACATAATAGTATTTAATTGTAAGATGTTTTGATATTTTTGTTATAAAATAATTAATGTTTGTAATTTAAGTAAAAATTAAAAAATATTTTTATATTAGTGTATGATTATTTTTTCTAAAACACAAAATATGTATTTGTGAATAAAAGGGACGAAAATATTAAAAATAGTAGTTTGAATTGAGACGAAGAAGAGAGTAATATATATATCAATTTTTTTTTATGTTGAGAGGATTCTTCTTGACTTTACAATTTATCAATTATTTCGATAATATGTTACTCATCCGTCCCACTCCAAATAGATCATTTGGAGTTTTGTAATATATTAAAAATAATAATATTTTATTAATTAGTAAAAAAATATACTAAGATATTTTAATATTTTTGTTATTTGACTTTATGTATAAATTAAATGTATGTATATATATATTTGTAATTTAGATAAAAATAAAAAATATTTTGATGTTAATGTATAATTATTTTTACTAAAATATAAAAGTGATACTTTTTGAATAGAACGGACAAAAATAATAAAAAATACTTTTAAATTGAGACGGAGAGAGTATTATTATTATTATTTATTGATTTATTTATTATTATTATTATTTTTCACGATGTATTATTTCACATACCAAAAACACTAAGGTGAGGGAAAACAAACAAATCTGTAACATGACATAACAGTGACATAATTGTATTTGTGTCCAATACTGTTAATTTGTTTTTTTATTTTTTGTTTTTTTATTTTTTTATTTTTATTTTTGATCGGTCCTTCGACCTTTCTATCACTGTTTTTTTTATCTTTGTCTTATTATAATTTATACATTCATATATATTTTCACTTTTATTTCCACAGCTTTTTCGGACTTAATTTCACCTTCTTTTCTTTTTTTTTTTTTTTAACCACAGTAAATGAGTAATATTTAAAAAAATATACTTACCTCTATGTCCAACGCAATTATAGTTCTTCTTTCTTTGATTTCTTTTTATTGTATTCTCTCCGTCCTATAAGTAATATTCATTTGCTTTTTCACATAGTTTTAAAAATATTAATATTATATTGGGATATAGTATGAATAAAGTAGAAATGACTAAAATAACCTTATTAGTACGTGTGATACAAAGGTAATGACATTTGTGTAATATATTGTAAGTTTGAAGGGTATTTGTAATGTTAGTTAGATAGTACAATTATTAAAAAAAGAAATTGATACTTTGTTATGGAACGGACTAAAATAAAAAAATGAATACTTTGTTATGAGACAGAGGAGTGCAATTCTTTCGTGTTACTATTATAAACAAAAAAAAAACAATATTTCAAATATCACATTAAATAATGGTTGAAACCAAAATATAATGGTTCAAATATTTATTTTTTATTTTTAAATAGTTATAGTTAGAAATTTTGGGGGAAAATAATGAAATTGTCTTATTGTCATCAAAATAAGGGGTTATATATAGGCAATAATACTAAGTAATCTAATCTATAGATAAGACCAAATCTAAATATAATTATACTAAATTTAAAACCGAATATCTAAAATATCTCAACAGTTATATTAAAATTATACTGTTTTATTTAAAATATTGTAGTAAATATTTATTTATATTACATTAAATAATTATTTAAATTTTAATTTTGATTTAAATTATTTTAAAATATATACATACAGTTAAACACAACCAAACAAAAATTTGCAGCTTACAAATGAACCACCAGATCTTCGAGCTACCAGTCACTATTGTACCTTTTTTTTATTTTAAAAAATTAAATAAATTAATTGGTTTTAACTACTCAATTTGAAATGAATTGGCCTCATCTACGTATATAAATTTTGAAAGTTTTAGAAATAGTAAAAATTATATATTTAATTTGATATTTTATAATATATATATATATATATATAAAGGTTTGTTTAATTTTGGTCCAAAATTAAATCAACACTATGTAATAAGAAATACTCACCCCGATGTTTTTGAAAGGGTCAGTTAGATATTGTAATAGATTAAAAAATAATACTCCCTCCGTTCCAAAAGTATAGTTTTATTGTATTGAACACGAGATTTAAAAAATATTGATATTATATTGGTAGTTGGTAGATAGTAAAAGTTAAATGACTTTTTTTTTTTTTTTTCCTTTGTGAGTATATTAATGTAAAAAATAGTGACAATTGTGTAATAATAATGAAAAAGTAGGGATAATTTTATGATGATATGATTATTTATGGAAATGAGACTATTGTTTTGGAACATACAAAAATGGTAAACAAAACTATTGTATTGAGACGGAGGGAGTAGTATTTTATTATTTAATGAAAGTGAGTAAGGAAATTTGATATTTTTGTCATTTGCTTTTTGTAGAAAGTAATTATACGTGTAATGGTATATTTGTAATTTAAGTAAAAATTAAAAATATTTTAGTATTAATGCATGATTATTTTTTCTAAAATAGAAAAGAGATAATTTTAAATGAGATAAAAAAATAAAATAAAATTGAATTAAGACGGATGATATTACATTAAAATATTAATTAAATTAATGATTTTTTATTATCTTTTTGTTTTTATTTGAGTTTGGAGGTTTTGATTTTAAATTTGATTTAAATAATATTTTGATAATATATTTGGTAAAAAAAATAAAAATTATGTATTTCTATTTAGAACCATATACACTGAATGCTATCCATTTGTATATAAAATACAAATCAAACACACCCCCAATATTCAAATAAAGAACAAACCTTATGGTACAAAAATAAAATTAAAAAGAACACACTTTTTTTTTTTATCTTTTCTTATATACACATTAAATATATATTTTATTTATTAAAAAAAAAAAGTAATAATTTAACACAAAATATTATTTTTTATACTATCAATATAATTATGGTATGTATCTAATATTTAAAATACATACATAAAATGATAGTATACTAATATATTAAACTAAATATTAGTATAAATATTATTGATAATATTATTAATATCATACTAATAACAATATATTACTATCTTACAATGTAATTTTAATTTATTACTGTTTAGGGAATAATTTTTGACACACTTCTCGATTAATCTTAATAAAAAGATACAATATATATAATGCATATGTTATTCATTCACAATAAATTAATAATTCAATAAAAAAAAATATTCTCTTCCTCCAAACTAATTATGTAATTTTGTTTGGATAGAGAAATTAAAAAGTAATAATATTTTAATATAAAATAGGTAAAAAATAAAATGATGTATTATAGAAGGTTTATTGAAGAAACAAATTAATTTGTTAAAATAAGAGTAATGAAACTATAGGTGAATAAATGTATTTTATTATAAATTGATTGAATATAAATTTAACCAAAAAAAAATGTGACATAATTATACAGACGGATAAAGTATTATTTGTTTTATTAATGGCATTCCATACATAAAATAAAAATATTTCAAATTAAAAAACTAAACAAACACACTTATTCCATTTTTTTTCTAATATAATAGAAAAAAAAAAAAAAAAAACTCTTAAACCCATTACTTTTTATTGACATTAATCATGATATTGTATAAAGTGTAGTGATATTTATTTATTAAAGTAAATAGTACTTTTATTTTATTTTTAAAAAATAGAATACAATTGAGTTGGACAAATAAAATGACAAAAATTATACTATTTTCTGTCCCGATCTAAATGAGCTATTCGAGATTTTGTAGTAAATTAAGAAATAGTAATAATATTTTATTAGTGAATAAAAATGTGTAAGAGATTTTTGACAAATTTGTCATTTGACTTTATATAAAAAATAATTGAACGTATAATAATATGTTTGTACTTTAGGTAAAAGTTAAGGGTATTTGGTATTAGTGTACGATTACTTTTACTAAAATAGAAAAGAGATATTTTGAATTGAGACGGACGAAAATACTAAAAATGATGATTTGAGTTGGGACGGAAGAAATATATAATTCAGAGAAATAAAGTAATATATTTTAAATATTATATTGATGAATATTTATAAAATAAAATTATAACACGGATAAATATAACCTAAATTATTTATTTTAAAAAATAAACATAATACTTACATTACTATATACACACAATATTGTAATATTCTTCAATGCAGTAGTGTAATAAATTGTATAATGTATTTTAATAGAATAGACACTTCCTCGTATCTATTATAATAAAAATAAATAAAAGTAAAAATATTAAACAATCATGCATAATATTTTAAATAATATATATTTAATATTTTATTTGTTTGAGTTCAAGTTATTTATTTAATTTTTGCACGTTGATTTAGATATATATTAATATTTTATAAATATATAGTATAATAAGATAATGTAAAATTTTAAGACATTATTGAAATTTAAAGAATAATAAAAAGAAAGTAAATAGTATTTTAATATTTAATTAAAAGATAATTTAAGTAAAAAATAATACTTGAACACATGAAAGTACTCCCTTCGTCCCACATAATTTGTTCATATTTTCTATTTTCGTCCGTATCATATAATCTGTCCATTTCTTTTTTTGAAATATAATTATACACTTTAATCTCATTTTAAATTTTAAAATTTTTTTAATCTTAATTAAATTATTTAGTTATTTTAATCTTAATCCACAATTATTTTTATTATACGATAATTATTTTTATTAATACACTTTTTAATTATTTACTAATCACACTTTACCTAAATTCTCTAATATACAGTAATAGGCCCATAATACATGAGACGGAGGGAGTAATAAAATAAATATTTTGACTAGGACATATTGAGTATAATATATTTTTAAAATAAATAATGAATATTACCAAAAAAATAATTTTAAAATACGGATAAGCACTATCCAAACAATTTATTCCAAAAATAAACATAATATTACATAGATACACACAATATCGTAATATTCTCACAGTATAACATATTTTAATAGAAAAGACATTACTGTAGTCCTAATATAACGACTAAAATAATAATTTTATTACCATAACATAAAATAATATTTAATATTACAACAATAACATTTTCAAATTCAATTTTTTAATTCAATTCATTACCGAAAGCGGTCGTATTCTCCGCATATATATATACGGCCACTCCCAACCCAATAAATCACCAAATATCAGCAAATTAATTAATTAATTAATTTAAAAAAAATCCAGCTCAGCAATGGCAGCCGTCGCGCCGGAAAAAAACCCTCTCCGCCCCCTCGACTACACCGCCGCCGGCGACGTCCCCGACAGCCATGTCTGGTTCCCTTTCGACGAGTCCAAGCTTAACGACATCTCCGGCACGCCGGCGGACGTCGCCGTCCCGGTAATCGATTTGGCGGCGCCGCTGGCGGCGCAATTCGATAAGGTCAGAATCGCCTGTGAAAAAACCGGTATGTTTCAGGTGATCAACCACGGCGTCCCGCCGGCGGTCATCGCCGCCGCCGAGGAGCAGTGCCTCCGCCTCTTCAACCTGCCGGCGGAGCTTAAACAGGCGGCGCTCCGCCAGCCCGGCCCCGGCTCCGCCGGCTACGGCCACATTCCGATCCAGCCGTTTTTCGCGAAAAAAATGTGGCACGAAGGCTTCACCATCCACGGCTCCCCGGCCGACCTCGTCAAGAACTACTGGCCGGAGACTTACCTCGAGTTCTGGTAATTAATGCGCCATCATTAATGCTCTTTTGCTGTGCTGATCTAAATCTAATAAATTTAAAACTAAATATCAATCAACAGCGACGTGATGGACACGTACCAGAACGCGATGCACGAGCTAGCGAGGAAAACGGCGATCATGATTCTTGAGTCGATGGGCGCAGCCGTCGCCGGAAATATCGATTTGGCGGCGTATATGGGGACTCGGGCATTACAGCTGAATTATTACCCGGTTTGTCCGGACCCGACCCACGCGTTGGGGTTGGCGCCGCATACGGACACGACGGTGGTGACGGTGTTGCACCAGAACTACGAGGGGTTGCAGGTGTTCGAGGAGGGGGAGGGGTGGGTGGAGGTGAGCCCGGTGGCGGGGGGGCTGGTGATAAACATTGGGGATTTTTTGCACATGATGTCCAACGGTCGATTCGCGTCGGCGCTGCACCGCGTGATTCCGGACAAGATGAATGAGAGGATTTCGATGGCGTTTTTCACGATGCCGTTGCCGGAGCAGGTGGTGGCGCCGCTGATGCTGAAGTCGGTGCCGTTTCCGAAGTTCCGGTCGGTGGCGATGAAGGATTTTATGAAGGTTAAGTATGAGCAGCTCTACAAGGCTATTCCGATGATGAAGATTGCTTGAAATTAATATTATAATAATAATTATTATTATTATTATGAGTATTATGTATGAGGGAGGGAGAGTGAGGGATGAATAATTTAGATTGTGATGATGGTTGTATGAAAATTATTGACAAATTTAAGCTTTTGCTTAGATTTGTTGATGATATATATATATATATATATTTATATATGAGATGTTATTATGATATGTGTTGATCTTGTGTGATGTTTTGTGTTTTTCATTTTAGCTTAAAGTTTGTGTGTTTTTTTTTTTTTTTTTTTTTTTATAGATTTGGCGCAACGACTTCTCGCAAGATTTTATTTGCTATCGAAATATGCAAGAAACATTGAGACATTATGCGATTGAAATAATGGTCGACGAATCTTTGCCTCTAACATAGTCGTGATATAAAATTAGGGGAGAGCATTCAGAGATTTGATTCAGGTTTGACAAAATTCGAACCCATTTGAAAATTCAATTTTTTTAAAGAAAAAACAATCATATCCGAGTCTAAAGGTTCTAAATTCGAAATTTGAATTATATTCAAATCAAATTGAAAATTCAAAATTTGAGAACCTAAAAAATGAAAATTTCATAGTATATTTAAAAATTCAAGAAATTGATAATTAGAAAAAAGTATCATAGTTGTGGAAATTATGGCAAGTTTAAATTTTGTGATTTTGAAAGATTTAAGATAGCAATTTGGTGACCATATTCAAAACACAAATATATTTTTACTTAAAACATTTTATATTATACTATTATAAGGTGGATTTATAAGATGAGCATATCATTTTGAAGTTAATTATTTTTTAAGAAGGGTTGATATTTATTTTTTTGTTATTTATTTATTTATTTATTTTTTAGATGATTTGAGAATCCGGAGCAAATATTTTTGGGTAAGTGGTTAAAAATTAATTGTCAATTTTTTTAAGGAAAAAAAAAGGGGTAAGTGGTTAAAGATTAATTGTATTTAAAAAATTAAATCGGGTAAGTTGTTTGTAGGTTTTTAATTGCTTGTGCTATTTAGTTTTTTTCTCTCTTAAAATACTTAAATTGAAATTAATATATTAAATCAAATATTCCTTATATATATTATATTATGGGTGTGGTTATTTTAAAAGTGAATGTGTTTAATTTTATGTTAGATACCGTATTAATAATATAAAAATATAATATTTTATATTAACTTATTAATTTTAATTAATTATTTATTTATTACTATTTCTAAACACGAAACAGTGGCAAACAAACAAAACTTATGTCGCGTCATGAGCAGCAAGGCCAAAGAAACACATTTTCAGATTTGTCTTCAGCCTGCCAAACTATTGTTTTTCCCACAGGTCCACAAAAAATAAATAAATAAATAAATAAAATACACAGAATATAATATGTGTGACATTTTTATTTATTTATTATTATTTTTTTTTTATTATTCGATAGATTCTAATACTTGTGAAATCTTTTTAACATTTGAAACAACAACTTGTTTTTAACAAAAAATGAAAAAGGAGTATTTATTTTTTATACATAAAATTATGCAATTTTTATTTTTTTTTAAAAAAAAACACACACACCTCAATCTAACAATAATTAAATAAAAACCAACATTATTATTAGGCGAAAGTAAATGTTATAGATTTAGTTCTATTTCTCTATGGATCATATTTATTTTCTGCGTTTGATTTTTAAATATTAATTATTATATTAGAACATAGTACAAATTAAAAAAAAAATTACAAAAATATTTTCGATTAGTATCTTATAATAACATTTGTACAAAAAATTAGAAAAATATTTTTAATATTAAATGTAAATGTGACCTTAGAGGCGGATGGAATATTTTGTATTCATCTACCGTTACTTATTTTATACTCTCTATCCCACTTGAATAGTTTAAAAGCTTTTACATTATACTCCCTCCGTCCCAATACAATAGTTTTGTTTATCATTTTTGTCCGTCCTCTTGTTTCCACAAATAACCGTATCACTATAAAATTATCTTTACTTTTTTGTTATTATTACACAATTATCACTACTTTTTACACTAATACACTCATAAGGGAAAAAAAGTATTTTACCTGTACTTTTTACCCACTACCAATATAATATCAATATTCCTTAAATCGTGTCAAACTCAACCCAAACTATAGTTCTACACGGAGGGAGTATTAAAAAATAATATTATTATACTGATAAGTATATTACTTATTTTTTTTATATTAAACAATTATTTAAAATATAACCTACCAATTCAACATAAAATCCACGTGTAACCATGTTTTCAAGAAGCATAGCAAATAGTACTAATTTGTAACTTTATAATAGTTACGAATGCAAACAAGAAAAGATGAATGAAATCAAACAGTAGTGAGTGAGTATGAAACTATTTGTGATGTTAACCTATTTATTGTCATTATTATCTATATGTCTATCTATCTATCTATCTATCTATCGAATCGAGTGTGTTTTTTTAAGCAACAAAACCTCAGTTTTCTACTATTTAAACACTTTCACAAAGATAAAAAAAAAAAAACATTTTTTTCTCAAACAAAATATTCAATCATATATTATTATAATAACAAATCCAAACAAGAATTTATCAAACCAAATAAAAAGAAACACACCTGAGTTGGCTTGGCTGCATTAGGATCAAATGTTGTTACATTACACCACCAAACAGTTCGATTTCATCCGGGCCCGAAGGCTCTCGTTTCTTGAGCATTCTTCCTGCAAATATAACGATTCGAGCAATAATGTCGCAGCTCGACGATGATGCATGTGAATCTGGATACGTTACGACTAATATATTAAGGCTTAGTGTTTCCGTACCTGGAAATGTTTCAAGAGGGAAGAGCTCTTTCGCTGCTCGGATACTGCAGCTGCGTATTTCCCTTTGATGGTGTCGCAACCCTTCTGCTCTAAATCCGAGGACTGTTGAGCTTTCTCGAGTTTCTGTTGCATCGGGGTAGAAGAAAGGGGTTTACAAATGTGGATGAAACAGTCTTGAGTGATTAGAACATATAAGTTTGATCTAAACATGGTCGTATGAAAGTGAAACGATATATTCACCATGGGAGAAAATTATTCATTTCCGTAAATTACACCGTCTTGTTACTGTCATATATATATATATATATTCAGTCCGTAACACTTTTGTAACAATGTATCCAACACATGGTTATTGTTGAAATATGTGTCGTGCTTATCATTAGCATGTACTGTCACTTTTATATTATATGTTGTGTTGTGCTACGATATATTGAATGAACTATTGTCATATATTGTCCTACTATGTTGCACGTGATATATACTGATTTTTTAAAACAACACATGTCGACATTGTAATAAAGTTATGCGATGTTTGTTTATAATTACAGCGTGTGCTGTATCATGTGCTAAAATCAATTGTTGTATGTACTGTCTGAGTTTATATTATGTGTTGTTAATTCATATGTTGTGTTTGTATTATATTAATATAAATTACGTGTCGTCATTTGTAAGTTTATTGGATGCTATATTCAGCGCAGCTGCCGCCATATATATATATATATATTTAGTTGGTTAGGATCTATTTAGATTAGAAGATTTGTATATCAACATAATTGAAATGAAGGGATATAATCTGAGGTGAGAAAAGAGTACCTGCTGAGTTCCAGACAAGATTCCTTCGAGAGAATTAATGAGTTTTATCCTCCCGTCCGCGCTTGTAATGGCATTTTGGAACTGTAAGAAATGAATAAGCGCATTGGAAAACAGTTCATATCATTCATGCTTAAACAACGGTACATGCTTGAATTTGCACTACTGCACAAATGAATTGTCAAGTTGCCATATACAAAAACTGCAAAAAATTCCGTTTTTCGCTACCAAATCATAATTTCTGTATTAGTGTTACTACTTGAGTAAAAACAAATCTGATAGTTAACTCAATTGCTTGGTCCATTGGAACTATCCATGATGAATAACAAATAATCGTAATACTTCACCAGCTTCGCCTTGAGATTATGGATTAGGTTCAGTAAGGGATTTAGCAAGTAGAAGAAAAGTCGGCAGGGCAATAGCAAGAAATGTATGGAACAAAATTCAAAACAGTATTGCCTAAGCTAGTCATAACTTAATTTAATTCCCAAAAAAGGTAATGGTTGAAGAAGAATGAAATGGATTATTCATACCTGCGAACTTATAGAGTTCAATAATGATGCTTCCTTTAGCATGAGTTCTTTAATCTCCAACAAAGCATTATATGTATCATAATGTTTGAGGGTTTGTCGAAGCTTTTTCTGAAAACAAAAACAGCACAGTGCAGGTGCAATTAAACATGATATAACCTTTACAGTAGTGGACATATAAAGAATGAAGAAATTGATCATTTCTGAAGCATGTACCTGAATCTGAGTATTTAGTTCACTAAATCGGAGTTCATACCTGCAACATCAATAATTAGTTCAGATCTTTCTGGCAGAAACTCAAAAGGAGTTCATGATGTTTGAACGAGTACTGTATTAGTTCAGCCTGTGATGGCACTTCATCAATCATCCGTTTTAGTGCCACAATTGATCTTAATTTTGCAGCAAGTTCCTGCCATCAAAAGCGAGGAAACAAGCCACGATGCCGCATTAGAGGTATCAATCTCAAACTCATATGTTAATGATTGCAAGCAACAATTGAAAGAAACGAAGAGCACCATAAACATGATTCTAAACTCTGAAAGACCTAAATTTACGATTGTATCTTTCAATTTATGTTAGGGCCATCAATCAGTTAAGTTAAACAACAAATCCGTTTAAATATAAACACAAACAAAAACCAAATTATTCAGGTAAATAGATAAGGGTAGAACACCTGATACAAATACAGAGCACACCACAAGGAAATAAGATATTTTGAGCTTCCTGTAAAAATCTCTCAAATCCATTATTTTAGCAATTTTGAGCTTCACCACATTAATATTTTTTTCCTTCATATGAAATCAATTTCTTCTCAATATTCCATTGGGATTCAAAAAATAAACCATTCATAAGAACTACTCAGTTCACTAGCATATTAAGTGCAGATGGCCAGATGAAAAATTGTAAGTAAACTCTCTCCATGCAAATCACCTCAATAAGACTAGTTGGAGTTATCTCAAATTTATATTAGTTCCACGTGACTTTATTTTAAAGTGAAGTTTCAAAATCATGACATAACATGCATTAATGAAAACACAGAATACCTGTGACTGAAAATTAATTAACTGAAACAATCTGTGAAAGAGTACATTAAATCTAATGGATCAATGAGCAAAATACATACATTGACAAATGACATTTGCTTACTGCGGCAACTTGCAAGTTGAAGGCTACTTGTCAAATCAATCTAACCTTCTTAGCTGATTCAAGTTTTTCCTTAGCATCTTGGAAAGAAGGAAGAATCATATTACAACCTTCATCGCCATCATGCAACATTTTATCTAGTTCATCAATCTCCTTTTGCAATCTTGAGCAATCAGAAGAGTGCTGTGACTTTATATCAAATTCTTGCTTCTCAAGTGCCTGAAGGAACCCAAGAAATGTTATCAACAGATAATAATTGGCAGGAAAAAGGACGGCAGCAAAGAAGAGCATGAAACTACTCCAAGTATAGAATTCATAAATCGTTCATCATCTCTCCCCATATCATCCTCTTTAATAAAGGATTCTACGAGTGAAATATCTTTTAGCCTGTTGATGTAAGGAAAAACGTCAGAAACATCTGTTTTCGTTGTTATTTTATAACCATGCAATCTACAATGAAATATATTTTCCTACTAACTAAAAATCCAAAACAAAACTTTTTCTTATTTTCAAATCCAAAATATCAAAACACATCCAAAAACACACATAATTCATATTTTACACCATATTGAAGCTCAGTGCAGAACTATACAATAAACATAACTTCATACTTTTTACCAAAGAATACATAGACAAAATATAACATAATAAAAACCAAAGTTCATATAATTTTTGACTCACATGTTCATAATAAAAGCCATGGTGCTCAAGGTGCACACACCGTAAGTGCATTTCAGTGAAGCCAAGAATGGAGATTAAGTTTAGTGTCCTGATGTTTTTATAACATTTGCAATTTTCAAATATTATAAAAGATGTGTTGAACATTGAAGGTACTAACTCAACGAATTTATTTACAGAGAAAGCCATAAAAGATGGACAACCTTCAGTGTCTCTAAAAGGGGAACAACACTCTTCCCCATTGAATTAGGGCACTCATTGATTCGTTCGCGCAGAAGTTGCAGTTCACCCAAAGCTTCATCCTCCTGCTGGCTCTGAAGAATTAGCAGGACGCAACCAAAAGTGCATTAAAACCTCAAATCTAATGCCATTGCGGATAACATTTTTTACATCGTGGCTTCATATCTACTGAATCAACCTCACTAACTTGCTTAACGCATAAGAACAAACAATTTACTTCCAGAACCAAAGCAAATAAACATAAATAAGAGCATCAGCAATCTCAGTAACGCATCCAATCAACGATGGCAATTGTAAACATTCCCGTAAAATGCATAATTCTCCAAGAGGAATTTGAAAAATATTAACATAAATTAATACAACTGCAAGCGCACTAGCCTAACCACCAGTTCTTCAAGATTGCGAATCTCATTACCACTTCAAAATAAAATAAATAAATAAATTCTAATCCTCATCACACAGCCCTAATTTTTTCATATATAGATCAAATTTTTAATAAAGACTGGACGAAATTCATCGCCGTTTGCGCTTATGCAACTCGAGCGTACTCAATCGCTCGATTGTGATACGAACTTACCTTATCTTTGGCCATTTCTGCGCTGCAAATTCAATTTCTGAAGAGAAGCACTCTCAAGATTGCGAGTAAATATTTTTAGTTAAAAAAGTAATTACCAGCAGGTAATTGTGCTATTTAAGTTAAATATTATTTATCTAATCCAATCATGTATCTATTAATGTATCATTTATCTTTACATAAAAATTAAAAATAATAAATGAACGAAAGGGTGTGTTTGTTGGGAATTTGGATTTTGAATTGGGCTTGTAAAAATTTTGAATTTGAATAGTTGTATAATGTGATATAAATAGGTGTTAGATGTGATGTTTTGAATGTAAAATTGATTTTTAAGTATAATATAGAAAATAAAAAATAGACGTTTGATTTGATATTTTTGAGAAAAAACGTGTAAATTCAATCCAATGCCCCAAACAAACACACCATTGGAAGAATAAAAATATAAAATATATATATACATAATTAATACATTAGTTTTTTATTATTATTATTATTATTATTATTATTATTGATATGAAAACTGCAGTTGCTTTCCTATTATGTATGAAAGAAAATGTATATTGAAATTCAAAGTCATAATCTTAGTGTGTGTTTTTTTTTTTTGAATTTTGAGTTGGAATTTGAATAATAAAAATTTTAAATTTGAATAGTTGTATGACGTGATGTTTTGAATATAAAATTGATTTTTAGTATAATATAAAAAATAAAATAGGTATTTGATTTGGGGTGCGTTTGGCAATTAGTTGTTAGCTGATTTAATTAGCCGTTAGATATTAGCTGATTCAATTAGCTGGTTTGACTAGCTGATTCAATTAGTGGTTTGTATTAAAGTGTTTGGTAAAACAACTCTTTGACATTAGTTGTTTATACATAAAATGACTATAAGGACATTGATATGTTATTTTTTTAAATATTTAATTTTTTTCATTTTGGTTTGAAATTTATGAGAATTTTTGTTATTAATTATTAAAAATTATAAAAATATTATAAAATATTTATTTTTATTTTTATTTTTAGATCCGAAAAAATTATTTTTACTAAAAAATAATAATTTTTTATTGAAATGATGTAAAATATAAAATAATAAATCTTTCGTATATATTTTTATTTTGTTAATTATTATTTTAATATATATAAATAAATTAATAATATTTGTTTTTCTATCTGATTTAATTTTAAATTATATATTGTATAAATAAAATAATTTATACCTAATAATTAATACTAGTAATTATTTTAAATTTATAAAAATAAAAATATAATTTAATAAATTAAATATATTAAAAATAATTAATAAATACTGTTATAAAAATATATTTATATGTAAAAAATAAATAATTAAGTTTTAAGAGTAAATAAGGAATAACCAAAATTAAAATGAAAAAACTCTTTCAAAACGCTGGATAGATGAATTTTTCAGATATTAACTTTTTGAGTCCAAAAAGTTCTTTCAAAAACTTAATTTATCAAACAGCTAAAAAAAAGTTGTTCAATAAACTAAAAGCTCTTCAAAACGCTATTTCAATAACACCCTTGATGTTTTGAAAAAAAAAAAAAAAAAAATTGGGACCCAAACAAATATACAGTAGTCGATTATGAATTAAATAAAAAGTCATATAAAAATTAAAAATAAAAATAAAAATAAAAAATAATTGTCCATCCGTTGCTTTCGGGCCGGCTGCTTTACCTCAGTTGCCATAGTTGAATCAACCTCCCGTCACTTCTCTTTTTGTTGTCTTCAATAATTTGCTTTGTTTAGATAACCATTTTATTTTAAAATTTCAAAATATTATAAAATAATAAATATCCGGCAGTCACATGTTAATACATACTCCTCCGTTCCATGTAATATGGATGTATTAGAGTAGACACTGGAATTTAAGTAAAATATAATTAGTAAATAATTAAAAAAAATGTATTAGTAAAAATAATTATTATTTGGTAAAAATAATTATAAATTAAGATTAAGATAACTAAATAGTTTAATTAAGATTAAAAAAAATTAAATTTTAAATTTTAAAATATGATTAAAATGTATAATTAATTTTTCAAAAAGGGAAATGACAAATTATGTGGGACGGACGAAAATAGAAAATATGGACAAATTATGTGAGACGGAGGGAGTATATTTTAATAGAACATTATATAATTTCACATAAAACAATAAACAAATTACATATCACAACACAATATACAATTCATAATACTAAAATACTATAACTTTTTTAATTACAAATATATAATTATATATACAAATCTCTTGCACATTCTCATTATTCAATAAAATATTATTATTTTTTAATTTATTATAAAATTATGATTGTTTAAAAAAAAAAAAAAAGGACAAAAATACATTATATAACCAACACAACACATCCTTCTAATTATTAATAAAAAAAACTATTCATATTTTTCTAATAAAAATATATTGTACTTTTTATAAAAATATTTTTTCAAATACAAAAACAGTGGTCCAAAATACGTGAGGGGCAAGCATATAAAGAAATAATTATATTTTTAATTATTTTATTTTAATTATTTTATTTTATTGGCCTTTCTTTATATATATGGCTATGGCCTATGAGCGTTTGTATTGGCAAGTGAAAGCAAAGCATCAGTGTAGCTCATTCTTTACCTCTTTGGTAGAATTTTGGCCTTTTTTTTTTTTTACTAAAAAATAATTATTTGATATAATATTTTTATTTAATAAAAACAAAATAAATGTTTTCAATTTTGTTTTTTTTTTTTATTTATTTTTATTTTTATGATTGCAAGCCCGGGAACTATGATGAATTGAGTCATGTGGTTCGCTCGTCGTGCTTAATGGTCGGGTACATTACCGGCCTTGACGATATATATGACTTTGTCTGAGTTCTTACGAAGATATTAATTAATTTTCCGATTTCATTATTTTTGTTCCGAATGTCAATTTTTTTATTCTAATTTTATAAATTTTTTATTATTGGTGATGATAATTAGAACATTTGACTGAAATTTAATTAAATTACATATATGCCGACCTTAGATGAGTGTGATTTCGACAGTAACTACGTTAAAATGAGGGCTATTTTTTAAAATATAAAAATAATACAATTTATTTAATATTAAGCTAATTTTATTTTTCGAATTATCGTATTTTGAAAATATTGTAAAATAAGAAACTATAACAACAACTATATATTTTAATATATATTTTTGTATTATTTAAATTAATAAATAATATACTTTTTTATTAGAAAAAATACACTTAAAAAATTATATTTATTTTAAATATGGCGTTATTTTTATTTTTATTTTCTATATTATATGTATATACATAAGTCCAATGTATATGAGCACATGAAACACATCGAACTTCAATATCATAATATTTTACAGACGATAAAAAATAAAAAAAATAAAAAAAATTGTTTGAAACATATGCAATTTACCAATGTGCTCACAGAAATTTTGACGATCGATATGTTTTTAAATTTTAAGAGAGAGAAATTAAAACTTAAGAGTGTTAAATATAATATGTACGCTCTCTATTCGGAAGAATTATGCATTTTTGTTTAAACACGAAAATAAAAACAATAATATTATAATATAAAAAAATAAATAAATAAAGTAAAATGTGAATATTTTTAAAAATGTATTAAAAAATAATTAAAAAGATAATGATGTAATAGAAAAACTAATAAAAATCATAATTATTTATTAAAGTAATAATAATAAATTGTAAATAAATTAATATTTTTATTATAAATGAATTGCATATATATATATATGTGTGTTGAAGTAAATTTATTTTTAAAAAAAAAAAAAAAAAAGATGACAAAATAATTTTTTGGATAAAGAGAGTCGATCAGTCACAAGATCAACCTGTAATTGTCGAATACTTTTCAAACTTAAATGTATATATTTTAGATTTTTTTAAAATTTGAATTTCAATTATTATAAAATACTTTGGGAGTTATTGTATTTCCATTCCAATTGTTAAGCAATAAAATAGATAGATAAATAAAAAAGAAGAAGGCTGGGTACTATTTTAAAATTGTAATTGCCAAAAATAATACTTCCTCCCTAGCTACAAAATATAAATATTTCTATTTTGGAACGTCTAATTACAAAGTAATCATTTCATTAAATACTCTATTTTTTCCACAAATATTTTTAATTTACATCACACAATTACTTTTATACCAAAGAGTAATGTCAAAAATATTATTACACTATTTTTACCTACTCACTACAATTAAAATACTACTCCCTCCGATCCATTAAAATTAGTTCATTTGGGCCCGGCACCAGAATTAAAAAAAATGAATATTTTATTGAAAAAGTGATAGGTAGTTGAGGGTATTTTTGAAAATTTAGTTAAAAAGTAAAGTAAATAAAAAGAGAGAATGTAATAAAGTTAGTTGTATTTGTTGTAAATAAGTGTTGAATGGAGGGTAATAATTAAATGTTGATTTGTTAATTTTGCCAAAATTAGTAATTGGATAAATCTAGTGAACGGACTAAAAAGAAAAGTGAGAATAAATTTGGCGGACGGAGGGGATATTATTTCTTAAACTTCGCGTCAAAAGTAAATGTATACTTATTGTTTGGACGGATAGAGTAATAAATATAAAAGATTTTATACAAAAAAATATAAGAAAAAAGGTCAAATACTCGTTATGAAAAGTCAAAAGTTATTAAAAAAAATCAAATATTCAATTTAAAATAATATATTCCCTCCGTCCCATGGAAATGTTGTCATTTTCCATTTTCGTCCATCCCAAAATAAGGTTATCATTTTTTAATTTAATAATTGTATTATCTACCTAACATAATAAATACCCTTCAAACTTACACCATATTACACAAATATCGTTACTTTTATATTACACAATATTAATAGGGGTATTTTTGTCCTTTTCATTACAACCCATTATAATATTAATATTAAAAAACTTACATGCAAAAAGTAAACGACAATCTTGCACCGGGACGGACGGAGAATTTTATATTTTTGACATAATTCATACTCCAAAAATTATTTCATTTAAAAACGTTGGTAAACGGAGTCTTTGTTATATTTTTATTAATATAAGATTAAATTTATAATTTTTATATCAAAATAAAATAAAACTCCTTTCATCTGTTGTAAAGTATTGGTTTACTGTAAATACAAAAATTTAGTAAGATTATAATTAATAAATAATTGAGAAATATAAATAATTATGATATAATACAAATAATTACATATTAAAATAAATAATTCAATTAATATTAAAAAAATTATAAATTATAAAATTTAAAATATAAATAGAGTGTATAACTATTTTTTTTTAAAAAAAAATAACATATTATATAGAACGGATAAAAATAAAAACGCCGGACATTTTCTATGGAATGGAATGAGTATTCATTATAAAAAAATACTTGGTGGGCAAGCATATAAAGATTTTCACTACAAATATGCTCTTTTCTGTCCAAATGGTCATATAATACTCTTTCCATCCCATAACAAAGTATTTATTTTTTCATTTTAGTCTGTCCTATAACAAAGTATCTATTTTTACATTTTAGTCCGTCCCATAACAAACTATTTATTTCATTTTTTAGTAACTTTACTATTTACTTAATATTACAGATACCCTTACAACTTACAATATATTACATATCACACATACTAACAAGATTATTTTAGTCATTTATACTTTATTCCTACTATATCTCAATATAATACTAATGTTTCTAAAATTACGTGCAAAAAGCAAATGAATACTTCTTTTTGGGACGGATGGAGTAATATTTTATTAATCAGTAAAAATATATATAAATTTTTAATATTTTTGTAAGTAATTATAAACTAAAAATATTTTGATATTGATAATTTTTTTAATATAAAATTAATACTCCCTCCGTCTCATAACAAAATATCCATTTTTCCATTTTAGTCCGTCTCATAACAAAGTATCAATTTCTTTTTTTTAGTAACTGTACTATATACCTAACATTACAAATACCCTTACAACTTACAATATATTACACAAATGTCATTACCTTTATATCACACATACTAACAAAGTTATTTTAGTCATTTCTACTTTGTTCATATTATATTTCAATATAATACTAATATTTTTAAAATTATGTGAAAAAACAAATGAATTGAGACGGACGGAGTACTTTAAAATTAAACAGTAAAAAAAAATGAATTCGAATTGAGAAAAATTTTTAAAAAAAAGAACGTGAGGGTCAAGCATAGCAATAATTATATATATATTATTGATTTATTTATTTAAATAAATACATAAATTTGTGTGGAGGAAATGCCTGGTAGCAGCTTCTAATTGACTGATTTAATCTGTGTTGGCAAGTGGAAGCAAACCATCAAAATATACATACATACATATATATATATATATATTAAGTGTATGCATAATGCATATATAAATAAGCTCATCCTCCATTTGGTAGAGTAAGTATTATTCTTTTATAGTCTTTTTTTATTTTTTATTTAAATAGAATTTGAATTTACTTTATTATTTTATATGTATATAATATATAAGAATTGTGACGATGATTGATTTCATGTCTTCTGTTATTTTTATTTCTTTGTTATTGTTATTATTCGTTTGATTGCTATTTTTTATTTTTTATTTTTTTATAATGAAAATATGCCGTCGCTATTCTGAAATATCAGTAATTTTTATTTCTTTATTTTTTTTTTATAATAAAAATTCGCAGCCACTGTATGAAAATAGCGAGCATGCAGATGAATTCTGGTCAAATCTAATTTTGAATTTATAAGTTGTGTTTATTGCTATTTATTGTAATTTTATTTATTTATTGTTATTAGTATTATTATGATTCTTTGAATAATTAATTTATCTAAAAACATCGAATTTTAGTGAAGAATACATTCTTTATATTTTTCGAGTGTGGGAACAATGACGCAAATAATTTGGTTCACTTGTCGTTCTTAATGGCGGGTGCCTTGACGACGTTTACGACATCGCCTGAGTTCCTACTTAAATAATTGAGGTTTTTTTTTGTTTTATTTTTATTTTTTACTATTTAATTTTTATAATTTACTCCATCTCTTCATTTTTATTTTTTTTTCTTTTTACTTGTGATAATTGATATTTTAATTTTTATTATTCTTTTTTTTCTGTAGCTTTTTGTTTTGCCCATATAAACCTTTACAAATTTTAATTGAATGAAAAACTACAACAAAAATATATAAAGTAAAACAAATTTTAAATGTACAAATATTTAATATAAACTTCTTCAAAATGTATATCTTTATTAAAATTTCATAAATAATAAATAAAAAAAAAAAATCCCGTAAACATTAAAACCAATTTTGCTAGAATTATAAATGTTGGGAGTATTTTAAACAATTTTGATAATAACAACTGCCGGTAGTTCCATAAACCGTTACAAAAACCAATTTATAGTAAAATATTGTATAAATTTCGAAACTCGAGATAAATCCTTATTTTATTTTAAAAAATTACATAAAATCCCCTACTTTACAAAATATTATATAAAACTCTCATAGATATGAAATTATTTTCTGGTGATAAAGTTTCATGCAATATTTTTTAAAATACGAAAAAATCAATTTTTAAAATATGAAGAGATTTTACAATGAATTTCGAAATCAAAACAAGAGTCAATTTTACCTAATATAATAATAATAATAATAATAATAATAATAAAGAAAAAGAGAGATCAAAGCATATCGCAACATTTTGTTGATGCCGAAAAAGGTCAATCGACTACAAAATACACCATTTTCATTTCATTTTCATTTTCATTTCCAAATCTTAACAAACTTATCATGGCTAGCAGAGGCCACAAGCCCAGTCGCCGGCGACACCGCCAGCGCCGCCACCAGCCTCTCGTGCGCCGGCAACGCCACCGTCTTGTTCTCCACCATGTTCCACAGATGGATCGTCTGCAAAACGACATCCCCGTCACGTCAAATTTACACATCCAACCACCCGACTAACTCGTATGCGCGCAAACTAAAAGAGATCGAATACTTACCTGGTAACACCCAATCACGAGCAGCGACGAATACTTCGGGTGAAAAACACACGAATGGAATTTGACGCCGTTACGGCTGAGCTCGTGGACACACTCCCCTTCACTGCCGCCCGCCCGGAACGTCCAAACTCTGACCGAGTCCTCGCTTACGGATACCAGCAGCTCTCCCAACGCATCCCAGCACACCGACGTGATGGGTTTGGTGTGACCCTGTTCAAAAGTCGAGCGATTATACGTATCTTTTGTTTTTTTATATAATTTACCCGGAAATTGTTAAGGAGAATTGTTAGAAGGTTATGTAAAAAATGAACCTTTAGCGAGTGCCGACACATCTGGGTCTCCGAATCCAATATGGAGACGACATTCTCGGCAGCCGCGGCGAGATATCTTCCGAGTCGGGGTTGGAACCTCACTTGCGTCATCCCGCCCTAATCCAACCAACATTCCGATATATATATATAATTAGAGTTGACAGAAATTGACACGACAAGAACCCGACATGAAATAATTAAGTTTGGGCCAAGAATTTCGACCCGATTATGTATACGGGTTAACACGAACCCGACATAAAATAATTGGGGTTGAGTCAAGGATTTCAACCCAATTATGTATACGGGTTGACACGAACCCGACACAATAATAAACGAGTCAAATTAAAGTTGAAGTTCTCAACTCGAACTTGACAAGACAATCCTATAATAATATATTAATATTAATTAATATATTTATTATATATGTAATATAATTATAATTGAATAATTAGCACACATATAATTTAAAGTTCAATTTTAAATAATTCGCACCTAATACAAATTACACTAGAACCAACAAAAACTAATATAAAATTTTAAAAAAAAGAAAAAAAAAAAAAAAGAGAGAGTAACCTAACACAACAACAAATAATTGAATGTGAATAAAAAAAATTCAACTTAATTATATATACAAGTCAACACAAATCCAACACGATAATAACCGAGTTGAATTAAGGTTGAATTATTCAATCCGTTTAAAGTATTCATCCGACACGAATCGATCAATTTCCAACTCTATATATAACATGTATAGATACAAAGTACGCGAAAAAAATTAAAAACCTGAGAAAGCATCAGAATTTTAGTACCTTGAAAACCCTTGTGCAGCTTCCATTGTTGATGCTCCAATATCGTATCTCGCCGTCGCCGTCGCACGAGCAAATGAGGTCCTCTTTGTTGGGATGGAAGTCGACCGATGTTACGCCGGCGGAATGGCCAGTAAAAGTCCGAAGGGGATAGCCGGGCTGCAGTCAATCAGAAGTACCGTAAGGATATAAAAAAAAAAAACACATCTTTTAATGGCAAGAAGATGCGATATATTAAAGAGCAACGTACGGTATCCTTCTCCCAGACTCGGACGGTTTTGTCGAAGGATGACGTAGCTAGGCGAGCCGTGCTTGGACTAAAACGAACATCTGTAATAATCAACGAGTGTTCCTCGAGCGTCATCTTCGGTTTCAACGTGTCGGTGCACCACAAAACCACCTGCACATTCGAAAGGGAGTTTCGTAAAAACTCTCTTGTTAGCAAATTAAATTTAGCAATTGAACTGTTTCGCAAAGTTCGGAATATATCTTGTCTCTCTCAATTAAACCGGTACTTTTTTATCGTGACTGCCGCTCGCAAGGAGCTTCCCGTCTGATGAGAAGTCGCAGCACGACACTTTACTCGAACTCGCACAAACAGAACTGATGTCTGTAAATGTAAACCCTGAATAGCATCGGATTTCATGTTAAGAAAAACCACAAAAACACCACATATGTCAACATAGATTCGATACAAAGAAACATTGGTATTGCAAAACAACAAGAAATGATATAAATTCCAAAGTAGCATTCATGCGGTCGAAAACCAACAAAATAATCTCTGAGTCACTACTACATCAGAGGTCAACATACGTTCAAAAGCACTAATAACGAGCAATCTAAGATAGCACTAAACACCTTGCTAACCTTTGGTAACATCCATCCGACTAACTACATCTCGGGGGTCACCATCCTCATGTGACAGAAAAGAATCGACATTATCCTCGACGTCATCCACAAAGCGATCCATATCAGGTTGAACGAGATCTTTGTCATCCCACTGTAAACATGGATACGAACAAAACATCAGGATCGAACAAAAACTCTTTTTTGTAAAGACAAGCATGCTAGCAAATCTCACCAACTGATTTGACGGGGATGTTAGAGTGCCAGCACTATCGGCTCCGAACATCATCAGCTTTGAGGAATTCCCAGTGTGCGGCAAACCAGGCATGGACATAACATCTCCAGGCGTATGAGTTGAAGGAGTTGAGGGAGCTGAACTTGGAGATGGGCCGGCTGTGTTCGCTGTTCCCGAGCTGTTGGCAGGACCGGAAGAAGATACAGGCTGCTTTCTCTTTCTCCCAGCCTGGCTTTTAGAAGCCTTGAACCCAATCAAAAGTAAAAAGGTTAAAACCACATTTAGATTTCAAATTTCAGAACCATAAATTCTTTATTTATAGTATATGGACACAATAAAGCCTTATATTTCTCAGGTTGAACACCAATTCTCATTAAAACAGCATCAACTTGACGGGAAAAAGTTTATACAGGTATCTCCTACATCTACAAGGATTTGCGTGGTGTAATCATCGAACTGAAGATCAAGAAACTTATTGATAATCCTTCATTTAACCAAGCCAACCACCACCACACAAGTCATCTAAATTAACGACAGCATTAGCTACAAAAACTTCATCTAGAAACTATAACGACATACACATATCATCTAATACAGTTAGGAAGTATGAGAATTGGTTATTTGCAGTTACAGAAAAAATCAGCAAAGGCACTAAACTAGTATAAGAACAAAGAACTAGTGATACACCTGATCATTTCCTCTGAAGGAATTCGAGACGCTGCCGTCGCCAGTGACACTCCCAGTGCCCATGATTTTATCTTGCTGAAGATTGTGCATCGAAATCTGAGGTTGCTGCCCAGAGAGATTGTGCTGTTGAAGTTGCTGCGACTGTGTTTGATTGTTCTGCTGCTGTTGTTGCTGCTGCATATGGGCAAGTTTCAACTACACAAGAAACAGAACAAAAAGTCATTATAAACATTAAAATGAAAAGATGCAATCCAATTAGGTATAAGACCATGTGGAGAAACATTAAACACGAAATTCGATAAGGCACCTTCATCAGCATCTCTGGGTCTGCGCGCGGCAGAACTGCACAACCAGCTTGCAATGGGGATCCGAGATTAGAAACTAGATCTCCAACTGAATTAGATAGCCCATCTTTCCCCATGGACAAACTTCGATTGTTGAAAAGCATTCTAAGCCGTCTGCTATCCACATCATTGGCAGAACCTGAAGTCAAACTTTGCTGTGCAAGCATAATCTGCTGTTGGTGCTGGGGTGTTAGCATCTGCAGTTGATGAAACGGCTGAGGACCTTGCATAAATGATTTTGGCTGCTGAAGAAGCCCCGAGCGAAGCTGTTCAAGACCCTACCAAATAATACACAGGACAATTAAAAGAGAAGATGAAAACATGGAGAATAGTTTGGCTACACATGAATTTGAAAACAATAAAGTCATTTCATATCACCGAGGAACTAGTACTTCTCGGGTATCAAATTTTAAGAAGAGAATCTTTACTAAATGCCTACATTGATATGATATACATAAAGGCATTAAATCCATTAAATACTTACTGTTAGGGGCCATCCCTTCAGCATCAAATTGTTGCCTCCCTGATTAGACCCTAGACATATATATATATATATATGAGGAACATCAAATTAAACAGAAGCTAATAGCATATACTTACATCTTGTGTTTTCTTTTTCAAATTCTTAATAGCAGTCAATGCGGATATAAATTCAACAAAATAGATTACACTAGATCATGGAACCAACAGAAGTATCATACCAGGGATTCCAATCAGCGACCCATCTGGACCTGGAGCTCTTGGATTCAGGATAGGGTTTATCTCTTGTTTGATGTCCTGTTCACAAACACAGCAGACCAAACAAGCAAAGTCCAAATAAAATGCTTAAAACATTTACCAATAGTGAAAAATAAGGAACGAAAAGACCGACAGGTGCGGAGCCTGAAAATTGCTGGTTTCTTGCTTGAGCTTGCGGAGTGATTCCACCAGCAGTACCGTGAAGAACTTGCCTGAAAATGGATTTAGACATGGGAATGACAAGCACGAACGAAGAGGAAATACATGTTCCCCACAATGCAATAAATGCTAAACTAATAAAATATATTAGTCGATATCGTGTTAAGAATACCCAGACGCTTGGCTAGCGGCAGCTGCAGCAGATTTCAAGATAGAAGCATGATTTGGATCCATTAGCTGGCCGACATTATCACCGAATCTTTGCTGGAAGCAAATATTTATTATCAGCAACCACGATACCAAAAGCCCTGTGCGTTAGTAACTCTCTTTACATGAATCATGTACCTTCAAAGCCGCATCATCCAACGAATCCCTTTGAACAGGGAGCTTTAACTTCTCCTCGTACATCTTTGTGGCCATTGCATTGGCAGTACCAGGATTTTGTCTCGTAAGTGAATCACTACCAGCAACACCATTAGCTGCACCATTCATAATGTGACCACCCTCACGCCGCTGCTGCTGCTGCTGCTGTTGCTGATGCGCCTGCTGCCGTTGTTGTTGCTGTTGCTGTTGTTGTTGTTGTTGTTGTTGTTGTTGTTGTTGTTGCTGCTGTTGTTGCTGTTGTTGTTGTTGAGCCTGCCTCTGCAGTAAAAGTTGATGCATCTGAAGTTGCTGTTGCTGGGACTGTTGTGATTGAGGCGGTGGATGCTGCTGTTGCTGCTGCTGATGTGGATGTTGATGTTGATCCCTTGCTTTCATTAACTGAGACTGTCGTTTTCCAAGTAAGTAAACACACGACACGATTAGGCTTCAACACTTTTGGAAACTCAAAACAAGACTCGACAGAGCCATAAATGTACCTACTAGTCAGAAAAGTATATAACTTAAACATACTCAGTTAAAGAAAGTGTTCGCGATGATAAAGACAAAAGAAACACAGACATAGAGTCGTAATTCACCTCAATATAAGATGCGGCGACTTCAGAGTGCTTCTCATTCGTCCTAGCAATAAATATATCCCAAAATACAGACCACCACTCAAACAGAAAACCGCCGGGGGCATCAATTGCTGAACATTGCACACAAAAACAAAAAACTTAAAATAAATAAAGAATCAATATATTTAGGAGTTCATCACAAAGAATGATCTACATCCTCAATCATTGGACCATTCAAGCGCATACCAACAGGATCAGATGACACTTTTCCTTCGGCTTGAAATGCCTGAGCAGTGGCCTTCAAATCTCTCTTCACTAAGTAATCATGAATATACACATCCAACCTATAAACAGAAAGTCAAGAAATGATCATACCATTAGAGCCGACGATCAAATGCCTACCAAAGCAAATAAAAATCACAAGGCGGCATATTCACACCACTAACAAAGACAACAAAAACAAAATTCGAATCCATATATATACAGTAAACAAAACCCTTCGCAAACATTAGGAAAGAACCACGCAAGCTTTCAATAATTTTTAACCTAAAATTCACCCAAAAAAGTCGGAAACCTAAACAGGAAACATCAAACCATATACAAATAGAGAAAAATTAGATATCAAATATAGATACATAGGGCTCACATTTTGTCCGCTTCCCAGTTGGTCTGAGACATGTTTGCTTTATCCGCAGTCCAATATCAACGCTCAGCACAAATATCGGACACAATCTTCCCCAAGTATTCCCTCCCCTTTCAGCCTGTGGAAACACATTAATCGAATTAAACCGAAACACATTAATCGAATTAAACCAAACCGTAAGCAAAATCTCGAAAAATCGAACTATCCTCAAACACCAAGCAGAAAATAAAGCAACAACAGGCAATGCAGCAGAGTGTATACTCCACACCAGCAAGTCACGGAGAATCAGACCCTAAAAACATTACTACTAGTAAAACCCCCACAGAACAAACGCAATAAAGCAAAACAATTAAAGAAATAAGAAGTAACAACCGCGCAGCGCGCTGCTGGCCCTTCTGCAGAGAAATTCTCTCGTCGTTCCAGATCAGCTTCGTTGGTTGGATTGAAGGGAAGGTGTTGCAGAAGATATCATAATGGCTGCCAGAACGAAATTCACTCTTTAGTCCCTTATAATGAGTTAAATTGCTCGTTAAGGACACTACTGCGGCAGGCGAAGTTTCGAAATGACTAAAATAGTCCCACAGCTGGGTTTCCCTATGCGGGAGGGGTAGGGGTAGGAACGTCATTTAAGTAAAAATTGGGCTAAATCAGCAGGCTTTCAACGTGGGACTGGGATTAATATTGTAGGGTATTTATGATTGAGTCCTTCCGTTTTGGAAATATTGCACTCCTTGCTTTTCGATAACTTTCAGGTTCGGGGTTAATGACTTTTATGCCCTTCAGTGTAGTGGAATGACGGATTTAGCCCTGACCTTTTTGTTTGTATGAGTAATAAATAATTTGTTCATCATTAAATTATAACAATAATAATTAGCGTTATTATTATGGGAAGTTAATTATGGAAGCCTTCCACACAAGCAAGCAATTAATTAAATTGAAGGCTTGTGGGTGAATGGATAGCTGTTCACGACCTGAGGGAAATTTGAACTAAGCCTGTCTTCTTTTTTTTTTTCTTTTTTTTTTTAAAAAATAAAAACTCTGGACCCCTATTTATCCATTTACTTTTTGTACATAAATATATTAAACACTATTATATCTCTTAATATTTATGGTATTAAATAGTGTTATTTGATGCAATTTGTGTAATATTATATAAAATATGGGGTAATTTTATATTTTAGTTGAAGGTACATTTACTTAAAAAAAAATTGATACATTTGCGATGAATACACTAAAATAGCAAAATAAATAGATTAGAGATGAACTAAGGGAGTACAACTATATAAATGAATCGAACAAAAATATATGATTAATCGAAAAAAAAAAAAAAAAGAATTTTAACAAATAAAAATTCATAAAAAAAAAAATTGTGATTCTTGTTAAAAAGATATATAAATTATAAACGATATTTTATAATATTATATTTTAGTACACTTTTTTTAAAATAAGTAAAAATTAAATATTTGACTAATATATTAAATTCAATTTTTGTAAAATTGAAATAATATAATTTAAAATATATATAATTTAAATAGTACTAATACTATAATTACAACATGCAATTATATATAGTAACAAAATCCATATTAGCTGTTCCAAATTTTACAAAAAAAAATAATAATAATAATAAATAGGTCTAGTACTTACAAAAATAAAAAATAAAAATTTGGGCCAATAAATTGAATCTGATAGAAAGGCCTAAGCCACTTAACTGGGCCTTTTGTATCAATGATTTATTGGCCCAAACAAATTCAATAATTAATCTGATTATATATAGATCTGCTATTATAATTTAAATATTTGTAATGTTATTTAGGTGACCCTTTTTTTGTGTTTTTTTTTTACCAATGCCAAATTTCTCAGTTTAAATTTATTCAATTATGTTATAATAATTGAATATTGAGTGTATATATATACCTATCTTACTTTATAATTTTAACTGATTAATTCATTATGAAAATATATAATGCAAATAATATTTGGATAACTATGAATGATTTATAGCTCACATTCCAAATTTACTCCAAGGATAAGTAGTGGACCATTTATTTTAAATAGGGTATTATTGAACAATAAAAAATATTAGATGAATTATAAATACCGTTTGGTACAGAGAATGAAATCGCAGAGAAATGAGAGTAGAGAATAAAATTTGAGAGAAATGAAATTGAGCAGAGAATGAGAATTTAATTCTCTTGTTTTATAAAACAAGAGAATTCTTTGAGAAATCTAAAAAAAAATGCAGATATATAAATAATCAAACAAAAATAAATGATTAACCTGATAAAAAGAGAGTTTTAACGAATGGGAATTCATGAAAAATATTTTTCGTAATTTTTTTTAAAAAAATATATATAAATTATATACAATGTTTTTAAATATTATATTTTAGTAAAATTTCTTAAAATATCGTAAAAATTAAATATTTTAAAAATAAATTAAGTTTGTTTTTTATAAAATTAAAATAATATAATTTTTAAAAAAACTTATAAAAATTAAATAGTACAAACAAATTTTAAAAATAAAAAAAAACATATACTGCAACTTCATTTCTCTCTGCATATGAGAGATAAATGAAAACAGATAAATGGAAATGATTTATTTCTCAAATTCCATTTCTCTTACTGAAACAAACAAGAGAAATGATACCATTTTCATTTCTCTACCTTCATTTCTATGTACCAAACATAACCTTAAAGGTAGAATTACAGTAAAATAAAATAAAATTATTTAAAGTGAAAAAACTTTTCTAAAACAAAAAATTCAGTGTTCTAGTCGCAAAATAGAAAATTTTAGATATGTATTTAGAAATAAGATATTGCAAAAGATTACGTCTGAACAAAATAAAAAAAAAAAAAAAAAACCGAAATTTATATCTATTTTTGTAAAATTGTCATAAAAAATATATTTTTTTTTGTATTTTTTTATATATTTTTTTAAAAAAAATATTTTCCTCACAATATAAAGCTAAAGTTCCAATTATATTTCATTTATTATTATTATTATAATTATTGTTATTATAGGAGTTGTCTTGATCTGTATAGGATAGTAGATGGAGAGAGAGAGACAGCAAATACTCGAACGAAACAAACAAACAAAGTTTTGCTTTTATTTATTATTTTTTAAAAAAACAAAAGTTACATATTAAAAAGTTTTGTTGAGGTAAATTTTTTTAAATATTCTTATTCCAATTGTCCCGGATAATATGTCCATATATATATATAAATATATGAAAATTTAGGTAAAGTATAATTTATAAATAATTTTAATGTGTATTAGTAAATTTGTTATTATATAACAAAATAATTATAAATTTATTTAAGATTTTATTCATCATAAATTATAAAATTTAAAATATGATTAAAATATATAATTATATCTCCAAAAAAATGGCAACTTATATTGGACAAAGAAAGTATTATTTTAGGCCTAATTTACAGGATATTAGGTTCGACCGGGGGTTTACCAATGCGCATTTTTGGATAGCGATTGTAAAGTCTCACGTCATAAAAAAAATATATATATTATTTTAAGCATTATTTTTAAAAAAATAAATAAATTATTTTGATGAGGTGCGTGTTGGATATTAAATATGTGAGAGAGGAAGAGGAAGATGAAGGGACTTTGTCCTATATCAGAAACACAAAATAACTGAACATTTCCTAGTCATTCCGTCTCAAAACTATGGTTTTATTTAAGTTGAACACAAGATTTAAGAAATATTATATTATGTTGATAGTTGGTTAAAAAAATATAAATAAAAGATTTTTTTGCCCATTGTGAGTGTATTAATATAAAAAATAGTGATATTTGTGTAATAATAAAAAAATAAGAATAATTTTACGGTGATATGAGTATTTATGGAAATGAGACTATTGTTTTGGAACGGACAAAAATTGTAAACAAGACTATTGTATTGGGACGGATGAAGTATATTGTATTTGGTGACATAAATAATTCATAATCGCTACTCGAAAGTACGTATCAGATAAATTATTATGTTTTAAAGAATTAAGACGATGGGGTGTAAGAGCACGGTTCATTTTTGTGGGGATCATAATTACTAAAAATAATAATGAATATATATTATTTTGAGGGATTATTTATATATTTGGGTCCAATATACAAATGAAATTAAATAAAAAGTATATATATATATATATAAAAGTAGGGGTTGGCACGGTTCGGTTATTTGTAAATATGCAGGTATTTGATAACCGAATTGAATCGAATAAATACCCGAAATTGCGAACCGTATTCGAACCGAAATTTTCGGTTAACCGAAAATATTTGTAGTATTTGCAAATAACTCGAACCGAACCGAAATTAAGAAAAAATATATAAAAAAAAAATTAAAATTCTAATTAAATAAAAAATATTTGCAAATATTTCAAATATCCGAACCGAAACCGAACCGTATATAATTATTAATATAATTTTTAAAATATAATATTATAAATACATAAATATATTCGGTTCGGTTAATCGAACCGAAAAAAATATGAAAAACCGAAATCGAACCGAACCGAACAAATATCAAGTATGCAGTATTTGTATTCGAACCGAATTTATTCGATTAATCGAAAATCGGTTCAACGGTTCGACGATTCGGTTCCGTTTTTTTGTCGGCCCATATCTGTAAGTATTATGTTATACGCGTGAGTGAGAGAGTAGTACTAAACCCTAGCATTCCAATTAACCTACCTATCTCAGTACGACAAAATTACGCATGCGATGCACACCACCACCTTCTATTCTAGCTATTTCAAATATACTACTCTCTTTTTTATTTTCAAAACTTTTTACATAATTATTGCAAATTATTATTTTTTAATATAATCATTTTGTTCACTCAGCGATTTTACGTGAATTAATTTTTTACGTGTGATATAAAAAATTGTGCTCATAATATAAAAAATAATATTTTATATTGAATGATTAATTTTTTATAAATTATGATATATTATATTATTGTATGTATATATTTGTATTTTTAATAATATTTATGAATAATCATTCAATTAAAAAATACTGAATGAAGAAACTCATTATATTCAAATATTTGTATATATATATTATTTTTAATTATTGAGGAATTTATATATATATATTTACCCAAATAAATCACATTTTCAGCCGGCCCCTTCACGTCCGCTTCTAATATACTCCCTCCGTCTCACATAATTTGTCTTTATTTTCTATTTTCGTCTGTCCCACATACATAACTTATTCTTTCTATTTTTGGAAATATAATTATACACTTTAATCGCATTTTAAATTTTAAATTTTATAATTTTAATTAAACTATTTACTTATCTTAATGTTAATCTATAATTATTTTTCTAATACACTTCTTAATTATTTACTAATTATATTTTACCTAAATTCCCGTATCTACAGTAATAGTCTCATATTTCCTGGGACGGACGGAGTACTATGTATATATATAATATATATAAATACACATTAATATGTGTATATTTTGTATTTTTTAATAATATCTCATGGAATTCTTAGTATCAAAAATAAATTATATCACCATATTTACAAGTGTGTGTATATATATATATATTATATACTCCCTCCGTCTCAAACACAGTGCAATATTTTATTTTTTATTTGTCCAAAACTCACTGCAACATTTTCAAATTTAGAAATAATTAATAATATTTTTATTCATATATTAATATACACTTCACTTTGTCCCATCACATCACTCAAATAAAAAAAAAAACAAATAATTATTTCTCTCTCCAATCACATCACTTAATATCCAAATTATCTCAAATTACCATACTTAATACTCTCTACCTAAATTCTCGTGCCAAACACAAATGTTGCACGGTGTTTGGGACGGAGAGATTATATTATATTGGAATAGAGAGAGAATATGTTAATGGGATAGAAAATCGATCTAACACAATAGATATATACATATATATATATGACGTCTATATACATATAGGGTGTGTTTGTTTGGGGGTTTGGATTTTGAGTTGAGATTTGAATAGTAAAAATTTTGAATTTGAATAGTTGTATGATGTGATATAAATAGGTGTTGATGTGATGTTTTGAATGTAAAATTAATTTTTAATATAATATAAAAAATAAAAAATAGGTGTTTGATTTGATGTTTTTGGGGAGAAAAAATAAGATGAATAGTAGAAATCTTTACAAATCTTTCAAATAAATACACCCATAGTGTATATATATATATCACAAATGTGAGAGGGCGGGAAAGAGAATGGCGGGGATCCGGTGCCAATTTGTATGGATATCTATATTACCACCTCGGATAATTAATTACAAATACAGCCATACATACTCTATATCTATATCTATATCTATATATATGGTCAGCTAGGTAGCTCATCACTGCAGCGGCTGGTGCCGCTGTAAGTGATGATTACGTTTCATCACGCGTGTCTATATCGATGAATATATTTAAATATATATATATATTTGTTTTAGGCACAAATTTTTACATATGTAGTATTAAGTATGATAAACCTCCCACCTGGTGGTGTAGGGGTTGGACGTGTGACCGTGAGCTCATGGGTTCAACCTTCGACGCCTCAGGTCACTTGTCATACATGATTTATTCCTACTATATATTAATATACCTTAAACTATGTAGAAAAAAAAAACAAACGAATACTTATTTATGGGACGAAAAAAAAAATAAATTAACGAATATAAAAAATAAAATACACATGTCTTCTCGTTGCCGTCTCTGTCCCACGTACCATGTCACTTTCTTTTTTTGAAAAATGATAATTACTTTCACTAATGTGTCTACGGTGTATCAGACACGGTATATGGGACGGAGAGAGTATAAAATTAAATATTTATCTTTATATATTAAATCTTCATAATTAGATATAAATTAAATTAAAGGATGAGATTAATTGCAACTGTTAAATTATGTATTTCAACGTAGTATTCCTACGTTTATAGTATTTTGTTTTATATTAAAATAATGTATGCTAGATGTTTTATGAGGAAAAAAAAAATACTATTTTTATCTAACTGTAAGGGTCATATTTATTTTTTAAGTATTTATCTTTAAATATAAATTATTATATGAAAATATAGTATAAATTAAAAAAAAAATGACAAAATTGCTTCTACTAGTGTCTTATAATACTATTATAATGATAATTATGCAAAAATTTATACAAATATAAGAATATTTTTAATATTAAATATAATGACGCAAAAGGTAAATGAGACTCTTAAAATCGGACAGAAGAATTATATACTCCCTCAGTCTCAATACAATAGTTTTATTTCCATAAATAACCATATCACCATAAAATGACCCTACTTTTTCATTTTTATTACACAATTATCACTATTTTTTACACTAATACACTTAAAGGATAAAAAAAAAAAAAATTATCCATATTTATTATCAACTACCAATATATTTTTTAAATATTTTTTGAAAAAGGCATAGTTCAAATATTTGAAAATTTATTTCAAATATTCTTTACTATTTTGATTTTGATATTTTATTATTTTTAATTTCTTTTAAAAAAGAAAATTAGAAATAATAAAATCACTCTAAAAAAACCCTACACTTGTCTCTGCAACTGGATGGCTTTATAATTTTGTTCTCACTCTTGGACGTTTCTCCTTTCTCACTCTTGCCTGCACCACCCTATCCTTTTAGCCCATGCAATTTATATATAGAGAGAGAAAGAGATATGTGTATATATATATATATGCAGTGTAGGGAATTATATATATATGCAGCTGGAAGAGCCAAAATGTCGTGGTCGTCATCTTCTTAGGTATATATATACAGAGAGAGAGAGAGATTCTGACAGAGATTCGTCTTCAACCTTAAGTAGATTCGCATTTCATATTCTCTCTCTCTCTTCTTTATTTAATTCCTTCTTTACAATACTACTCCCTCCGGTCTCGTCTAATACGAGTCTATTACTGTAAACACAAAAATTTAGATAAAATATAATTAATAAATAATTAAAAAATATATTAGTAAAAATAATTATTATTTAATAAAAATAATTATAGATTAAAATTAAGATAAATAAATAGTTTAATTAAAATTAAAAATATTATAAAATTTTAAATTTTAAATTCAATTAAAGTGCATAATTATATTTCCGAAAATAAAAATGACAAGTTATGTAAGACGGACAAAAATGAATATTTTGTTGGGCGACAGAGAATATATAAAAATTAATTGAATTTACACCAGCACTTGATTGATGATTAATTACACAAAACACAATACAACTAAGAACCATACAACAACCAAAAAAAAGAAAATAAAAATCAATACATTTTTTCTTTTCTTAATTTAAGCAAATTAAATTAAATAAAACCATGTCTAGCCCACAAATTTATTTATTTATTTGACTACAAATATCTATTGCAATATTAGCAGCATCTGATGATGTCCCAAGAAGCCCTCTTCTTGTAAACCCTACAGCATACAAACCATTCCCACCTTTCCACCCATTTGGAAATGGCTTTTTTGGCATTCCATCTTCTGTAAATAAATCATTTCCCTGAAATTAAAAAAAAAAAAAAAAATTAATTTTATTTAAATAATTATTTTAAAGAATTAAAGAAAGTTTGTATATATATATATATGTATGAGGTTGATGACAGGTCAAAACTGCAGTAAGTAAATATTACTACAGCTTTCTTTAATGGCTGCCTTCTGAGACTACAGCTACATATGCAGTTTTAATTAATTACCCATTTTAGAGGGACTAAAAGAAAAGCAGTTGGGGTTTTATTTCCAATGAACTTACCCAAATTAATTTTCATAATAATAACAAAGAAAATAATATAAATATTTTATTATATACACAGTGAACGATGCATCTGTAAGAGATGTAGTAAATGAGATATATAAATAAAAAATAAAAAAATAAATTTATGATGCCTGCCTGCCTGCTTGCTTGCATGCGTCTAGAAATTATCAGAAAATAACAATTCGTAAACAAGGGGCAGAATGCAAAACGCAGGCTATATATAATACCTAATAAAAAAACAAAAAATTTAATTTCATGAAAGTAACACATCATATATATATATGTATAATCCAAATAAAATATTTATTTATTTTTTTATTGATTTTAACACTTGGGGAGGAATGATCCAAACAAATGCCGTCAGATTTTCTCTTTTCTGTATCAGTATAAGAAAACGTTTTGTAGCCCACTGCATGTGTAAGATGAAAGCGATTTATGATTGCGAAAAATTATATTTCAATTAATATTTATTAATTCCACTTTTACTAAAATAAAATAACAATAAAAATAAAATTTTATGCAAATCAATTCTTGGCCAGTCCCAGGACCCCAGAACCCGATGTCCCCGGAAAGACGGCAAGGTTCTACCTGGACCTGAAGTCCCGGATCTCGCAAGAAAAATAATAAATTTGTTTTTTTAATTTAATTTAATTTTAGATTTTATATATAGAATATATATACCTTGAGCCAAGAAGGGACATTGCTCTTGTAACCAGTTGCAAGAATTATAGAATCGAATTCCTTTTCTTGTCCGTTGACGAATTTGGCCCCAGTTTTTGTAATTTCTTTCACTGCTTCCATCACCTGCAGCATCATTGTCCAATCATTTATCATCACTGTAATCAAACTGACACATTTTCATATATACATTTAAATTAATTTAATTTAATTGCCTTAATTTTTCCTGCTTTGATTTGAGCCAACGCGCCGATGTCAAGAACCGGGCTTTTTCCGGTGACATTCTTCAGCTCGATCGGACCGGTCTTCGGCCGCCGGAGACCCAACCGGCCGGTGTCGCCGATGGTCAAATTGGCCGCCATTAGCAAAAGCTTATCCACCAATCGCAACGGCAGCCATTTCAGCAGCGCCATCGCCAACGAGAATGTCGCAACCCCAAACATCTCCCGAGGAAGAACATGAACCTGAAAATTCATCGTTTTCTAAGGTCGCTGGAAAATTTAAAAATTAGGAATAAAATTAGGGTTCCGGCGACCGGAAAAACTTACGGAGTTCCTAACAACCATGTACGGAATCGCATTATGCCGGCAAAGATCCAGGCTAACTTCCATGCCGGAATTCCCACATCCGACGACCAAAACCCGCCGGTTCTTAAACTCCGAGCCCGATTTATACCCACTGGTGTGCAGAACCGGTCCCCGGAATCTCTCAATTCCGACGATCTCCTCCCCGCCGACCGGTTCAGCATTCTCGCCGGTGGCCACAATCAGCCACCTCGACAAGTAGACCGAATCCTGCGTCCGTACGGTCCACATTCCGGCGGCCGGGTTAAACTCGGCCCGGGAAACGGTCTGATTGAACTTGGGCCGGATCGAGAAGGCGGCGGCGTAGGACTCCATGTAGGAGACGAACTGGTTCCGGGTCGGGTATTTGGGGAAGTCTTTGGGGAATTTAAGGAAAGGTAATTCGCAGAACTGTTTGGGGAGGTGGAGGCGGAGGCGATCGTAGGTCCGCCGCTGCCACAGGGCGGCGATGCAGTCGGAGCGTTCGAGGATTAGCGAAACGACGCCGTTTTTGTTTTTCAGGCAGGCGGCGGCCGCCAGCCCCGACGGCCCTGCGCCTACGATGATAGGCCCATGAATTAACTGCCACTTCTCCCCGTAAGAAAAACCCATTTTGAAAATTGAGCCCTAAAAAGAAATTAAAAAAATAAAATAAAATCGTAGCGAGAAAAGAGAAATCTAGGAGAGAGAAAAAGAATGATGAGTGAGAAAAGGGGCAATCTTAAAATGGATCAATTCACCTGAAATTTAAAGGGCTTTGTTTGTTTGTTTTTTTAAAAATAAAAATAAAAATGGGGTCTTGAAATTTACAATTGAGGCGTGAGGATTAAGGGAAGGATTTTGTGGTAATAATTCTGGGAGTGTTTTATCTCTCTGGGCTTTCTTTATCGAGAACTACATGCATTTGTGTGTAAATAAATAGGGGTGGGTGACTCGGATTGGGATTTTAAGGCCCACGCGCGGCGAGTTGGAGTGTGGTGCACGCGCGTCACCTATTGGCTGGCTGCGGGGTTTGGGTAATTTAGTACTTGTCGAAGGCTGGAATAATAATAATTAATTGGAAATGTGATAAAGACTATAGGGCTAATTGTAGCATTGATTGCTGTCTGATGGAGCTTACGTATGCATTATTAAGTTTGACGCAATGGATAGGGAAAGGTAAGGTTGACCATAGATATATAAATAAATAATAGTTTCTGAGAATAATTATATAATGTGTAGATTAGAATATTTATTATATTTAAGTGAAGAAGACAGATACTTATAGTACGCTCCGATTACAACACACTTTTATTTACGTGACATTATTTATTTAAAAATATATATATTTTATAAAATATTAAATCAAATACTAATTTTTTATTTTTTTAAAAATCTTCAAATAACTCCTATTTAACCAAGTCCAAAGTCTTTCAAATATTTTATTTTGAATTAATTTAATTTGGGTATGGAGTATTGTTTAGTGTGTCATTTTCGTATCACAATCTTGTCGTGATTAATATTGCGCTTCTTTTTATGTCTGGTCTTTTGATTCACTTTTGAAGACAATCTTGCGACCCTTTTATTACGTCATGCGTCTTTACGGCTTTAGTTACTTATATTAACGGGAGACCCTTTTTTTTAAAATAAAAAATAAAAAATAAAAAAATATGACATTGAAATTCACAATTTCTGTTACTCCCTCCCTCCCTCCTTCCCATATATCATGTCCACGTTGCCGTTTCCATCCGTCCCAAATACCATGTCACTTTCTTTTTTTTTGAAAATAATTACACACTTTAATTTCATTTTAAACTTTTTAATTTTATTTTTTTTAAAATTTTAATTAAACTAATTAGTTATCTTAATCTTAATTTATAATTATTTATATTATTGGATAATTATTTTTAATAATACATTCTTAATTATCTACTAATTACACATCTTCTAAAATACCGTTTCTACGGTGTAGCAGACACGGTATGTGGGACGAAGAGAATATTTGTATGCACTTCGACAGCCTTCAACTACACAAATGAACAATACGAAATTTCAAAATATTGAAAGTTTAAACTCATGCGTCATCACGGTCATCTCTTACGGAACATATTTTTTATTTATATGTATTTTCTACAAAAAAAAAAAAATCTATATAGAGAATATCTTATTAAGTTATATTTTTTAAAATTCATTTATAGTACATTTTTTAAAATGACATTAAATATTTATATCTACCATTTAAAGTTTTACATAAAATATATATATTCTTATTATTTAAAATCATATTAGGAGTTTTACATATTAGATTTGATTTTGTTATTTATATTTTAAAGTGAAACTATTGTTTGATATATATATATATGTAAGGGTTTGTTGGTTTGTCTTTGAGTTTTGATTTTGGTCTATTTATTCCATTTGTATACAAAGATTGTACTCATTTTATTACTTTATTTTGTTAATAATGTATATTTATTAGTCATTCTTATATTTTTTTGTACCATTTAATTTTAACGATTTCTTTTTTTTAAAAAAAAAACTATTATTCTAATCTCATAAACAAAATAGAAAATACATCATCCATTATAAATTAAGACCAGAGACATTGAAAACTTGAACTCACAATCTCACGATCATATGTCATTCTACACCACTAAATTGTATTTTACGAAATTAAGTTATAATTATTTTTATTATAATGAAAAAATAGATATTTAATCGGTGAAAATGTACTAATATTTAAAAAAAAAAAATCAAATAATATACTCCCTCCATCCGATTGAAATGTTATAATTTTCTATTTTCGTTCGTCCCAAAACAAGGTTACTATTTCATAATTTAGTAATTGTACTATATACATAATATAATAAATATCATTTCAACTTACATTATATTACACAAATACTGTTACTTTTATATTACACTATATTAATAGGGGTATTTTTGTCTTTTTCACGAATCCAATATAATATTAATATTAAAAAATTTACGTGCAAGAAATAAATATCATCATTCCAATGGGAGGAAGAGAGCATTGTAATCTAAATCAAACTAAACACAACAATTATAACTTGGGATGTCTCCAATGAATTTAATTATTCCAAAATATTAAGAAAATAAATAACACCAACTTTTAGATAATCACTCCTGAAAAGTTGGATGATGGGAAAGAATTAAGATCAATGTTGCAATGATTGTGTGGTTTTGTAATGATTAGGCAGTTATGGATAATCATTTAATTATTCACTAATTATTATTATTACAACAATATGATAAAGGTCACAACAAGGTCAATATTCGATTCTACTCCCTCCGTCCCAGATACCGTGTCTGTTATACTATAGACACGGTATTTTAGGAGATACGTAATTAGTAGATAATTAAAAATGTATTAGTAAAAATAATTATTCTATAATATAAATAATTATAAATTAAGATTAAGATAACTAATTAGTTTAATTAAAATTTAAAAAAAATAAAATTTAAAAATTTAAAATGAGATTAAAGTGTGTAATCATTTTCCAAAAAAGGAAAGTGACATAGTATGTGGGACGGACATAAACGGCAACGTGGACATAGTATCTGGGACGGAGAGAGGACTAACTTAAGAAGTTTCTATTACTTGGGGTGTGTTTAATTGGATTGAGTTTGATATGAAAATAATGTTTGATCGGATATTTTGTGAGAAAAAAAAAATATTTTCGAAAAATGCAAAGTCAAAATAGTAAAATCTGAAAAAACTCGACTAAAGAAACATACCTTTGATTTTTAATTTAAATTAATTTTTAATTATTATTAGTATTATTATTATTATTATTACCTTGATTGTTTTTCAATTTTTTAAGAGTTATATTCTTGTGATTTTATACTATTTTTCATCTCTTATAAATAAATAATTTTTTTGAAAAATTAGAGTGTTTGTTTTTCATTTTAATTACTACTTTGATCCCATAGAGCATTTTTTCACATCTATTTAGATATGAGTTTAAAAGTATCACAATTAATAGTATTATTATATTTATTAAAATTTATATATAGTTCAAAGAGACATATATTTGGTGTATAAATTATGAGAAAAATAATTCTCTTTCAGTCCAGTATGATTATGCCATATTTTATAGGTACATATATATTAAGAAATAATGATATTTTTAATATAATTAAGACAAATTAAAAATAAATTAATAATATTATATAAAACTTATTAAAATTTTGAGAGAAAAAATAATGTGATAAATTAAAAATAGTGACAAATTAATTATTATAGTCCTTTTGTCCCATAAATATAATCTTAATTGGGTTAGACACCAGATTTAAGAAATATTGATATTATATTGACAGTGGGTAACAAATATGGATAAAATTTTTTTTTGCCGTTGTGAGTGTATTAGTTTAAAAAATAGTGGCAACTGTGTAATAAAAAAAATATGGATAGTTTTATGGTGATATGATTATTTATGGAAATAAAACTATTGTTTTAGTACGGACAATAATGATAAACAAGACTATTATATTGAGACGGAAGGAGTATAATAAAATATAATTAATTAAACTGTAAATGAATAAAATTATTGACTTGAATTTTATATAAATTTTGTAGATAACTAATAATATACTCTCTTCGTTCCAATTCGAAGTATCGTTTTAATCATATTGGTGCCGACCACTACTCCAAACTCTTTATTTCTTACTTTAGTAAAAGTAATTATACATCAATATCAAAATACCCTTAACTTTTATCTAAATGACAAATATATCATTATATATACAATTACTTTTTACATAAAATCAAATGGTAAAAATATTAAAACCTCTTACACACGTTCAATAACTAATAAAATATTATTATTTCTTAATATACTACACAACTCCAAAGAAGTCTTTTGGATCAGGACGAAATGAGTATCTAATACTAGCGTACAGAAAAAATAGTACTCCCTCCGTCCTAGATACCGTGTCTGCTACACTGTAGACACGGTATTTTAGGAGGGGTGTAATTAGTAGATAATTAAGAATGTATTAGTAAAAATAATTATTTTATAATATAAATAATTATAAATTAAAATTAAGATAACTAATTAGTTTAATTAAAATTATAAAAAAAATAAATTTAAAAAATTTAAAATGAAATTAAAGTGTGTAATCATTTTCCAAAAAAAGAAAATGACATAGTACGTGAGACGGACAAAAACGGCAATATGGACATGGTATATGGGACGGAGGGAGTAATCCATTAAGAGAGTAAAATTATATTCTTTTATGAATTTTACTATAATTTTTATTACTCTTTTTTTTTTAAATATCAAATTAAATATTTTAAAAATTATATTATACTAAAAAATTTTATTTTAAATTTTAAATATTAAATCCATATATATTTATATAAAATTAAATAATTATTCAAATTTAATTTTGACTTTTTGAAAATACAAGCCCAAAAATCCAAATCCACACGGAAAAACACCCGGCTATGATAATGGATCAAATACGGAGGAAGAAGAAGAGGTAGGGAGGGTGTGGCGTCAGTTAAGTTGCGAAATTGATGTCACGTGACCTCATGCACCGTCATCACCTGCCACTCACGTGTCTCTGCTCTGCTCTGCTCTGATTATTTTGATTTTTGACCCTCCCTACCCTACCCTTCCCTCGCCTGCAACAACTTCACTTCACTGCACTCCTCTGCAATGCAATAAAACCCTAATCAATTAAATTAAACAAATTATAATAATATTATTAATTTCATTTAATTAAAATTAAATAATAAATTAATTGAT